GATCCAAGGACATAGGTCCTGGTAAGTATACATATGATCCAAGGACATAGGTCCTGGTAAGTATACATATGATCCAAGGACATAAGTCCTGGTAAAAATACATATGATCCAAGGACATAGGTCCTGGTAAGTATACATATGATCCAAGGACATAGGTCCTGGCAAGTATACATATGATCCAAGGACATGGGTCCTGGTAAGTATATGTATGATCCAAGGACATAAGTCCTGGTAAGTATACATATGATCCGAGGACATAGGTCCTGGCAAGTGTACATATGGTACAAATACATCATGGAAGGTATGCATGTACTATTATGAAGATAGTTGTGGATGTGGACAAATGCAGGTATATGCAGAAAGGCTGTGATAACCAAATTTAAAAGAAACAAGAACTTTTGGATTCCAGATGATTCCAGAACTCAACAACTTCAAATGCCAGTTAGTTATTTACTGCACAGTTGATTGCACTCTTGCTGAGCAAGTTTACTTTAAGTTTGGCACTCAAAGCTGCAGTTGGGGTCCTGTGCTGAAGCAATGATTCTGCTCACTCCCCTCTCTTTAAAAAAACTCTTGGGAAAGGAACCTATTGAAATGACTTGTTAGTCCTGAATTCCAGAACTCAAAAAATCCAAATGCAAGTGAGTGCAGAGTTAGAACGTAAATGAACTGTCAGTAGATACGTAAAACTGAGATCCAGGCTCCTCTGAGCCAGGACACCTGAGAAGGAACACTGTCTTAAAAAAAACATTGAGACTCTTTGCCACTCTCCCTGGAAATCTCTGACATTGGGAAACTCTTGAATTAGCAAACAGGTTTTGTACCAAAACTCAAGGAGCTGAAATCAAAAAAAAGTCAAGATTGAATGCACTCTTGTACATTTTTGGTGATTGTAGCAAGATTACATGGTGGCTATATGGGATAAATGGGGAATGCCATAATGGTGAAGTAAAACCTTGCTCTTCCCAACATAACTTATATTTAATGTTTTTATGAAAGGATGGGAAAACTTTGTCTTCATACAACACTTTCACATGAAGAAAGTCCTGGATTCCAGGACTCACCCACTTTATTAGGGCACTGAAAGCTGAGGTCCAGACTCCTGTGCACAAGTAAACGTGATCCCCTCCCCTCAAACTCTCTTGCAACATTACAGATCACATTCTGTAATTTGTTTTTTTTCAACACCAAAAACTTGATTCCAGCACTTGACAGCTTCATAGTGATCTCATGCACAGTTGAATGCACTCTTCTGGTGAATGAACAAATTGTTATTAGATTAAAAAAACAAAACTGAACAATACAAAACTGAGGACGATGCTCCTGTGCTCAAGCAATGACAATGCCCACTCCCCTTCCCTCAAAAAAAATGTACAGATGGAACCTCTTGAAATGACTGGATGTGTTATTCAAACAGTTACTACTCCATTCTGCAAATTAAGAACTTCAAATGCAAGTGAGTGCACGAGAGTTAAAACGTAATTGAATGCATCATTCCTTTTCCACTTTTGCACTAGATACTTAAAAGCTGAGATCCAGGCTCCTGTGAGCAAGCAAGGTGGGCAGGACACAGGAGAATGAACACTGCCTAAAAGAAAAACATAGTTTTCATTGAGACTTTTTGCCAAACCAGGATTTGTTTGACTATTGCTACAGGAAGTAGTTTACGAAAACAAAACCAGGATTTGTTTGACTATAAACCTGTTAATACACTGTATGAGGTTTCTAAGGGGGGTTTTAATGCAATTATGCATTTCCTTGACATGGCAATGGGTGAATCGTGGAATCCAGGATTTCTGCATAGCAAATCGTTTTTTAATATGAGCATAAATTGTAAGGAGGTCCTTGGGGAGGGTAAGGTATTTCCCCATCATCTTGGCATTAACCATTTACCCTGGGTATCTCGCAAAACAAATGCAAAACCCACCAAAATATTCAAGTCTGACTTACTTGCTTTTTAATTTAGCTCCTTGATTTCCAGAATCCACAATTATATATATATACACATACATATATATATATATATATGTACACAACCTGCTTGCTAGTTCAAGAGTTTCCTAATGTCCGAGGTTTCCAGGGAAGGTCCAGGACTCCATAACTATGATGTTTGGTGGTTTCATGGTATGTTACATTTCTATTGATGTCATGTTGTGTACATATATGTGTTCATATGTGTTTCATTTTTCATGTATTAGTGTGTGATGTCATGTGAGATGTATTACCTAATTGCCACTGAAATGTGACATCATGTTTATGACTACATACATGTTTTATAATTACATACATTAATTACATGCATGTTTATAATACATCATGTCCACATCTCAACTGTCACTTCCTCATGAACAAACTGTCACTTCCAATGGCTGTGGATTTTATGTGTTTATGCAAGGTTGGGCATGTACAAGCATTCCAATCATTCCATTAATGGAGCATGTGGGAAGTTGGTTTCAATTTCCCAAACTACACTTGGAAAGGCTGGCGGGCCCCAGTTCATGCCTGCTAGCCAATCTTAACACAGGACCCACAAAGATCAGATCTGATCATTGTCAGTCTGAAACCATCCGGTGTTGATGGTTTAATGGGGGTTTGATTAGTTTAATTCATCACACTTGATGGATCAACCATATCAAACTACTGAGTGTGACCTTAGCCTTAGCTTGCCGATAAAATTCCAATATGTTGACGCAACACCGGCACCCCTGACCGATGTCAAATTATTGTTGAACCTATGTTAAACTATGTTCAACTATTATTAAACTATGATTTATATATTAAAGTGCCATGTTTCAGTGTGAAGATGAAGCGTTTGATCATGTTTGATCCATCCCCAACTGCCATGTGCCGCTCCAGGAACCAGCCCCGAGCGAAGCCAAAGAAGCGTGGCCGCAGCGCAGGTCTCGCTGGGTGATCGCAACGGTGACAGGACAGGTGGGGCACTGGGGGTGCAGATCTCCTGGTGAGAGCGGTTATAGAGTAGCTATGTTGGATAGACATGGATAAACTGGTTATAATCACTGATGGATGTAAGGGCTATAAGTGGTTATAGACTGGAATGATGATTAGATGACATGTGATATCATGGTTAAAATTTATTGGTGAATAGTGACTGTACGACTAAAAATGTATGACTTATGTATTATGTATCTTTAATTTTGATGAAATATAGTGACCTCACGTAGTGATGTCACTGGAATGATGGTTAGGATTGGAGAATCATCCCCAATTTTTTAGGTTATAATTCAGCCAGATATAGTGATATAATGCTTATCTCCACCAATGATAATGGTTATGATGGGGTTAGGTATGGCTCTATGATTAACAAAAAAGTGGCTATATTGCATTGTATGTGCTCCGTACTTAGTAGGAGAACTTATGTGCTATGGCAGATGTGAACAGTATGCCGACTAGTGGTCATGGCAATTCCGCACTTGGTGTTTGCAAATTGATGTGTTCTATTCTATTGATGATTTTCCTTAGGCCGTTCAATTAGCCAAGAACCCAAGAGCCCAAGACACGCAGGAGCTCCAAGGATGTCCATGAACAGCTTCCTGTCACCCTGTCGGCTTGACACTCCAGCACCTCCCCAAGATCTCTGGTAAAGGTGACCGGTGCCTCAACGGTGCGGTGACGGTGCGCCACACTGCACCACTTGGATCAGGCGGACCTCAGATAGATTCTCTCGTGGCTTGTGTTCCAAGGTAAGCCCTAGATGCCTAGATGAAAACAGGCAGAAGGAACCGTGATCGAAGGGAAGAATGAGAGAGAGCCAGTGCGTATATCCGCATGCGAAGGGGGAAAAAAGTCGGCCTGGTTTGGTAGTTCGTGGTGTAGGGTCGCTGAACCCCACTTAAACTTGAAATTCATCAGCACCCACGGATCAGAAAGTGTGGGAAACATCAGGGAACTACCGGCATTTGAGACGGTGGTGAGTTTGCAAAATCTGACCCATAGATGCTGTAATCAAAATGGCGGGCTCGGAAAACCAAGCAACCACATTCCCTGCATTTCCTGGCCATGTCAATTTTGATCCCATCCCCCTAGTATCAAACACATATGGTTCTAATGCTGTATAGTAATATCAGGGTGCTTAATATCAGGTTGAAGGTTGAAGGCCTGAATTCCCGTTTGACCTTCCCGTTTTTGCACAGGTTTGAACCATCTTCCCTCACAAACCAAATCGACATTGTATTTGATGAACCTCTGAAAATGATATCTAGGATACACCTCCCCTCTTTTTGCACGTATTTTGGGGAACAAATCGTCAAGATGCTGGTGCCATTGTTTTTGATCACCTAAGGCAGCACAGCCGTAGAGCCATCCTACAGGGAAGCTGCTGCCTGGCTGTGATCTGAGAGCGTAAGCGAAGGGTCAGAAGATGATGGAAGTTGGAGGTAGTTGGAAGATGGTTGAAAGATGGTTGGAAGTAATATGAAGTCATGGTAGGGCCTGGTATAGGGTCTGGTATAGGGTCTGCCCTCCAGAGGAGGCAACTGGAATCCATGGGATCCATTGGGTGCTGCAGGGATGCCATTGGAAAGATTTCTGAACTTCATAGGTGGCTAGTCCCCCCAGTGATTTTATATCTTATTGAAAACTATTTTTAAGATATTTGAGGTGTCCTCAACCCTATGTCAACCTCCAGTTTCTTGCATTTTTTTGGACAGTGAAAATCCCAATGTTTATCCATTCCTATTTACCCTCTGGTTATTTAACGTAGCCATGGAAAACGGCCCATTTGTAGATGGTTTACCTATTAAAAATTGTGATTTTCGATAGCTATGTTAAATAACTAGAGGATAACAACTCCAGGCAAATGTCTCCGATGTTTTCCTTGTTAATGTGGTGAAAACAATGCCATAAACCACCCATGACTGGGAATAGTTTATACCAACAAAAAGCATCTGAGCCCAGCTGGATTCTCCCTGGACCAAGGCCTGGCAGCTTGGCCCGTGGCCCTGCTCCACTGCTGGCGCTTGCGCCAGCGCGCCCGCCGGGCGGCCAGCCGGGCAGGCGGCGCCCGGGCAGCGCTGCGGGAGGGGCAGGATGCGTGGCTTGGCACGGAGGGGCAGGCGGGGGCCAATAGTTTTCATGGTTTTTCGTTGAGAAGGGGTCTGTAGATCACTATGCACGTCTATGAATCATGAATCAGTATTTACATATATGAATGAATACAAATGAATGCACATGAGGACTACAATACCACTGATCAAAATCAAAACTCATGGTCTTGTAGAGGAGTTCCACCACCAGTTGGGGCACTCAATGCCAATGTGTCCATGCCCTCTATGAACAAGCTTGAATCAGGGTTGCAACCTGGCGATGTTTCATTGCCATGTTGCCATATTTGATTGCTCTGGGGTAACACAACCGTGACCCACAAATATGGTTCTTATCAGTATTATTTCATATTATTTCAATAGTGTTAGTGACATGTGTGATATTATTTGTAGTTTGGGTTTTGATTATGTAGCAGTTAATGCTGCAACATATTAACATATTGACATATATGTCAAGATTTTAGTGATTTAGCTTTGGGGATCGAGGTTGAGGCGCTTCTTGGACGAGTGGCAGAGCTTCAGGACTGGCTGCCCATCTCTGGTGGCAGAGCCAACATCCATGGGATTCAGCTGACATCAGTTGGAATGTAACCAGATATGACCAGATATAACCAGATGATCCAAGATGATCCAGATGTTTCCAGTTTCTATGGGTCTAGCTGAAGGTAGCTATTTTACTGTCCCCTTCCGTTTGGGATGACGTTCCCCCATAATTGGTCCAGCAGCACTGCAGAAGTTGCCCCCGAAAACGGCGCCAACGTGCGCCAGTTCCCAACTCGGCCGCCATGGGAAACGCCTTGTTTGGCACGACCGCTGCATCCAGCGCGCCAGCGCCATTGCTGAAGGGGAAGAAGACTGGCAGACCAGTGACTTGGAGAAGACATAAGTTGTGGTATATTAATGGGATGTTATGTTAATGGTTGCTACTGAATGGGAATTATATAAATGTGACTATAGATTCATTAATTCCAGTAATTATAAACCATGGGATGGTGGGTAAGGGTGACATGATTCTATATGGTGGGAATTGGATGTGTGGATAAGTCTTAACATGTTTGGCAGACTTGTGGACAACCATATTTTGTCATCCGTTGTTACTTTGCAACTCTCTGTGGTATCCGGATTTTTTGGACCTGCACATGTTCCAGCACCCCAGTGACCCCACTGTCCGGAGCCAAGGGCGACAAAGACTGTGATGATTGCCTTGGCATTTTCAATTGTACCTGCCTCACTTGTTGCTACGGCTGCTTGACCTATCACCGTTGGGCCAAGTGTGTGCCACCAATGTGGGGTTTTGCATCGGAAGCATATTATGATGGTTGTACAGCAGTATAACTTATAACCCATGGAATGTCAAGACTGGTGAGGAAGATGTCCACGCCACGTCCTCGTTGCATTCTTATCCATCGATCCATTCGAGACCAACACCATTGTGGAGATGGACATTGCCATCAAATGCAATAACTTGGCTAGCTGGAAAATACTCCTATGTCTATTGAAATGATGTTCCTTTCAGCGCTTGAAACATGTTTGTTTTTTTTCCCATTGCCAGGATTAGGCTCAACCACCGGATATTGGGGATGTGACATCCCCAAAATAGTGATTGTTATTATGTTATTGCTATATTTCCAAAAAATAACATTGGGTGATAAATCACATCCCCCTAAGATCCTAAGATTAAACAATATTAAACACCCCCTGGAAACAATGGTAAAAAGTAGGGGATACCAAATGATATCTAAATAGACATATTTTTAACCATACAATGGGCGTGTTCTTCATCAAACTGTGAATGGTGGGAGTTCCTAGATCGCTAAGTTAGTTTGTATTATAAGTAGTTTTACCGCAATACCAGGTTTTTGGTGAGTAACAACTAAAACTTCATGGGGGTTATAACATGTTATAACTGGGAGGCCCCACCTGTGGCTTGACATTTCAGGCTGTCAATGCGTTGTCGCCACTTGTCACACCTGTTCCGGTTGCTGCGCACAAATGGAGCGACTGTGTGCCTGGAAGCCATTCGTTTGGGATCGGGCACTGTGCATCATCAAGGTGGTGTTCCATCTGAGTTTGTCCAAGCATTGCCAATGTTTAGCAATTTTGGGTGCACCATTTTTGGGCGAGCAAATGTTGTTACAAAAGATCTTGCTGTTCATCTAAAATACATAGTTTTGGTGCGATATTGGTGAATGGTTGGCTTTCGTGCCTGCCCTTTTCCCACAAAACGTATTTAATATGTGATTCCATCAAAAGAACGTGCATCGAAGCTTGGACATGTCGTCATGGCCTTGCACTGTGTACCGACTATAACAGAAAACCTGTGCTTTGAGGGGGGTATGATATCTGGTCTGTCAAGATGTGATGTCTTCATTTTTTTGTGTGTCAAGGTTTTCACATGTTTTCACTGTTGTTTTGGGCTTCACACTCACCAAGAAAATGCATATATAGACACGTGAATCACGTGATTTTGTTGTGCAATTCTCAACGGTTGCTATTTGGATTCCAGACTCATTGGTCAGAATCATTGGTTACTTCACGTGCCCCTTCCCTTTATATCCTACGAGGTGGTGCCCCACAGTTAGCGAAGTTGTTATATCATACTCAATGGGGTTTATAAACATTTATACACCAACTCATAGACTGGGGGCACCACATTTTGGTTGAGGCAAGATTTTGAAGTCCCCGACTCTGATCGTTTCTTCGTTTGGGCTTTGTTTCTCCACCTGCGTCAGTGTGGTCAGATCCAATTACTCTGAGGCAAGTGAGAAGATGCCTCCGCCAAGTGGCATTGATCATTGAAGCGATTTGGTGTTCTGGGGGCACTAGGTGCCAGTGCCCCCAACTAAAACATGAACACATGAATATTTCGAAACTGCTGGTGCTTCGGTACTGCCAGGACAAGGAAGGTGGCCAGGTGCTCACAAGCACACCAGGTTAGTGCCTGGTTCCCAAAGGGAACCCCAGGCTGAATGTTAGCCGACAGGGTGACCACTGGTGGTGACCGCTGGCTCCTGCGCTATGTTTCCTTCACCAGCTGTTGTTTTTAAAGCATCAGTAATCACAAGCATATCTGATGTGACAAACCCAATTTTGATTAAGTTCCAGCTGGGAATGGTTGAAATCCAGTCCGTTTCGGGTCAGATTTGGAGATTGTTTAGTTTTGGGACGTTTGGATCATTAGGATCTTTTTTGATTTTTCAAGAAAAAACACAAGATGTCTTTTCTCCACCAACCAAAGCAAAGCCAAACGCAGTAATTACATACTAACACTCAGAGCTTCAGATCGGACGACGGTGAACTGAGGTGTTTTTTTTTCTCTGGGACCCAGCATGACTTTCATGTCTGTTTGCGGATTCATCCGGATTCGGACACTGGAATAGCACGGAGGAAATGGTCCATAAGTTTGAAGAATTTGGCGTTTAGTTTTTGAATCCTTCTATAAATATATTGGTTTTGCCTACAGGCGCCAGCGATCACCCGGGACTGAAGTGGCGACAGTGACCAGTCGGTGCGACGCAACAAAAAGAGGGCTCTTTGTCAATGCTGGGATGGAACAAACAGGTGATTTAGTGAGTAAACAATCTATGTTGATGAACATGATCGTTTCTTCCATCGGTTCTAGAATTAGATCATTTTAGTGAGTATATCATTCAATTCTACATGTTCCATCATTTTCCGTTGCCCTGTTCGTTTTCTGGTGACGGACATATATCTAAAAGTTGGACAGCTGGAAGTTGTTGGAGGGGAACCATGATCCACAAAGGCCACAAGCTGTTTCCCCTTGAGCAATTCCTTGGTTTCTGCACAGCTCTACTTTGCCCCTAAATAATGAAAGCATGCTGAGCATGTTCAGCAATTCTATGGGATCCAATTCAACATATAACTTCTTACTGTGTGTTGTTTTTTCTTGGATTAAACCAGCAATAACCTTTACAAGACTGCCTTTGACATTGCTTGGGTTGAGCAAAATATATCGACTTGCAATCTGTGGGCATGAGCCCTTTGGTTTTGAAAAGGAGAACCGTTGTGAGGATCCTGGTGTCAAAACCATGTCCATCCTCCAAGCTTGGCGCAATTGGTGAACGATAGCAGATAGCAGAAACCACCTCACCCGGTTTCCGTGACGATTCTTGGGAGACTCAATACGGCATCCCTGTCTTGTGGAATGATCTTGGGGTAGCTGTGGCTAGCTACCCTCTGGTAAACATACAAAAAGCTATTGAACATGGCCCTAGAAATAGTGGATTTACCCATTAAAACTGGTTGATTTTCCATAGTTATGTTAGTTTACCAGAGAATATGTGCAAAGGAACTGTAAGCAGCCGCAGACATACACAAGATACCTGACACCATCTGACACCATGTTTCCTGGCCCCAGGAGCCGCGAGGAAAATACTGAGGGAATCTCACTGGCTCCTGTGGCTTCAATGGTTGGTCCTCGATTGTTTTTTTTTGGCACTCTAGGGAGCAAACCTGGAAATGGGACATCTCAATGTTTAATGGGAAGACTTGGGAAAATGATGCGAACATATGTGCAAAAATAGGTATTCTCAAATGCCAGGATAAATTGCCAGGATGAAGCATAATCAAAGGAACCTATGGTTCAGTTGCTGCCAAGAAAAACTAATGTTGGATTCAATGTGGGCTGTTCTGACAGCAATGGGGTTCCCATGAAGCATCGGTATGTCACATGATTTGCATGTGTTTTTTTCACTCTCCCTAGGTTCAAGCCAGTCTTCACTGTCGTGTACCATCGATGTTAGAAGCATATGATGTGGCAAACCCAAAGCCACCCACTTCTGCAAAGGATTGGTATGGCTTATCATTTGGGTGTACCAATCGTTATCATGGCAACGCGTGGTTCTGACCCACATTTTTTCTGCAAATTTGTGTTCCATCCAATTTCATCCAAGGCATTTCCACATCCAACGAAATTTCATCCAAGTTTACATCCAAATTCAGGCAATTCGATCGATTTGTTTACTGTTTTTGGGGACCATGGAAGGAACCACCTCTAAAGAACGAACATAGCTGCAAGAGTGGGAGATGCCACCAGCCACGTAAAAATTCACCAAGGATGAGCTCACTACTCTGGCCTTTGTTCGATGTTTGGCGGCTATCCCTGAGGTTGACACCGGTTGACAGGGGTCAGGGGAGCTGGTTGATGATGCCATGAAAGACTTAATCTGGTTGGCAGATGTTGGCAGCAAATGTAGTGTATGCCCAACGTGTTTCAACCATATTCGGGATGATGATTTCCAGTGACTAGCATATGTTTGAACTGGATTTATCTGGATTTGGTGGTTTTGAATAAGACTTGTGATTTGATGTGTCTTGTAATTACAACTTGTTTGCTTTCCATTGCCACGGTGCACTCCCGGAAGCATACCGGCATCTGCCTGAAAGATGTTCTGCATTTCCAAGAGCACGACATATATCATACCAATCCGAGTTGAACATCCTTCAAAAACAATATATATATATATATATATAATTGTTTGGATTTTCCCCATTTTCCCCTCATCTTTTGTCTAGCACATTCTATATCCCATAGGATCCATGGTGCTGGTATATATACTAACATAAAGGGGGTATATTGATGGGATTCATGTTACCATATATAGCATACATGGATCCTATGGGTATTAGCACATCATCAACAACTATTGAAAACTCCTTCCCCACCTACGCCGAGCCGAAGCGCCACGCCAGGCGCTGTTGCCCATCGAGTGGGAGCTGCAGCTGCGTGTCCGGCAGCTGGCTGAGGCGATGATGATGTGTTTTTTTGCACAGGTTCCCTTCAAACCGTGGTGAAGTATGGTAAAATTCCATTATTAATGGTGATTTAATGGGATTTAATGGTGATTTAATGGGATTTAATTGTGATTTAATGGTGATTTAATGGGATCTGGTGGAATTTCACCATCAACAATGCGGACAATGGGGATATATCTGGGAAAATTATAACGACCTCACTGAATTTCCCGAACCCTGGAATCATGGTGAATAAGGAGAATTATCCCAAAATGGCTCAACATTTCGGGCTAGTGACTTATTATAATTTGCCCTGATCAATGAACCATGCAAGCACAATGATGAGAATGATACTGTATGATATTGTATGATCAATCAACCAGTGTCAAGCGACGACAGTGCATCTTCCTTTTGCTTGGTTTATGAATCACTTTCTTAATGTCATTACCTTAATGAGCCCTAATAATGTTTGCCATATTATATGAATCCTTGCCATAAACACTGGTTTATCACCGGGCCTGTTCATGAATTGGGGTCCCACTCATGGGTGGTTATTTCACATGATGGGGTAAGGATTACTGTACTATTGTCCCGTTTATACGATCTTCTTATCTGATTTACAAGTATAATTGATCACTGATAGAGTACGTTTTTGTTTTCCACCATTTTCCACCTAAGACTTGACAACGATTGACGAACCATTCTTCTGCCTATATATCCTTTGGTAAACCTACATTTTGCTATGGACAAACCACAACTATTTATTATTGGTAAATCAACACACTAAATTGCAATTTTCAATAGCTTTATTAAATGACCAATTATCAGAGGGTAAATTAATGTAAATTACCAGTTCCTATAAAATGGCTATTAGATATATATATATATATAGTATCAGCATTTTTTAAATTACCAGAGGGTTGGCTGGGACCCAGTTATCAACCCAGCCACCGTTGCTTCAGGCGCTGCAGGGCCGCTTGAGGAAGGCCTGGTGCAACGTCGACGAGGACGCGGCGGTCCTACGCTGGACGGAGGCGTGTGGCGGCAGTGACCGGCCATGGTGATGCCTGGCGGTGCAAATGGCTGATTTATAATGGGTAGGAATCATTTATGATTAATGATTAATGGATAATGAGCAACGATGGTTATTGATCATGGATATATAATATAGTTAATAATTACTGTAGTTTTTAATGGTTCTGAATAATCAAACATGATGGCGCAGAATTTATTGGTAAGTTAACGATGCTGGTTACATAATGGTTAATGACGGTTAATGATGGTTAATGATGATATATGATAATTTGTGATTATATAATTGTTAATAATGGTTAATGATGATGGTTAATGGTCAATAAGTAACAATTGTTTGTAGTGGTGATCATACAGTGGAAATACAGATTAGGCCCAAGTCCAATGGATTTGAACATGTTGGCTGCACCTTTTCTTTTGTAGGGGACAACACCATATCCATATGTGTTGGTCAACTACCTCAAGCCAGTCTCTGGGTAACTTCTCATGAGATGATAGGAGCTTAATAAGCCCCCAAAAGGGCTCCTCAATCAGGCCTCAATTGATGATGGTGGAGTGGCCTTCTGGGGGCACCCTTGGGCTTATAATGAATCATAACGCACACATTTTGAATCATTTTTGAAGGAAACCTATGGAGCTGATGGAAAGGCTTCCGAAGAGCCTGGCGCAGCCGCGCCCAGCAAAGCTGAGGCAGACGTTGTGCGAATTTGGGGGTTTGAGGGGGCCGAATAACACCACCAAAGTGTTGTCTTTTTCTTCCACATGCTTTCCAAGAAGGGGTCAATTCATCGGGCATTGGGTGATACTCATGCGATACCAAGCTGGAAGCAGCGTTAAATGAGAGCAAAGGTGTGATGGCCATGCCTAGAATGAGGTCATGAGATGTTTCAGAAGCCAATGAAAGAAACATAAAGAAACGCCACCACATATTTACGGTTGATGATGTTCCATCATATCTTGTAATTTTGCGATCAGCCCTTCAGTTTCCTGATGCTGTTTGATTGATCTCCATTTTTGGACAGATAAAAGTCTTCTTTAGGCATAGTAAATGCAAATTTCTTACTGATACTACTGATACTTGCTTTCGTGGGATGAAGCGCAGAGTATTGCATGGCAGAATATTGTCCAACGAATTCATGTTTGCGATCTCCACCATTGTTTGGAGTGGTGTTTTCCTATTGGTCTCGAACACACATGTACACTATTTCATGATATATACAGAAAGAGAGAGAGAGATGACATCAACACAAACATACCAGTGACAGTTCCAGAAGTTCCAGATATTGCAAGTTCCGGGCCATTTCTTCCAAGCCAGGGTGGCGCCACAACTCACGTGCACGGCCGCAATCCCATCTCCGGGACGCTGAGCCTGGAAAATTGCGCGCAAGACTCGATATGTTTGATATGCCAATGTATGCAGTTGTTGAAATATCTGCACAGCCTGTTATCAATGCCATGCTATACCGCCGATACAAGGCTATACTGTTTAATTGTTGTTTTTGGATGCTAATCACCTGCGCATCACAACCTCCCAGGATTGTCCATTTCTTGCAAGACTTCCTGAAAGAATGGCCTTCTCCCAAAGATGAGGACGCGCGTTTTGCTGGCGTTCTGAAAGGTAGTTTGTCTCACAAGATTCAAAAACGAAGCCCTAAATAGCGGCGTGGAAGATGATGCCTTTCATTTTCATTCTAAGATTCCATGCCATTTTTGATCGTTTTTGGGTTAGCCAATTCGCCCAAACAGTGATTTCTTCAACCTGTTTGTCGTTTCCATGTCAGGATGCTGCATCATCCCAGCCTCTGTCCACCACGCAAAAGCGAGGCACAATCGCTTGCCACAAACATGGTTGTGCCTCTTTAGCCATTTTAAACTCAGCCAAAATTCCAAGCCCAGTAACAGAAAGGAGTGACGGCTGTGGCACCCCATTCTTCATGTTTCTAGGTTTCATGTCGGATGGTGAGGGCGTACCAAATTCTGCAAGTCTTGTGGGGATTGCCACCGGACCAAGATATGCCAAGTATTTTTCAATAACTCACCATGACTTTGGTTATATAAATCAATAGAAATCATGTTAAATCCCTACTATTGTTGCTTAAATCAACTCAAAATCCCCATTGTTGATGGGTTAAATCATCTTAAATCCCAGCATCACATTTTTTCTTGGTGAAATCCTTCTTGTTGATGGCTCAAATATGATTTAAATCATCTGAAATCTCATCAAATCACATTAAATCGCAATTTTTGGTATTTAGATCAGCGTAAAATCCCAACTGTTGATGGTTTTTTGATCCCACTTTTTTCGCCATCCGAACGGCACCTGCCCCGCGTCGCAGGGAACCTGATCTTCGCGGCTTGGCTCCTGGGCAGCACGGCGCTCTACGCTGCGGCCACCTTGGCGCGACCGAGGACGGAGTGAGGCGGGTTGGAAATTTCCATGGCAAAGCCCAAAGAGATGAGTAGGGTGGCTTTGATGGGGTTTAAATATGACTAAATAATATGTTTGGATATGTTTAGATGGGTTGAGATTTACAGGGATTTCAGCTGGATTTTACTGTTCAAGTCCTTTTTTTGGGTGTCTATATTTCGAATATGTTGGGCTTCATAACTTAATTACTTGGGAGGATGGGGTGAGGTAAAACCACCAACAAGCAACAAAAACTGGGATTGATTTACCAAAAGAAATGGAATTGTATACCGACAACCCGATAACACCAGATACTGTAGTCATTCAGGTGCTGGTTGTAGTGGCTGCATTCATTCTTAAAGACTCTTGAAAGGCAACACAAGCAATGAGAAAATGAAGATGCTTATCAAATACGCGATGGCTGAATATCATTATGGTTTCCATGTCTTTGTTTACACGTGACACAAATCTCCAAGAACAAGATATTCAACACTGCAAGTGCAGTGGTTTAAAAAGTAAAACGTGATTTCTCTACGTATTTGAACTTACAATAAATACTTTTTGGCGTACCTGGACCGAAATGTCCCAATGGCTACACTATAGCCAGGCGCTTTGCCCATCGCGAATGGTCAAAAGCTTCTGCAGATGCGCCAGCGGCTGGGTCCGTTTAACAGGAATTCGATGGAATTCGAACATACCCATCATCAGTCTGTTTTGAGAATATCATTTCCTCCTGTTGAGAAAATCACATGGTTTAGAACTTGCGGATATCCATTTCCCAAATGAATCAAAAATGTCCATTCAAACTGGGAAAGGGGTCAACATCTTTGCCGGGCATTGCAGAAACCCGGCACCCGACCAACCAGTTGTTTCTTGTCGCAGCTGTTTAGGCTGCCGGATTCCTGGCAGCCAGTGCAACACTTTTGCACGCTTGCTCGACCAAGCTTGATGTGGAGCACAAGTCGAGCCGTAGATACCGTATTTGGTTCCCACATGAGAGGGCTCAACAGCAGCTAGATACATGAAAACAGCCAACTCAATCCCTAGGCAGGATCCCAACGTGATGCACCAGTTGAAAGTACTACAGCAAGATACGCTGCCCGGGTGCCCCCACTTTATCCCTGCTAGTCCAGCCACCTGACCATATGGATCCTCAAATGATCTCGAATTGTAGCTAGGAAAACCCAATCTTCCACACAAAAAACACTGTCAGACTGCTGGATGTTCACTTTCTGATTAGTTTTCCACAGGCCCTATATTGAGGGTAGATCCAGCACTGCTGACACTGCACCTGTCATGGCTGACATCACCTGAGTCATGGCCGAGCCTCGGCCTAGGGGAAATCCCAGACCTAAGTGACAGGTGACTCAGGTGACACTCCCAACAGATGACTTCCCCAACCAGCACGGCTGCTGTTTGGTCCTGGCATCATCCCAATACCAACAACTTAAGTTTTCCTCCCAGCAAAACCTTATATATATAATATATAGTATGCATATATATATATTATATGCATCAGTTACCAATAACTTCAGGGTTCATCCCAGCGCGGGGTGCGGCTGTGTGGCATCCCTGCACCCAGGAGCTGTTGGTGTTGCACCTGGACCGTGGAACACCGGACCCACTGGGCTGCAGTGAGGGGGAGGGTTGAGAACAGGTACACGCCATAAATTAGGAATCATTCCGTCGCCGTATCAGGGGCATTATCCAGTAAAATCAACTTGGTTCGATTTGGGTAAATGTCTGGGAGACGTACTTAAACCTTTGGGGTGTCCGAAGAAAAGTTGATAATCGCACATAAACAAATGTTCGATAATTTTGGGGAGAGGAGCGTGATGAAAGGAGCAGAAGTAGAGCCATGTGGGGGCAGGGCAGTTGGGAGGCCCATTACTGAAGAAACCTCTGATGAAGACAGCTGGTGAATGGTGAATCGTGGTAAATATATATGTAAATATGTTGATATCTAAGGCAGCGGTTAAATGGGCCCTTGGTTTTTTTGGTTGTTGGGAGGGGTTGCTGTTGTGAAGGTTGTTGAATGCTCATGTTGTTTGGTGAAAACCACCAGGTTGGTAGATAGGGCAGTTCTTTGATTTGATCCTTGCTAAGCTGCTAACCTTTACGAACTTCACCAAGCATGGAGTGAGTGCCAGATTGAAAGACTATAGTGCTTACCTGGGTGCCAATTCAGCATGACAATAGACAACAGCACATTTGGCCCATCAATTTGCCATGTGTGGAACATTCTGCCATTTTGTGGTTTTCGTTGATGTGTCAGTCCCATCACCGGGTTGGAACCATCTAGCATTTACCACCGCGCCTAGAAACTATATCGCTATATCTCTCATCCACGTTTGATCTCTAAGAACGATAAGATCAATAACTAAGATGAGACATGATATGCATAACCAGCAGGAATGCCCATGGAGAACTGAGCGCCTGGGAGGACAGCACCTCACTGGGCATCGATGTGGAAACCGGTCGTCAATCTGCTGGATGGGATGGAAAGACGGTGCTCATCAAGAAAGCCACTGGGTGATGTAAAAATGCGTGGCAGTTTTGATCCTGGGGTGTTTCACTAGTTCGTTGTGTTCCTCCATTTGCTGGGTATGACCGTCCTGAAATTCGATACTGAGATTATGATAGAGAGCTGAATTTGGGATGGGCTGATTCTTTTGAACTAGTGATGGTGTTTGTGGTATCTTGGGTGATCCTCCCAATCAATTGAACAACTTGGGAACTACTGTGGGAAGCCTTGTGTACTAAAGATATGGCAATTCATTGGGTGATCACTACTCACTACTGCTCGTTTGGGAGCTTGAGGTACCGCCATTTCCATTCCAATTCAATCACCGGAATGGTACTTGGGTCCCAAGGCAACTGTCAGATTGGGTGATACATTGTTTTATACATCGTTTTATTCGTTGAATCTCAGGCGTGCACGCCTTTGCTGGTTGATTGTTTAACGGTCAAAGATGTTGACAACCCATCCCTGCCATGATCAAAATTCATGTAAATTCATCATGCACCAGATTGACTTTGTGTTTTGTTTTGGGGAATTTCCCATGGTTTTTCCATTCCTTTCATTTGGAAGGTCGACACATGGCACCTCCGTCAGCCCCCAAGGTGAAGGAGGGTGCCATCCAAGCCTGGTGTCAGCAACACAGGTGCGGCTGAAGCGCCATGGGGATATGTCAAAACCTACCATCTCGGTTGGGATAAACATGGATGAACCTGTTTATATATATATATATGTATATAATATCCCGGTCATTTAAATAGTGCTTTTTTGATGTGAGCAGAGGGGATAATGGATGGTAATGGGGTTTGACCCAGCCCCATAGCAGTTGGTTTTCTATTTTGATTCAGACCATGTGCGGTCAGAAGTTTGAAATATGATATGTCAATATGTTGAGCCTTTCTCTGGTAATGTGTCCGTCGAATTGGGCCTTTGACATCCTTTGACAACGATTGATGTGTTGATGGTAGTGGCTTTCGGTCCTGTCAAATGTGATGGACCTCCTGTGCGGAGCCGTTTGATGCACAGAAGGCATCCGGCTACTACATTTGGAACAACACCATTTTTCAATGCCGCAGCCACTTGATACAGGAAATCATTGACAGAGAAAGTGAGATAGGGTACCTATGAAATGTGTTTCAGAAAGATTGCTTTTGGGGTGTTCTTCTCGGGCCAGAGCTTTGTTGCTCAATCTCCGGGCCCTTGGCCCCTAGCACCCCAGCACCACATAGCACCACAGGAGGATGGATAGGAACACAGTAGGGCTTGACAGGAACTCTTTCCATGCAATTATACACTTCGACCGTTTCACCGCGCCAGTGGTATGATGGCCGAGCAGTCCACAGACGCACAGAGCCTTGTCAAAGTTTCAGTCTCACCGCTGCTAGCGCGAAATTGGGCATCGCAGTTGAAAAGAGAAACAGTTGAGAACAGTTAATATGGTCAAAAAGACGGTGCCAAAATGTTGCAATGAAAGAATTATGCAGTCATTCCCCATGTAGGGTTTCCTTCCTCCAACTTCTGGCGAAGTTGCCCCCAATCCACCCAGGATTGTGGAGAAGTTCAAGGACATCAGGGAGGAGGCGCTTCAATATAAGGATGAGGAGCCTGCCGATCAGTGGGAATGCGCAGGCAGCATCCAGAAGATTACCAAGGAGATCCAGGCATTGCTTGGCCCTGATCCAGGTGAAGCAAGCCCGGTGGTGCAGGACCGGGGACGTAGCCCGGGTGGCGGGTGGCACTTGTTTTCCAAGGATCATCCTCAATAAATATAGATCATGAAACCATAATATATTTATATATGTATATATATATATATTTATTTATTTATATATTTATATTTATATATTTATATGGGGAAAAACAATAAGGTGGTCAGTGAACGTTGGTATCGGAATAACTTTACGCTTGATTTCTGAAGCCTTTCTAGGATCGCCGCTGACATTGCAGACCTGTCCCCTTCAGGAAAGCCATTCATCAGCACTTCCTTTTGCTGATTTTCCCTGTGACAATGCCCTGGAAGTGTTCGCAGCAGTTCACCAATGTGCACAAGATATGGCCCATCCACATGCAAAGCCACTCTGGAGATCAGCTTGTCGAAGCATCATTGCTGCCGCTCGGAGAGCCGAGCTGCTGCTCCAGCCGTTGCTGTGGGTAGAGGTTTTCCCTGAGGAGCTGGGGCCAGATGCCGCTGAGTCAGTTGCCTTCACACATCCGACAGCTGAATCCCACCCACAGGCGCATCTGGAAGGCAGTGTTACTGCAGTAACATGGAGTGAGCCATGGACACAAGGAGAGGCCGAGAGAGTAGACGTTCCTGAAGAGAACTTTGGGGGTAGAATCGAGGCAATCATGCAAGACTTGGAGCACAAACTGCTGGAGTTGAAGAAGGAACACGGCAATCAAGATCATGCAGACATTGCTGCGACACTTCTCTGGCTAGGTGCTGTGAGTTGCCAGGCTGGAGATCTCAAGGGAGCAAAGCAGCAGGTGGAGGAGTCTTTGCGAATGAAGCGCTCCTTGCATGGAGATAAGGACCATCCAGGCATTGCTGCGACACTTCATGAGCTAGGTGTGCTGAGTCACCAGGCTGGAGATCTCAAGGGAGCAAAGCTGCAGCTGGAGGAGTCCTTGCGAATGAATCGCTCCTTGCATGGAGATAAGGATCGTCCAGGCATTGCTGCGACGCTTCACTCGCTAGGAGTGGTGAGTTGCCAGGCTGGAGATCTCAAGGGAGCAAAGCAGCAGGTGGAGGAGTCCTTGAGAATGGAGCGCCCCTTGCATGGAGATAAGGACCATCCAGGCATTGCTGCGACACTTCATGAGCTAGGTGTGCTGAGTCACCAGGCTGGAGATCTCAAGGGAGCAAAGCTGCAGCTGGAGGAGTCCTTGCGAATGAATCGCTCCTTGCATGGAGATAAGGATCGTCCAGGCATTGCTGCGACGCTTCACTCGCTAGGAGTGCTGAGTTGCCAGGCTGGAGATCTCAAGGGAGCAAAGCAGCAGCTGGAGGAGTCCTTGAGAATGGAGCGCCCCTTGCATGGAGATCAGGAACATCCAGACATTCCTGCGATGCTTCACTCGCTAGGCATGGTGAGTCACGAGGCTGGAGATCTCGAGGGAGCAAAGCAGCAGCTGGAGGAGTCCTTGAGAATACACCGCTCCTTGCATGGTGATAAGGATCATCCACACATTGCGGTGACACTTCATGAGCTAGGTGCGGTGAGTTGCCGGGCTGGAGATCTCAAGGGAGCAAAGCAGCAGCTGGAGGAGTCCTTGCGAATGAATCGCTCCTTGCATGGAGATAAGGATCATCCACAGATTGCGGTGACACTTCATGAGCTAGGTGCGGTGAGTTGCCGGGCTGGAGATCTCAAGGGAGCAAAGCAGCAGCTGGAGGAGTCTTTGCGAATGAAGCGCTCCTTGCATGGAGATAAGGACCATCCAGGCATTGCTGCGACACTTCATGAGCTAGGTGTGCTGAGTCACCAGGCTGGAGATCTCAAGGGAGCAAAGCAGCAGCTGGAGGAGTCTTTGCGAATGAAGCGCTCCTTGCATGGAGATAAGGACCATCCAGGCATTGCTGCGACACTTCATGAGCTAGGTGTGCTGAGTCGCCAGGCTGGAGATCTCAAGGGAGCAAAGCAGCAGCTGGAGGAGTCTTTGCGAATGAAGCGCTCCTTGCATGGAGATAAGGACCATCCAGGCATTGCTGCGACACTTGATGAGCTAGGTGCGGTGAGTTGCCGGGCTGGAGATCTCAAGGGAGCAAAGCTGCAGCTGGAGGAGTCCTTGAGAATGGAGCGCTCCTTGCATGGAGACAAGGATCATCCAGACATTGCTGCGACACTTCACTCGCTAGGTGCGCTGAGTTGCCGGGCTGGAGATCTCAAGGGAGCAAAGCTGCAGCTGGAGGAGTCCTTGCGAATGAATCGCTCCTTGCATGGCATGCATGGAGACCATCCAGGCATTGCTGCGACACTTCATGAGCTAAGAGTGGTGAGGGCCTGCAGAATTCTTCGCACATGTTTTGTGGTCGCGGTATTGCTGGTGCCAGAACTGCTGAGACTAGGCCAGGTGGATCAACATGCTGGATCCTTCAGCAATGTTTTTTTTGGCAGGCTTCTCCCTGCACTCGTCATGTGTAGGGTCATAAGGTTGCGGTGATTTGCTTGATTTTTGACAACTCCGCTACTGGTATCGTTCACAAGACCTGCCGGAAGATGATGGCTTTTGAGCAAAACCCACGCAGTGCAAATGGCTGCATATTGTCTATCCAGGCACCCTGCGCGATTTGTATGTAATCCTGATCGGACGGGCAATAATTACTATAAGATGTTTTGCTGTTTGCATTGCGATAAGTTGCGCTGTTTTTGCGGTGTGGTTTCGTTTTTGAAACGCTACAGTCATTTTGAAGCATTCCTTCGCCATCATTCAACATATTGCTCGTTTTCCGAGGCGTTTTTAATTCTGACACCTGGAAATAAATGGAACTTCTCATGTGGGATGAAATCTTTATGCTTACACTTGCTGATGCCAGGCTGGGAATTGTACAACATGCCGTTCTCCTATTTGCCGCTATTATGGGTACTTGAGTACATCGCAGATTTCCTGCTTGCACAAGTGCCCCCCTCCATGAGTACCAAAATGTAATCACCTTGTTCATTGCTTTTGACTGGCTATATGGCTTGGTGAGTTGGTAAGATCTGATCCTGTTCTGGTTGCCCACAGTGGGCCGCTGGGATCATCGTGGATTTCACTTGTCTATCCTGAGACTGAGACGTTTCTTCTGGTTCTCTCTCAAATGTCAAGCCCCTATCCGTGACGCCCCGATGATTTGTATCCTTTGTTCTTGTTATTGGTGTTCATTTGATGTTTGGTTCCATGGATTGCGCCCTAATTTTCCCGGCTAAAACCCATCAGCAACCCCTCCCTGGCACCTCCCTGGGACCTCGTCCAAGGTCCTCCACACAGTCGCCCCCAGTGCCAGGCGCCTGATCCAAACCGGGGATCGCATCGTCTCGGCCAACGGCCACACAGGTGATGCAGAGAGGTGGCTCAGCACAAAATCGACGCTGGGGTGGTAAGGTTGGGCGTTTACGTCAAAATAATTTCAGCATCAAACCCAGATACACTTAGAGAATCAAAAGTTGGATTGATAGTAGCCGTGGGTGCATCCACCAGCCCCAAGCATGCCACTAGCTGAACGTCTAAGGATCTTGGCTGAGTGCCAGAAGCGTCAGGCTTTGCGGCTTGAAATTAGAGCTGTTTCTTCCACCAGGCCCAGTTGGGGGGAGAGGATGGCTGCGGTGGATGCGCCAAAGACAAGAATAAAATGGGAAAACAACGCAGTTTGTTTGGCAATATGGCAACCCAAAATCTATTAATTAAATTTAGTTAACCTGATAAAATGGTGTTCATTGTTTTCTAATAGCAGTCTCCAGGTATTTCCGGTTTGGTGGAAAACATGTGCTTCCACAACTTGCCAACTTGAGCAGGATTGACAGTTCCTTATGAGAGGGTTCAATTGAGCATAGTTCCTTTTGACCCGTTTTAGCCAAGAACATGTTACTGCATGACTTGGTTCACACGTATTACTATTATTTACATATGTTTTGGTGATTCAGTGTAGCTGACTGAAATCATTTAAAATCCATATGCAGCTTGTTTGCTTGGACAAAATGAGGAACCCGTGGCCACCAACATGTTTTCTGAGGTATTCCATGACTTCCATATGGTTGATTTGCTTCCAAACGGGTTTCAACATGCTGCACTAGGCGTCCTGCTGCTGGTGCAGAGCATGTGGAGGAGACAAGTTTCAGTGCCAGGGGCCACTTGCCTTGTTTGCTTCTTGAAAATCGAGCATAACTTATTCATTTTGAAGTGCGTGTTGATGATTTCCTGTTCAACTTGCAGACTTAATATAATTATTTTGCCGCGGCGGATGTATGCAGTGTTTACTGATCTTGGGGGAACCCTTTCGTGTGCGGGAACACTTCGAAAAGAGCTTTATTCGGATACGAGCAAAACGCTAACTTGGATGTACAAGTAAGAGCTGAGGTGCAATCCAACTCTCTGTTTGGGAAAGATCTTTAGCCAGATACTGTGCTGTGAAATGGATATATGTCCATGGTTTTGTGCCAGGAACTCGCACATTCACCTTTCTCTTGTAGCAAAATGTTGGGTCTTAATTGCGACCCATTATATACACATACTGGCAGTTGGCTTTACTTTGTTTCTTTGCCCTCCTATTGGGGTGATGATAGTTGAAGTTGAATTACATTGCTCAAGGAGTGTTAATAAGCCACCAATGTGTCTGACGAACCAATGTACATCGGTCCAATAAATAAATGATCAATTTGGAGACCACCATTTTTGACCCCATACCCATTTGGTGTTTTAATTTTGTTCATTTCAGATCTACACAGTTAACCGGTTGTCTTCCACCAGACCCTTCGTGCCACAGGAGATTCGCGAGGCCTTGCGCAGCGCCAGCAGTGCGGCGGAGGCGGTGCAGCTGCTGAGGAAACATCGAGGCGTGGTCCATCGCGCCATCAGGGGATCCCACCAGTCGGGGGCTTAACGGCACCTTGGATCACATAAACTTCACTGAGTTTTAATTTGTTTAAGTAACTTTGTCACACCTTGTAAGATGGTGCGTTTTGTCTTCCAGAGTTTCCAACCATAGAATTCACCAACCACCATTGTGAAAACCAAACGTCTCTAACTTGAGGGGTTCCCATTCCCAGCCACCGTCAGCCTTCGCAGACCACTGGCACCCCAGCTGGGGTGCTGAAGCCTTGCTTCGCGTGGCCTTGCGCTCCACGCAGAAAACGAAGTTGGCATGGGCCAAGGTGCAGCCCACCAGATCTTCCAATTGGGGATGGCGATTCTTTACAGTACTGGTTTCTGGTCGACTTTGGGGGTTGTTTCTATTATTGGAGATTCATTGTTTTTTGTTACAGTTGATCACCCCGAAAGTCACAAATAACCATTTCTTGTCGACGTTAATCCTCTAATCATCTAATTCCAAACATTTCTTTTAAATGAATCTACTCCTCCAAAAAGAACCTGTCAGATACACGTGGAGCAGTCAAGAGTTTATATTAATGCTGTTCCGATGGCAGGACGCCGCGGTGTTGGAGCTGGCGGAATGGCAGCTGAGCGAGGTGAAGATGGCCAAGGAGCAGGGAATGATCCACGGAGGCCACGTTGGGAGATCCCAGGGCCACTAGGACTGTGGGGGTGGCAGGCAGAAAAGGATTCATATGTTGAGTATTGTTGAATGATTCATGAATTATGATGGATGCTGGAGTTGTGTAAATGAATGCCTAAGTAGTTTTTCAGAGAATCTGCTGGCATTTTATATATAGATTAGTGAAGCTGTCGCTTGGCGAAAAGAAACACATGCTGCAAGGTCCTTTGGGTGGTTGGTAAATTGGCAAATTAATCTCAGCAGGCTTCGTAGGCAAAAATAGGCCTAGATTCCCCAAAGGGTTTGAACAAGATTTCCAGCGCCTGGGGTGAACTGTAGCTGACTCAAGCATCATCCCCCAACCTGAAGCCATCTCTCCTTGTGAGTGTTAGGAGCTGGCTGAGTTGGAGACATCCTTGGTTTCTTTGGAAGGCAGGGTGCCGCCTTGCAGGTTGGGAAGGATGACCATGAATTGTGATGGCTGGGGGCGGTAAAGGCTCCATTGGTTCTATTGGTTGGTTGGTAATGCTTTGCATATTTTGGTGTGTGGTCAGGTTGGTTTATTTGGCATTTCTATTAGTTGGTCGCATTGTTGACCAGCTGACTGACTGTTCGGCCCCTTTGGCAATCCGTACGTGTGATCAATCATGATCAAACTCACGAGTCAGGATTTAAAACTGTTCAGAATAGTAAGGGTTCAATTTATTTTAGCAAAAGACACTTAGCATTTAACATAATAACATTTAAGATAAACGGATTACCTTTTTCGTTGCCCTATGATGTTGGCCCACACCCCATAGAAAGCCAGGCTTGAAACGTCTGGGTTTCCAGCTCTCCTTGGAGCACGTGGCGCATGTGGCCCGGCTCCTGACCCCCCAGGCCCGGTGAGTGGAGGTCCTGTCCCATGCGTGTGGCATACATAGGCCAGACAAATTTGACCACCTCCAAATTATGTAGATACTTGAAATGTGCTTGCTTCATCTAGCTGAATCTAGCTTCAACTTCTTGTTTTTCATGAGCTTTCGGGATCATTTTGCACGCCTCTTATATTTTTGGAGTGTGAACTGATACCACCAGCCGGTCATTGATGTGTCTCAGAAAATTGTAGGCAGCTCGCAGCAGATGACAAATTTGATCAATAGTGTGCTCCAGTCTTGCTGGGTTTGCCCAAGTCCCAAGTTGAACTAGCATGTCTACGCCTCACATGCGTGTCAGTGGACCGCGAATTATGGATTTAAAAAACTATACATCCATAGCAACAGACACCAATAACATACAATAACTACAATAGTAACAACAATAAGAGCAATAATAATTATAAACATCATCATCGTCATAGCATTGTATCCTTTTACAAAAGCATGTTTCCCCATAGTATCCAACGCCTGCCATCAGGGCCTTAAGATGTCCAGCAAGTCCATCTGTCGCCTGCTGTGGCTGGCTGCTCCCTGGAAGCAACGCAGCAAGGACCTGGCCGAGGTGGCGAGCCACTTGGACGGTGGTTGGGCGACTGGGGATTCTCAAAACGGGGATCCCCAAGTCACCATGGGTTTCAAAACTAAAATGGTCATCAATGGCTTGGATGATTTGGGGATACCACCATGACTTAGGAAAGCCCCGAATGGTTAGTTTGGAAAGGGAAACTATTTTTTGTTACTCTTTTTACCCCCAAAGATATCCAAGCATGGGGTGGTACTTGACATGTTTAGACCAGACGTTGGGACACCAACCCCAAAATGATCGAAAATGGATGAAATTTGTTTGCAACGGTTTGTCGTGGTTTCACTGCCCCTGACCACGTTGAACCACTTTGCATACATTTTCATATATGTGGTGTACCTATGTTAAAGGTACAATAAATATGGGCTGATAGATGCAGTATATGTGTTTATTTTACAAAATGGGATATGTGTACATGTAGCCCAATGTTTACGTACCAATCTGCACATCAGCAATTTAATTAAGCGCACACCTATGGGACCCCAATATTGGGGGTTCCACTTTCAGACAGGGGAAATTGAGAATTAGATCATATTAGATCTATATATTAGATCTGCTGTGTGTATATATATATATTTAGCTTCAATCATCCAACTTGCAGGCTGCAGAATTTTGATTCATGTACCTGTAACCAACGCCACGGATCCACCCTTCCTGGGCCGCCTAGGCCTGTTACGTGTGCTGCGTCAGCGCAAAGCCGCTGACTTTGATGGACTGGACCTGAGGCCACTGGTGGTGCTGTCGTTTGCTGAGGTTATGGGTTATGGGTTAACTTGGGTTTCTGGTGATGATATGTGATGATAACATATGAGTAACCGACAAATTTATTGTAATATACTGACCCGGTCTTTGCTTCGCCTTGGCCTTTCCGAGGTTGCACAAAACCTTCATAACCGATCCGGGACGACCCTTTTCCGATCCCCCATTTGTGATACCTCTGGGAATACTGAAATCCTCACAACCAATAGGGGACGACCCTAATTTGTGCATGGCAATCATTAAATTTACATATAATTTTTTCCGTGTACTAATATGATAACTGGGTTAAGAAACCAACTTAGTAGGGGCACCACCTTGTCCTCGTGCCATGTATGCTATATCTACCGACATTCAGCACATTCGGGCGATTCTTTGAGGTAGTGTGCCATATAGTGCCTGTTAAAAGGATGGTTTGAGATATGGAGGATGATCTAAGCTTTTGGGTTATGGCACGTTTGCCACAATGAGTGTTCCCTGTGGGTTAAGTGGTTAAGCCATGTCTCCTGAGTATGTATGAATGAGGCATCATTTTGGGGACAGTGTGTCAAATACTTTCTCGCAATGTATTTCGAATCATTGGAAGCCATGATTCTAAGATTTGTCACAGTTCTCATCCCACATGTTCCTGCAATGCCTTTTGCCATACGCACATCACCTTTCATCAACTTATTTTGTTTGTATTTTGAATTTTCAACATGACTCATGACCCTGCCAAAAGGTTTGACACCCCACTAAGCAGGAGAGAACCAGGATGGCTTCCCGCCCTGGCAGTTGGGCCAGGTTTCACGAACAGCCTATGCTACTTCCATGGTTTGTTGCCTACGACCTACAAGGTGGTGCCAAACTAGTTAGAAGATCTTACAAGTTGGCTTCCTAACCCACCCAGCTCCAAAGATATAATCACCATAATCACCGTCACCATCATCACCATATTTGTAAACCAAACATATCATCACCATAAACCCATATAAAGCCATATTAACGATACATAAACCCTTTATAACCCTGTAGTTAACCCAGTTGATAACATCCAAGCCGCGGCGACACCACCAATTTTTCTGCTGTTCAGGATGCTCTTCGATGCCGCCCGGAGGTGGTCCGAGACCACCTGGCTACAGGCAGATGTTTCGCCATCCAAAAAGGTTCCAATATGGAGGTTACTCTCTGGTAAACTAGCAATAACTAACATAGCTATGGAATGCTATGGAAAATCACCATTTTTCATAGGTAAATCAACTCTAAATGGATATATAGTGCCGGACATACACTTAGAAGATAATTTGGAAAAAATAAAACAAGATTGATGCCGCGAGCCGATCTCACACTTAGAAAATCACCAAATCTCACACTTAGAAATTCCAGTTTTGCATTGAATCACACCGTGCCCTGCAGAAGCCTCACACTTAGAACATCCTGTAGACATAGTCAATCATAGTCATATATTTTGTATTAAAAAACATATATTTTGATTGTTCTTCACAACTGGTTGAATGCCACTGGCATCATACCCTTGGGAAGCTTCACACTTAGAACATCACAAAACCTAACCATAGGAAAACTATGTGTAATTGGATTATATATACATATACACACACACATATATATATATATATCATAATGATACTTTTCCCAATCCTTTTTCATTCATCTTCCCAATCCTTTTCCTTTTCCCTTCCTTTCCTTTTCCTTTCCTCTTCCTTTCCTTTTCTTTTCCTCTTCCCAATCATTTTCCTTTTCCGTCCCTCGTCCTTGCCTCTTTTTGCAAAAGCATGGGTAGCGATAGGCCCCCTCCAGACACCCAAATTTCCGGAACCAAGCGAAGACATTAAGTTTTGACAAGGCCCCATATATGCTAGCATTCTGCTGTGGGAGCCCCACACTTAGAACATCCGATATTGAATTGTGCTTGAATATTGATTCAACTACGCTTTGGTAATGATGTGCATGGGGATTTCAAATGTGCTTCGAGTTAAGTTCACATCTCAAAAATTTCTGAATCAAATCAGTAGATTACCCGTTCCACATGGGATTCAAAAGTCGGCTGTCGGTGATTCAAAAATATACTCAAATATAAATATGCTAGCATTCTGCTGTGGAGACCCCACACTTAGAACATCCCATGTTGAACCGCGATTGAATATTGATTCAACTACGCTTTGGTGTTGATGTGCATGGGGATTTCAAATGTGCTTCGAGTTAAGTTCACATCTCAAAGATGTCTGAATTAAGTCCAAAGATTACCCGTTTCACATTGGATTAAAAATTTGGCGGGCAATTTTTATATATATATATATACATGTTCTAGCATTCTGCTGCGGAGACCCCACACTTAGAACATCCCGTCTTGAATTGCGCTTGAATATTGGTTCAACTACGCTTTTGTGTTGATGTACATGGGGATTTCAAATGTGCTTCGGGTTAAGTTCACATCTCAAAGATTTCTGAATCAAATCAGTAGAGTACCCGTTCCACATGGGATTCAAAATTCGGCTGTCGGTTGTTCAAAAATATACTCAAATATAAATATGCTAGCATTCTGCTGTGGAGACCCCACACTTAGAACATCCCATGTTGAACCGAGATTGAATATTGATTCAACTACGCTTTGGTGTTGTTGTGCATGGGGATTTCAAATGTGCTTCGAGTTAAGTTCACATCTCAAAGATTTCTGAATTAAGTCAATAGGTTACCCGTTTCACATTGGATCCAAAATTCTGCTGCCAGTGACAATAAATCTGTATATATATATATTCTAGCATTCTGCTGTGGAGACCCCACACTTAGAACATCACATATTGAACCGCGTTTGAATATTGACTCAACTACCCTTTAGTGTTGATGTACGTGGGGATTTCACTTGTGTTTCGGGTTAAGTTCCCATCTCAAAGATTTCTGAATCAAATCAGTAGATGACCCGTTCCACATGGGATTCAAAAGTCGGCTGTCGGTGATTCAAAAATATACTCAAATATAAATATGCTAGCATTCTGCTGTGGAGACCCCACACTTAGAACATCCCATGTTGAACCGCGATTGAATATTGATTCAACTACGCTTTGGTGTTGATGTGCATGGGGATTTCAAATGTGCTTCGAGTTAAGTTCACATCTCAAAGATTTCTGAATCAAATCAGTAGATTACCCGTTCCACATGGGATTCAAAATTCGGCTGTCGGTTGTTCAAAAATATACTCAAATATAAATATGCTAGCATTCTGCTGTGGAGACCCCACACTTAGAACATCCCATGTTGAACCGCGATTGAATATTGATTCAAATACGCCATTTCAATATGTTAAGTTCACATCTCAAAGATTTCTGAATCAAATCAGTAGATTACCCGTTCCACATGGGATTCAAAATTCGGCTGTCGGTTGTTCAAAAATATACTCAAATATAAATATGCTAGCATTCTGCTGTGGAGACCCCACACTTAGAACATCCCATGTTGAACCGAGATTGAATATTGATTCAACTACGCTTTGGTGTTGTTTTGCATGGGGATTTCAAATGTGCTTCGAGTTAAGTTCACATCTCAAAGATGTCTGAATTAAGTCAATAGGTTACCCGTTTCACATTGGATTCAAAATTCTGCTGCCAGTGACAATAAATCTGTATATATATATATTCTAGCATTCTGCTGTGGAGACCCCACACTTAGAACATCCAATATTGAATTGTGCTTGAATATTGATTCAACTACGCTTTGGTGTTGATGTGCATGGGGATTTCAAATGTGCTTCGAGTTAAGTTCATATCTCAAAGATTTCTGAATCAAATCAGTAGATTACCCGTTCCACATGGGATTCAAAATTCGGCTGTCGGTTTTTCAAAAATATACTCAAATATAACTATGCTAGCATTCTGCTGTGGAGACCCCACACTTAGAACATCGCATATTGAACCGCGTTTGAATATTGACTCAGCTGCCCTTTAGTGTTGATGTACGTGGGATTTCACTTGTGTTTCGGGTTAAGTTCACATCTCAAAGATTTCTGAATCAAATCAGTAGATTACCCGTTCCACATGGGATTCAAAAGTCGGCTGTCGGTGATTCAAAAATATACTCAAATATAAATATGCTAGCATTCTGCTGTGGAGACCCCACACTTAGAACATCCCATGTTGAACCGCGATTGAATATTGTTTCAACTACGCTTTGGTGTTGATGTGCATGGGGATTTCAAATGTGCTTCGAGTTAAGTTCACATCTCAAAGATTTCTGAATCAAATCAGTAGATTACCCGTTCCACATGGGATTCAAAATTCGGCTGTCGGTGATTCAAAAATATACTCAAATATAAATATGCTAGCATTCTGCTGTGGAGACTCCACACTTAGAACATCCCATGTTTAACCGCGATTGAGTATTGATTCAAATACGCTTTGGTGTTGATGTGCATGGGGATTTCAAATGTGCTTCGAGTTAAGTTCACATCTCAAAGATTTCTGAATCAAATCAGTAGATTACCCGTTCCACATGGGATTCAAAATTCTGTTGCCAGTGACAATAAATCTGTATATATATATATTCTAGCATTCTGCTGTGGAGACCCCACACTTAGAATATCCCGTATTGAATTGCGCTTGAATATTGATTCAACTACGCTTTAGTGTTGATGTACATGGGGATTTCAAATGTGCTTAGGGTTAAGTTCACATCTCAAAGATTTCTGAATCAAACCAGTAGATTACCCGTTCCACATTGGATTCAATATTCTTCTGCCAGTTCAATCTGTATACATATATATATATATGCTAGCATTCTGCTGTGGAGACCCCACACTTAGAACATCGCATATTGAACCGCGTTTAAATATTGACTCAGCTACCCTTTAGTGTTGATGTACGTGGGATTTCACTTGTGTTTCGGGTTAAGTTCACATCTCAAAGATTTCTGAATCAAATCAGTAGATTACCCGTTCCACATGGGATTCAAAAGTCGGCTGTCGGTGATTCAAAAATATACTCAAATATAAATATGCTAGCATTCTGCTGTGGAGACCCCACACTTAGAACATCCCATGTTGAACCGCGATTGAATATTGATTCAACTACGCTTTGGTGTTGTTGTGCATGGGGATTTCAAATGTGCTTCGAGTTAAGTTCACATCTCAAAGATGTCTGAATTAAGTCAATAGGTTACCCGTTTCACATTAGATCCAAAATTCTGCTGCCAGTGACAATAAATCTGTATATATATATATATATATTCTAGCATTCTGCTGTGGAGACCCCACACTTAGAACATCCCGTATTGAATTGCGCTTGAATATTGCTTCAACTACGCTTTAGTGTTGATGTACATGGGGATTTTAAATGTGCTTCGGGTTAAGTTCACGTCTCAAAGATTTCTGAATCAAATCAGTAGATTACCCGTTCCACATTGGATTCAAAATTCTGCTGCTAGTTAAATCTGTAAACATATATATATATATGTGCTAGCATTCTGCTGTGGAGACCCCACACTTAGAACATCGCATATTGAACCGCGTTTGAATATTGACTCAACTACCCTTTACTGTTGATGTACGTTGGGATTTCAAGTTTGTTTCGGGTCAGGTTCACATCTCATAGATTTCTGACTCAAATCAGTTCTTTTATTTATATATATATTATTTATATATGCTAGCATTCTGCTGTGGAGACCCCACACTTAGAACATCCCATATTGAATCCCGCTTGAATATTGTGTCAACTACGCTGTGTTGTTGATGCACATGGGGATTTCAATTGTGCTTCGGGTTAAGGTCACATCTCAAAGATTCCTGAATCAAATCAGTAGTTATATATTTATATATAATTCAATCATTTATATAAGCTAGCGTTCTGCTGTGGAGACCCCACACTTAGAACATCCCGTATTGAACTGCGCTTGAAGATTGATTCAACTAGATTTTAGTGTTGATGTACATGGGGATTTCAAATGTGCTTCGGGTTAAGTTCACGTCTCAAAGATTTCTGAATCAAATCAGTAGATTACCCGTTCCACATTGTATTCAAAATTCCGCCGCCAGTGACAATAAATCTGTATATATATATATATTCTAGCATTCTGCTGTGGAGACCCCACACTTAGAACATCCCGTATTGAATTGCGCTTGAATATTGATTCAACTACCTTTAGTGTTGATGTACATGGGGATTTCAAATGTGCTTCTTAGAACATCCCGTATTGAATTGCGCTTGAATATTGATTCAACTACGCTTTAGTGTTGATGTACATGGGGATTTCAAATGTGCTTCGGGTTAAGTTAGATTTCTGAATTAAGTCAATAGATTACCCGTTCCACATTGGATTAAAAATTCGGCGGGCAGATATATATATATATATTCTAGCATTCTGCTGTGGAGACCCCACACTTAGAACATCCCGTATTGAATTGCGCCTGAATATTGGTTCAATTACGCTTTAGTGTTGATGTACATGGGGATTTCAAATGCGCTTCGGGTTAAGTTCTTATCTCAAAGAGTTCTGAATCAAATCAATAGATTACGCGTTCCACATTGGATTCAATATTCTGCTGCCAGTTAAATCTGCATACATACATATATATATATATATTTATATCTTAGCATTCTGCTGTGGAGACCCCACACTTAGAACATCCCGTATTGAATTGCGCTTGAATATTGATTCAACTACGCTTTAGTGTTGATGTACATGGGGGGTTTCATATGTGCTTCGAGTTAAGTTCACATCTCAAAGATTTCTGAATTAAGTCAATAGATTACCCGTTTCACATTGGATTAAAAATTGGGTGGGCAGTTATATATATATATATCTATATATATATATATTCGAGCATTCTGCTGTGGAGACCCCACACTTAGAACATCCCGTATTGAATTGCGCTTGAATATTGATTCAACTACGCTTTAGTGTTGATGTACATGGGGATTTCAAATGTGCTTCGAGTTAAGTTCACATCTCAAAGATTTCTGAATCAAATCAGTAGATTGCCCGTTCCACATTGGATTCAAAATTCTGCTGCCAGTTCAATCTGTATATATATATATACATATGCTAGCATTCTGCTGTGGAGACCCCACACTTAGAACATCGCATATTGAACCGCGTTTGAATATTGATTCAACTACCCTTTACTGTTGATGTACGTGGGGTTTTACTTGTGTTTCGAGGTAAGGTCACATCTCAAAGATTCCTGAATCAAATCAGTAGTTATATATATATATATATATATTTTTTAAGTTTTTTTTTTTAAATATATGCTAGCATTCTGCTGTGGAGACCCCACACTTAGAACATCCAATATTGAATCCCGCTTGAATATTGTGTCAACTACACTGTGGCGTTGATGCACATGGGGGTTTCAATTGTGCTCCGGGTTAAGGTCACATCTCAAAGATTCCTGAATCAAATCAATAGTTTTTTATTTGTATATATATTTATAATTCAATTATTTATATATGCCAGCAATCTGCTGTGGAGACCGCACACTTAGAACATCCCGTATTGAATTGCGATTGACTCTTGATTCAACTACGCTTTAGTGTTGATGTACATGGGGATTTCAAATGTTCTTCGGGTTAAGTTCACATCTCAAAGATTTCTGAATCAAATCAATAGATTACCCGTTCCACATTGTATTCATAGTTCTGCCGCCAGTTAAAATAAATCTATATGTATATATATATATATGTGTATATATTCTAGCATTCTGCTGTGGAGACCCCACACTTAGAACATCCCGTATTGAATTGCGTTTGAATATTGATTCAACTACTTTAGTGTTGACGTACATGCGGATTTCAAATGTGTTTCGGGTTAAGTTCACATCTCAAAGATTTCTGAATCAAATCAATAGATTACCCGTTCCACACTGTATTCAAAATTCTCTTGCCAGTTAAAATAAATCTATATATATCTATATATATGCTAGCATTCTGCTGTGGAGACCCCACACTTAGAACATCCCGTATTGAATAGCGCTTGAATATTGATTCAACTACGCTTTAGTGATTATGTATATATTTATATAGTAGCATTCTGCTGTGGTGACCCCACACTTAGAACATTCCAAATGCTTACCTGCATCATCCCAACATTTGACGGCATCTACTTCGTTGCACTGTCGACAGATCTGCAGGAAGTTTACTTTATCCCATGGCCCCAAAACAAGGCTTTGGCTGCAGTCAAAAATCAAGATCAATATATATGTATATATGTACATATATTTTTCTTTTTTATTTTAAGTATATATCAAACAAAGGCATCAACATTAGCTTGCAATGATCGCTATACAACAGGCACTTGGGAAAATCTGCTAAGATGTGTACATACGAAATTTGCAAACATTGCCAAGCAAAGGCAGCCAAAGCATCGTGAATTGCAAGCGATTTGATCGAAAAAAGAAACGTGCGCGCAGAGTTTATGATGAGATAATGTATGATATTGTTGAAAAATCATCAGTAGCTTGCAAAAACCCCGCACTTAGAACATCAGGGGGCCATGTTGCTCTGAATTTCTAAGTGTTATTTCTAAGTGTGGGGCGTTTTCCTTAAACAAGCATTTCTAAGTGTGAGATCTGACAATTTGGAAAAAATAATATCTTCTAAGTGTATGTCCGGCACTATATAATGTTCAATAGCTATATTAAATTACCAGAGGTTAAGGGAACCATGAAGCAATGTTCAAGTCCCATGAAAACTCTCATGAACAAAATGATTTCATATTAATCCATGTTATTCCACGTTCCTGATCGGGGATGATGTTTCATCAATTAGCGTTTCTGAGGATTGAGGTATCTTGACCCCAGTATCACCAGATTTTTCTGAGTTGAACATCCATTGCCCAATGCTTCAGTCATTTCCCTGGGAACTTCCATGATGGGACTCCTTTAGTGTGACTGCCCTGTTGAGGAGCCTCAAGTCTTGATTCCTGGCAAAGGCTTGGTCAAGGAGGCCGGATCATCATAGCCCCAGTTAGGTGGCAAATCATCCTATAGTAAATCACATAGAGAAGAAAAAACGATAAATTGAATAATTAATTATATTTAATTATATAGGGAATTTGCAGTTAGGTAGTTAACCTTAGTCATGTAAAGGGATTTCAGACACCAGTCACACCTGGTAGTTCTGACCCACCGCTGCAGTTACAAGGTGCAGACGGCGGAGGAATGCGTCATTTCCTTTGGTGCGCACGGTGGGTCCAGTTGGGTTCACCTAGTGTAGCTATGTGGTTTGGGAAGTTGACTCCCAATGATGGACAAAACCGTCCATCCCTACCAACAAAATGATCTAAAACTGCCTGTTGCCGAAAGGGTTTTGAACCACCGAACAATTTTAAAGGGTAGTGGCGCTTTCAACAAACATGTGGGTGCATAACAATGACCTCAACTGTCCATAGATGATCGTTGAGGGGACACTCCCAAAAAGGATGGTTGGTCGCAGCTTTCCAACTGCTACAGTTATGAAATCAATTTTGTGCAGATTGAGCGGCCCGGCTCTGAAAAGTGTCAGGTAGTAGCGGCTCAAATGATGGACAATATTCGCCACATATTAATTAAACAAATTAAACAAATAAATAATTATTTCTGTATTCATTATATGTCTTGGCTTTCCACCCTTTGAGCCACTTTTTTATCTACCATCCAGTGCAAGTTAACGATGTAGCCGCCATGGCTACTCCACTGTAGCCAGGTTTGACGATCCACGAGAAATTGGAGGGTTGGAGTTTGATCCTCACGTCAGCGCAGGCACCGTATCTGATTTCGCCATGGCTTCTGGACAAAGAAAAAAATCTTATAGGATGTTCAAATTTATTCTGAAATTTGTCCAGTGTCCAGCTGATTTTGCTTTCAAACATGTAGCAAAACATGAGAGATGGTCAATGCTGCAACACCTCGGAAACAGACAGCATCATGCATCAACTTCGCTCAAAAATTCAGAATCCGAAAAAAAATGGATCTCCGAATTTCTCCCCAACTCCACCACAAAGACCAAAATTTTTCCTCACTCCAAATCCTCCCAGGAGAACCACCAGGACTGGCTGCCGGGCCTTTACGTCTCTAGGGACGGCGTCCTGGCTGCCAGCTTTGCCAGGACCAAGCAGCGTCGGTGGCCCAGTGGGGAGGGAGCGGTATCCATATGTACCCGAAACCGTGTCATGAAACGTGGCTGGAAAATCCCAAAAAACAAAACACATGAAACCCATGAGAAATGGGGATTTAAGGGTCTTTTAATGATTTTCATGGTAAAATGCCTTATTAAACGGATGGAGGTTTGTAGCTGGGAAGATCATGGAACTAAATGGTGGATTTTCCGTTGCCACGTTTGATGACTGGATGGTATTCCCATCAAACAATTAGACGCACGTTGGGGCGTGGCATTAAGTTTCCACAGCGGTGTTCTTACTTGTTGCAATGGGAATGTAGGGAGGGGTCGGTCACCAAACCGTGATACAGATACCCCTGAGGGCCCCTGAACTTTCCAGATTTTGCACCCCCCTAATCCCTCCGGCCGGGGCTTGTCCAGCTAAACTTGAAATCCTCCAGAAATATCAGTCACATCACTTGTGGGCTGGGCTTCCAAAATGGGACAAGTCCAAATCATCAAGTTTGCAAAGTTGAAAACCTCAAAATGTTCCACAAAAATTGCCAGCTGATGGGGCATATATACATGTATACGGCATATTACACCGCCATGCAAGCCGTACATAACCTCACAACACCCATCATGTCATTTTGCTGGTCGCTTGTGTCCCATAGCATTCCCTTATATTCCCATGATAGTCCATCCATCATCAATTGGTGACATCTAAACATGTGTAAGTAAGGCATCCACCACTGTGGCAAACTGAACATGATGGCGCAAGGCATGCCCATTCCAGATTGGTCTAGCCTACAATGCCAAACAGCTCTAAAGAGATTCCACAGAGTTGATGTTCCTCGTCTCATGGAAGCTTCAGGGTTCCCCAAAGGTAGCCCCCCATCAACGGGGGGCTTGATGACCCCTGGGCTTGCCAATCCCTAAAGGCTTGTTGGAAGACTTGGAGGCGCAGAGGCAGCGAGGGATGTTGCAAAAGGACGGCCTGCTTAGGCCTTAGGCGGTGTATCCAAAGGGTATATTATATTCATAGCTATCTATTCAAATATCTATCCAAATAGCTTGTCTATTCATCAAAAAAAAGTACACTAAGGCCCATACAAATAGTATACTATTTATCGCTATCTCTTTGGGGTGTATTATGTTTTTGTTCTTGTTTTTTTTCCCCGAGAGCGTCTGAGCGAAGGGTTCTTCTATTTTTTTCAGTGCAAGTGCACGCTTGAATATCTATGGTCTCTGGTTGGCGCATTTGGTTCCATACGCATCTCCGCCTCCATCAACCACGCCTATTACAATCATAGGTGTTTGGGTTCTTCACCATCATCATGAACCCGTAGACACTCGCTTGTAAATGCTAAACGTTCTGTATTCGAATGAATCCTCTCACATGTATCACAGTTGCATGTACCATCATGTACCAGATCCAGACACTATTTGTGGTATAACAAAAACTGTTTTTCAAGGAACTCATGGCAAACGGGAGCACAAAATGAAAAATATGAAAAATATCATCATCATCAGCATCATCATCAGCATCAAGATCATCACTATCATCACTATCATCACTATATAGTTCTAGTATGTACTAGTATTAATCATGTATAGATTACTATACTAATACCGTATCAACCATAGTATCACCATCCTCATCCCTCACACGTCTCAGCTGGCGCAGTCAGCAGACCCTGGCCAACGGCCTGCCAACATTGCAGGCGCCTTGCCGTGCACCCATGATGCATGACGGTCACAGATTTGGGGATGCCAAAGCCAATTCCTACAGAAAGACATGGAGATCATTGAGCGATTCTTGCATATCTTTGGCATTTTGCTTCAGGGTCCTTTCAATAGGGGAATGTTTGTTGTGTTGTTGTACTTTCTTTCTCTTCCATGCACTTTGTGGACACCGCTGATGTTCCATTCTGGCATGTCCCGTAGAAACTAGATACACCCCCTATATTTATTCATTATTTGGTTTCCCTTAGTGGAGGTATTCCGCTTCCCCACATAGATTCCAGGGTCCTCCAGATTTTAACTGTTTTTCTTCAGCTCTTGGTGGCCAGGTGAAGCAATTGGCCCTGGTGACCCTGACGGTGCCGAGCTGGACCTTGTCGCTGGATGGCCAGGACGACCATTGAACATGCAGATCCACATTCTTCTGACTGGGATGCGATTCTCCGACTTGGACACTTACCCTCCGGTAAACCAACATAGCTATTGGAAATGGCCATTTATAGTGGATTTACCCATTAAAAATTGTGATTTTCCATAGTTAAGTTATGTTAGTTTACCAGAGGGTACATAACCATTGTAGAGTATCATGGGGTAGTTCAAAACCATGCCGTACCATGCATTTGGGACGGTTTCGTGCTTTCCAGCTTCACCGGCACTTCCTCCCCGCAGTTTCGGCTTCGATGGCGCGCGGTTTGCCTCGGGGCGACGCGCTTGGTATCGCTCCCATGTTGGCGCTGCCTCCGTGACCGGTGACCGTCGGATGTCCCGTGCGAAGCGGAGCAGTGCCGGTGGGTGGCGGGGGAGTGTGGCCGAGCGGCCCGCCACTTCAGCGTTGCCACCCATTGAGGCCGGTGGGGTCAAAAACAGAGAGGTGAATCATGGTAAATCATGGTAAATCCTGTTTGTTCTAGTCAGAAGTGGTGATGTGGTGGGTGAACTATATGGCTAAGTGAACTACAGTGAACTCAACGAAATTGATGTTTTTTGATGTTTTTTGGGCCGTTCATTGAACCACGCGGTGTAGTGATTGGCCATGAGTCGAGGCTGTTTCACGCGTAGTTGGGGTTTGCCATGGTTTGCCCTAAAAAGGAGACTCACAGGTGCGAACAAATGGGCCGCTCCGCATTTCAGATTGAAGAGATTTGAACTGCCCATTTGTGGACCAGTTGGATGTTTCTGAGATATTCTGAGATTTCCGATGAAACGGGATCACTTCGAAAAGTGTCAGCGTCTCATCACCACTGTGCAGCAAAGTCAAAATCATGAAGTCAAGTTGGTTGCTCAAAACATCCTGCACCACCAGAACTTCCCCCAAAGGATCAGCTGACGACTAATTAAGCCAAATGATTTGACCTGGGCACCTGATCGCCCATGTGCCAAGTCGCTGACAGGGAAGTGTTTCGTCCGGAGAGTTCTACTCAAAGAGGGTCTCCTTGACTCCGACGGCGCAAACACAAAGCCCACACTACATCCAGAAGAGTTTCTGGGCAACAGAGGTGTGCCTCAAAATTGCATGTTTGAAACTTGGATAGCCGAAACTTGCGCCCGTACCAAAAAACGTGTAATCATTAAATATGTCGAACACCAAAAATTGAACCCACCACCCAAAGAGTCTCCTGCTGCAGCCTGATATTTGGCGAACTGAGTTCCTGAGTGCCCCATCCAGCGGTGAATTTTTAAGGGTTTGATCTCTCTATCATCTCTATCATTTGATATCACCTATGGACCTATGTGCTTGGTATGGTGGTGAAACGTCCGAGGTCTCTCATCAGTCAAATTGTTCAAAGATATGGATGCTACTGTGCTCAAGATGCTCCCAGAGATTGTGCCTTGATCTGGACATGGCACCCCTCCAAGTTAATGGGAAATTTGCCCCGCCATCTTTTTAAAGTTGCCTTTTCAAGGTCAGTTGAAGGAGTGAGTTAGGAAAGAAGGCTTCTTTTGCAGTTTCCGGCAGCATTCAGGGAACATTGTTTGGGAAATGAGTTTGGGCACAAGAAGCTATAAGATTCCAGCAGAATTGCCAAAGTCTTGCAGCTGAACGCCATGCCTTCAGGGATTCATCAGCATCGCCATTTTGATATAGCTGGCTTGTGGACATGGATGCCGAAAACAAGATGCTTTCCTATAAAAGTTACACATTGGATACCGTATACCCTTTTACAACTTCCTTCCATATCTCAAATATCTTAAACCACTTACAACTTCACACAGTTCAGTAATGTCCACATCGATGCGCAGCGTCTTCGAGGTGATCTCCATCTTCTGCAAGGCCGGCACGGTGCTGTTTAAACAGGGAGATCCACCTGGCAGTTGCTACGCCCTCCGGATATGACTGGGGGATCTGGTGGGAAACTCTGGAGGTCTTGTTTTGGGAAGCCAAGACATCTGGATTTATGTTATTTATTATGTATTCATGTATTCAGGTATAACTTCATATTTCACATATGTGCATAAGTATATACTTTTTTTGGGGGGGACATGTGTACATTGATGGATACATTGGCCAGAAAATCGACTCCCATCTCCAAGCTTTTTACTTCTTTCCATCTCATCTCCGAGGTGATCATCTCAGGCTCCGTGGGCGTCTTCGCCTTGTCCGATGAGGAGGGCGCCCAGGCTTCGGCGGAGAAGCAGCAGCAGCAGAAGTTCAGCAACTTGTGTGGCTCGGCAGGGCTCGGCAACCCTCTGGTTATGGCGAACAGTTCGCCATGGTATAGATGGCCCTAATCGAAATAGATGGTTGACCTATGAAGATAGCATGGTGATTTTTCTATGGCGAACTGTTAGTCATAACCAGATATATAATAGTTTGTTGATTTTAAAACAAATGTCCGGAGGGTACCCCTGGAATCTCATGGTTGAGATAGTTGGAAATCCGAACATGTTCTCCTGAAATGCGCTGTGGTTGGGCATGTTTGGAATTTCAGGGGTGCCTCATAGTGAAACATTTTCTGGTGAATCCTGGTGATTATGTCATAGAAAACAATCCCAACAAAATTCTACAAAATTCCCATATAGTTCCTTTTCCTTTGAGAACATCTGATGCCAAGCCGACTAACCGACTAACCCATCCAAGTCCACAAGCTCTAGAGCTGTGCAGGTGAATCCTCGAGTTTCCTCCAAGACTTCTTACCTGGGCAGAAGACGGTGGATGGCTTTAGTCGATACCACGATGACACGGCTCTGGGTGTCTAAGCTGCGATTCCGAAGATATTTTTGGCGTTCCCAAACGAGAAAAACATTCTGGTCGCCGCGGGACTTCGGGTGGGTTTGTTGACTTTGATTGGTTGGATGCACGGCTATAATCGCTTTATGAAAGGGTGAACTTCTGTCGATTCTCAATGTCTGGACCGGGGGTTTTCTGCAGGACTTTTCTACATAACTATCATAACTGGGGCTGCTGAATAGTTTGGCGCCACAGAGATGTTGTGCCACTTTCGGGCTATGATCTTTGAAGAATAGTTTTCGGCTAGTTGAAGCTCTCTGCCTCGCTTGTATCGAAAGGTCTTGAAGGAGTCGCAAGACATTTTTTCCAGGCCAACCGTTCCAGATCATGCTTGTACGTCCATCTAATCATACCTTTCTATAACACATTGTCAATAATTGTCATATATAAAACAGATGCAGCACGTAACTGAGAAGATCAATTTCCTCAGCGTGCGGAACTGAGGCAATCGACTCTCGAAGCTCTCCCCTGGAAGCGTTTTGGGCGAGTTGGCTTTGATGAATGATCAGCCAAGGTGCCGTGGGATGCCGTCGTTTGGTCCTCGCCTCCAAGAGTTTGAAGTCCGAGCCTTTCGGATTTGAACTGTCCAATCAAAATCATTTACAGTATCTTCATAGTAACCCCCAAACGATCCCAAACGTGTTGACAGGATCTTGGAGATGGTTCCTTCATAATTTCCAGGTCTTCAATTTTCTAAGTCTATCTATTTGGCAGTTGCTGTACATAACAACTGCCCCTCAGCCTTGCAGGCTCGCGTCGGCGAAATGCCTCGAAGATACCGAATTCTTTGTCATACGAAGGACGTGGCTTTTATAGGTCGGTCCATGCGGCAGTGGATCTCCAAAAACTTGGTTGTTGGACGTTTTTTATGTTTTGTTTCTTTCCTCCAGTTTGAATCATTTATGTTGTTTATCTTGAAAACCTGATGAAACTACCCGGACCTCAAAAAGCAGTTCTGCACTTGTTCGGCATCTAGGGGATTCTAGGGGTGAGAGAAAGCAAACGCTGTTTGGCAAAGATCAGCCCCTGAGAGGAACGATTTTGACAACATCCTCAAAGAGGAGCAGCCAGGGGGGATTGGAGGCTGAAGAATGGTTCTTCTTTGGGGTGGTTTCATGGTTTAAGCTCAAGTGATTTTGATGTTTCTTCACTAGCTTAATTTGGTATGATGATGATGACAACGACGGTGACGGTGATGATGAGGATGAGTTGGCTGGTACTTTTGAGGTGGGCTGAAAGCAGCACCGTGCGAGCTTCTACCAAGTCAGAATGGCAGAAAACAAGGCCTCTCTACACGTTGAGACATGGCTCAAGACTGCAAAGTGTTGCATTCCCCCTGCGAAGACTTTCGCTTAGTACCTAATGAGTCCAAGGACCAGATAGTTTCCATCACCACCCTGGCCCATTTCCCGCCTTTCTCGACAAAAGGAGATGGTCAAAAAAGGCGATGAAAAGCTGAGATTTTTGATGCTGCACTTGCCTGGCATGAAAGAGGCCAGCGGCGAACCAATTCCATGGACGGTGGAGAATTGTCACTGAGAAATCATATCAGATATCAATTGTCCTAGCTCAAGAGTCTTGAGTATTCATGATATCATGTGGATGTTCATTGATGATTTGTCTAAATCAGCCATTGCCTAAATATCCTAAATAGAGACTATAGTTGGTATGTAGTTTTCAATGTCGTTCCCAAGTAGAACATGACAACCATTCCAAGAAGCTTTAGAAGAATGGTGTACTCATATACTTGCTAGTAGCATGTTTTTCCTGGATGCAACAACTATGGTTAAGATAAGTTTAATTATATTTAATTGACACACACACACCATGTTTTCTGTAGATGAAACAGCTCATGGAAAACATGGTGACATAAATAGTGATATTTTTTTGGTTATTTTCACAATTAGCTACAGGCAATCACCATGTTTAAGCCTACTAAATCATCACAGATCATCTTTTAATGTCTTTCAATCGTCCATTTACCCTCTGGTAAACTAACATAACTATGGAAAATCACAATTTTCAATGGGTAAATCCACTATAAATGGTCATTTTTAAAAGCTATTTTGACATAACCAGAGGGTTTTCTCATCCTCCAACAGTTCGATGTGGAGTTTAGCCATGGCCCTCAGGTGCCAGTGCCCAAGCCGGGCGGCAAGCCGCACACGTCCTACATCTTCAAACATGGCAAGTTCCCCAGGGGCCACACCTTTCTATGTCAGGGCCACTTGGCGATTGCTTATTGTTGGTCATTGTTGGCCACTAATGTCATTATGAATCACCATTCTTGTTGGCTTATGGTTGTATGGGAATTAGTAGCCCCAGAAACATGGTGAGTAATATTAAGAACCCATCAATGGCTGTTAATTCATAGTTGATGTCATTGATTGTTGGCGGAGTTGTATCCTACTCGCCTTTCGCTCTGCTGAACTCCTTGAGACGGCGATGGTCTCAGAGAGAGGGAAACCTCCAACCAATTTGGCTCGGGTGTTTGTTCTCCCTGTGAAGGCTTGATTTGTGACATTGTGGTGGGGGATGGGGTGAGCTATTTACACAGAGAGAGAGAGAGAGAGATATATATATATATATAATACATATTTATACAATTTGATGGGCATGAAACGGCCGATTTCTACAAAAACCAGAACTTTCACAATGGTTCATGATTTATATTGATGTTAATGCAGGAGATACACATGGGCACAGAACACACGCAAACCGGATGCAAACACAAAGGACCTACAAGTAATCAAGTATGTGTGCAAGAACCTTCTATGAACACACATGGTGGTAATACGATATGATGTGATGTGATGTGATGTGATGTGGTGTGATGTGTGGATATGTATTCCGCAGAGATGCGCAGGGTATACTTACCATTGGACAGGTATGGACGTGTTGATTTCACATGATTTTACCCCAGAAGGGGGAACTCGAAGGTCGGAATTTCGTTAGTCAAATGCCAGAGTATGTAGTAGCATACGCATGGGCAAAGACATGCAAAAAGCCAACACTCTGGTGGCAAACATTATATAGCCCCTAGCTGCCACTCCACTTGATCATGTCGTATTCCCTTTGGCATCCCCATGGGTTCTTGCTTAAATTTCCTATGTTGGCCACCTTGCCAGCAAAGGCAAGATTGCGGAGCCACACTTGTGGGCAGCTGCTTGGAATTCTACCCTTAGTCATGCCATGTCATACAAATTTCAGACTTGAATGAATGAAAGGTCTAAGAACAGCACTTCTTTGCTTAACCTTACACCCATTTCTTCGAGCCGTTTCAGACTATATTTGGATTCTTTGGATGCTTCAACTTCAACACCCCAAGAAAAACAGCAAGTCACCAAGTTCTTCCATGATTTTATGATATGTTCAGTACTTTTCCATGGCATTGGTAGCAACCCCCCATGGGCCCATCCCAGGTCTACCGCGGCGCCGTGGAGTTCCGCCGCGCCGAAGTGCTCTCCATGGAGCGCCTGGAACGGCTCGGCGGCAGCGCCGCCGAGCTGCCGGCGCCGCAGGAGGCCATGAAGGGCGGACGGGCCAAGAGCCTTAGACCGCTGAGTGCGCTGAAGATGCCAAGATGCAAAGTTGGGAGAAGTTGGATAGATATATAATATGGATAGATATTATTTCTATATGAAAATTGAACTATGGATAGATATATAATGATATATAATCATATCCCAAGATGCCATGTAGTATTATAATGTATTATAGACACATAGTTGGAGTTGATGTGGGTCAAACCCCTTGTTCAACTCACAATGTCCAATGGAGCCATAAAGGCATTTTGCATCATAGAAATTCTTGTCGAAGTCACGCCTCTTAAGCACAGTAATTGTTGGTTAATAACCTTTGAGCTTGTGTTTTTCCTGGTTAAACTCTCTGATTGATTTACTGTGATTTACCATTTTATCATGTTTGTTTTTCTGTTTTCCCCAACATCTCATGGTGTATCGTAATTGTAATCTTGTTCCCATTCAATTAAAAATAAAGTAACATATTGGCAAGGCATAGGATCATACATATATCATGGATACCATATATCATGGATATCATATATCATGGATATCATATATCATGGATATCATATATCATTAATGCATGGATGGATGGATGGATGGACGCACGGACGGACGGACGACAGACGGACGGACAGACAGATAGATAGATAATAATAAATAAATAGACATACAGATAGACATATAGATAAAAAGATGGATAGATAGACAGATAGACTGAATTGATTGATTGAATCAATATATCATATATATATATATATCCGATTGGTTGATTGATATATCATTTATCCTCTATCATAGATATCATAGATCATAAATCATACATACATGATGGATGTCACTGATATCATAGATACCATCCTTCGAAACCCACGAGGAAAGGCACTTCGAAGCCGGGCCTCTCCGCCTCGGCGCCGCGGCTGCCCGGGGTCCACGGCATCGGCCGCGACGGCAACGTGGCGGCCGAGGCAAACGACTGCAACCCCAACGGCGTGATGAGCCGCCGCGGGGTGCTGGTCCGGGGCGGGGCACCTATGCCGCAACCAGGGGGGGTGGGAGGTTGGGGGGGGAGGGGGTTGGGGTGAAGAAACTATGAGGGGATAATTAATGTGAACATCTATGATCATTTTTTGGGTATAGATTGATGTAGATTGGCAATTATGATGTGATTGGTGTGCCTAATCAAGAGGAAAAATATGGAAAAATATTGCGGCCATATTAGAGCAATGGTAGAGCAACCAAAGTGTGTTTTATTTTTTGGTTGCAGGTTGTTTGCAAACAGATAGCGATAGAAATAGAGGGAGGAACATGAAGGTAATGTACATGTCAAAAACATTCCAAAACAATAATTATATAATTAATTGAAATTAATTGAATATAATTGAGATGGAAAGAAGAAAAATGGATGTAAGAAAGGAACAGGATTCACGCTTAAAATAATATGTGGGTTTACCCGACAACGAATGCGATATCATGAATCAGAATAGAGAACACGGTGAACCTGAAACGTGCCATTTTTTCCAAAAATCATAGTGGTTTAGCTGTTGGATTCAGACGTATCTCCGTCGTAAATCGCGTGGAGGATTGACGGGAACTGCACCAATGGTTGCCATATATTTTCGCATTCCACTATTTTTTGAGAAGATATACCCACCAAAATCCACGAAACTATAAGAACGTAAATAGTGTCGAATGTCAAGAAGTGTGGTTTAATGTGCTTAAAACATCTTAAAACAATAATGAAACCCTCCCCAAAATCACCATGAATAGGTGGTATAGACAATCAACAATGAGGTGGTTTATGATTGTTTTAACCACATTAGTTGGGATTTTCCACCATAATACAGTATTCATATTGCCTATCACCAAACATGTTTGGCGGCCACAGCTGGCCAAGCCTCCAGGTCTTTGGTTCCTTGCCATTCCCAGCACCGGAACCCTTTACGGTGCGAGTGACGTCACCCATGTGCGAAGTGTTCTTCATCACCAGCTCCCTGGCTTGATTTCGGTTGGCATCCGGCATGGTCCTCCAGTACATTATAGTAGATAAACCCCGTGTTTTCCGGAAACCAATAGGTAAATTCCATGATTCCAGTATCTGAATTTCAATCATATCAACCCTGGGTCATTTTTTAAAAGGTTGATTGGATGTTTGCCACACGTGATCAGTTATGACTGTATCGTTGCATATTATCTTTATGTTCTAGGTTCAACTGTCCTGTCCCAAGTTCTAGTGATAGTTTGCACATGATTCAAGAGCCTGCCACGCTTCTCATCACAAAAATGTTGTCAGAATTGTAAGACATTGGATCTTTTATTTTGACCAATCTCAACGGTTTTTGTGTGAACTGCCAGATTTTTCAGTTCCAGTCCCGATTTTCTTAAATCATTAAATTCATATGTTCCCTACACAAGTTCATTTCTCGATGGAGAAACTCCCATTTTTTGTGCCAAAAGAACCCCCAGTTCTCACCATAAATCGCTGCTGTTTTCCTCATCTCTGCCATTCTCCAAGGTGCTGACTATTCCAAGATCCCACGAAAGTTGTTGGAGGTGCTTCAGGACTATATCGCATCCTCCACCACCTGGCGCTTGAGTTGTCACCAGCCGCTGGGGTCGTCGGTTGGTCGATGGGTGGGTTGTGGTTGTTTGGGGCTGTGGGGTGGCAGGAGATTATCAGATAGAACTGAGATCACTGTACAAGATTCTAAGATAGTCCCGTCATGTCCCGTCCCTCAGTTTCTGTTGGTTACATACCTGTATTCAGATGGGTGGCTATCAATAATCATCACATTCCCATCCATTTTCTATCCATTTTCTACTAAGCACCAGTCATGCTCTCCAGATACCCCCGCCCCCGTAAGGAAGAGCACCAACTTCCGTCGCGCGCGGCGCCGTGGTGACGACGCCCGCCTCTTGGGCCGTGGCGAGGAAGGCGACGATGAGGGCGACCAGGGCATGGAGATGGCGGTGGACGTCAGCGAAGCTTGGCACATCAATTTCAGTCCATGTCCCTGTGGGTGTGATATGTAATGATATGCATGATATATATATATTATATTTAATATGATTATTATATATGTCTCATATACGGGCAGTTGCGGACACATCTATACCTTGTATATATATATATACATATTACTTTTTCAGATTACTATCATGGATATTCATGGATAATAAATAAGAAAACAACTATGTGCATGTATATGTCAGAGGTAACCTCGAGCAACCCAACATTTCACCACTTTCGCTTGGCCCGTTCGCCTCCCGGGGTTACCATAGGAGCTGTTGGAGGAATGCCGTGAGGAGCGAAAGCATCAATTCGAAAGTTTCCAACGTCAGGCCTTTCAGGGCACCTAGGAATCGGCGATGAAAGACCGGCGACGATTCCTCAGGTGGTGTCGGTTGTTTCCGTGGCTTCCGAACATCGAAAAGAAGTCATACATCTGAACATGGATTCATCGAAGTTTATATATGTCCCAATCTAGGTGGAGAATACATTTGTGGCATACCGTTTTGATATGTTTTGATGTCAACAGGTATGGCAAGTATGGGTGGCTGGAAGGCTTGAATGACATGTGCAGTAGGTCAACAATGTAAGTGAACGACCTCCAAATTGCTGGACATTTGGTAGATAGAGATCGCCAAATTCCAAATTAAATTCCAGGATCCTAAAATAGAGGTACTGTACCACTGTACCATATTTTTGGCCATATTTTGGTGATAAATCCCCTTACATAGCCCTTAAAAATAGGCGTTTCAATTCGATGAGACGTTCTTGAAGTGGATCAGAGGAATCGAGCTGCAAGGGCAGAATCCGAAGGATCTCCCTGTAGCATAGCGGCTACCCTTTCCCCAAAAAAACTGCCTTTCTTTGCCCAGCATTTTGAATGTGGCTACCCATCCGTCAACATCTTGAAGTATGTATTATATATATAATTACACATGGTACCCCCCGTGCATTTATCAAGATTTAAGCTATTTTATCGTTATTCGTGTGGGAGGTGGCATATATATATATATATATACATATACATGAACTGTGGCAGGAGCTTTGAAGTAACCAATCACCTGTGGTGTTGTTCCCTCAATGAGGACGCCTTTTTGGATTTTCAAATTGGTGCAGAGCCATGAGAATGCAATGCTTTAGTCATTTGAACAGCTCAAACACTTGGCGCAAAAATTGGGACTTTTCATGCATGTATGTATGCATATACATATACATGTACACACACACATATATATACATAGAGAGATTGACAGACATACAGACCGACACAAATGCGTGCATAAATGTATATACATACTCGTCATACATGCGTGAATTCATACGAGTTTTCTTATTGTTTATGATGTTTATGTTCCTTTTCAGTATATAATTATTATTGTTAATTACTCACAGGGACAAAACCAACATACAGCATACAGTCTAATTCATAGTCAAGATGAATCACGTATATATATATATATAAAGTATAAACATACACATTGGAGATAGGTCAGCATGTGCGGAAAAGATCTTTGGTCAAGGAAGGGCTGTGTATTTTCAACACGTTTTTGTCGAACAATTTCGCTGCCTGGAACCGGTGCGGCTGTGGGCGCCTGTTTGAGGTCTACAGATCGCGCACCGTGATGTGGTCAATAGATTGAAAGGTCAAGCGACTGGTTGAGAAAACATCAAATGTAGGGATTGAACTAGTGCCAAAACATGCCAATCGCAGCCTGATTAAGCAGTTAAACCATATTAAACCATGGTTAGCCATGGTTCAACCACCTGTTTTTGAGTAGCTTTGTTGATTATTGCAACGGAATAGCAACCGGCGCAACCAGCTGAAACACAACAACTTTGCTGCAGATGTTTCTGAATGTTAGCCATGGGGACGCGGTTTCCATCAAGCTTTTGAACCACCAGCCACTTTGGGTAATTGTATTACTTCAGCCGCTGAAGATTGTTTTTACTTTGTACATGAGCATTTCGACATGTTTGAAAGACATATGGTTTCAGGCTAGCAGCCGCTAACATCAAGCTAAACGGTGAACACTGTTTGAATACACCGAGAATCCGTTGCGAAAAAGATGCTTGAGGTGCCGTTGCGGAGACATAGGACGCTGCTAGTGTCAAAAACCACTACAGCAACTTCACCAAACAATCATGAAAATTGAATGTTAATTAATCATGAAAACTGGGGCAAAATCAATGACAAAACGTTACAACATATATGTAGCACAAGGGACTAGCCATGAGGGCTTTTACAGGACTAATCATTGGATTCGTTGACCGAAGCCTGAAACATAGGAAAAAATCTTGAGACCTATATATGGCCTGATTCGATCCCAATTTGCTGTGTGCAAGGCTGCCCAAGCCTTAGTCAAAAGCATACTGAATTCAGCGTTGTTTGTAGAGATTGTTTGGGATTTAATGCGGAAATCCCAATAATAAACCATCCCCAATTTTGGGTTCTTATTGGGTATACGATGATGCAACATGACCCTCAAATGGTTAGTTCATAGGATGGTTGCAAGTAACCATTTCTATGATGTTTTCTAATTCGATTTGTATAGTTGTATGGATGTAAAACTAGCAGTGTTCCCAATTATGATGTTTGTTCCCCAAATGTTTCCCATTTCTACATATAAATTTAGCACATGATTGTTTTCTCTTCCCCCCAACTCCACTGGCAGGAGCAGCTTGGTTTCTTGAAGTCTACATGTCCCGAGGAAATTTCTTTGATATTACCGAATTGAAATCCGGAAAAGAAATGAACTACTGTAATATGCAATGTATATGTATGTATGACCTGTGATGTATGTTACACTGTTTGATTAAGCAGCAAACTGCCATAGCAGCAAACTATATACGGTACTGTCTTAGAACTATCATACAGGTTGCTGCATTATGTGTTTTAATGTAATAAACTTTAATACTATAATACATCTACATGTCACTATAATACATCTAGATGTCATACACAAATACAGTAGTATGTATGTGTATGTGATGTTTTTTTGCTGCTTCAGCTTGCTGAGATCGCAGGAACTGCCTAAGATGGCCGTCCCAGCTGAGCTGAACCAAGCGAAACTGGAGACAGAGACATGGGCTGAAGATCTGAACCGTGCCATGTGGTGTGATGAAGCTACAAATTGAGATATACAATAAGAGGTCACTATCTGTTTGCTGGGATTTAAGTGGAATATCTCTATATATTATATATATGTATATACATTTACATATATATAAATACATATATAATATATATATATATACACATTATATCACCAACCATTTGGGGATATTTATGGATGTCTCCCCTAGTTTACATGTTGTTTGAAAATGGGCAACAGACCTTGTCCCTTTTTTTTGCTCAAGAGATATTCGAATTCACCTATGACCTGATCATCAGTTATTTTTCCCATGCAGATGGCGTTCTAATTGGCAGTAAGTCCCATGTTTGGACAAACCATGACACACCGAACTGAAGAATCTGAAGGGTCAAACTAGTTACCTAGTTCTTTGATGTGTCACCGTGTCACCTGTTCGTTGGTTGGTTTTACTGGGGCAGTATGACTGAACTGGACATGGACCAACCGTGACCAACCTGTCCTTCTGGCACTATCCAATCTACATACTAAGTTGCAAAGTGAGATGGAATGATATGGATGAACATTCGTACCAAGAAAAAAGAACGCAGAGGGTCTAACATCCAAAATCATGGAACTCTAAGGTGCCCAAGCCCTGTTTTTCCTCACAGTAACACAGCCGCACCTTGTTGGGATTATATATTATTCATTAACAGTTATTAAGCGCCATCAACCCCAAAGTTATATAAAATTATGTGGGCTAGGGGCTTGTATAGGTAAGGAATGGTTAGGATCAAGGCCTGGCCGCATTTTTGGTGGGACCAACATCCATTGACCACCTCTGCCCTGGCTTCACCAGTGCATCAGCCCTGCGGGGTATCGCCTTGATGGCCTCCACCTGAGGAATTGCTCTGTAAGGACGTCATGGGTACGCAGGTGGCTTCGTGGGATGCCAACATCACCAGAACTGCAGCTGAATCATCTGGGGATTAATGGGATGTCCCAACTACACCAGGGGGTTAGTACAGTGGGATATACCAACAATCTTCAATCTGCGATCATGGCACTAGGAGATCAGTTCAACATGGTTCCAACTGCTCCTGGTCTATGGCTTGCCCTGATGAATAACCCACCATCTTGATTAGTCCTTTCCACCATTCAGCCCTTGAACACCCCACAGGTATTTGGAACAGTTGAGGTGGTGTTCAACATAAGGGGGATGAGATAATAAGCGAACTTAATTAATTTAATTAGCTATCTCAATCCCATTAAATCCCATGAAATCCCATTAAATCCCATGAAATCCCATGAAATCCCGATGTAATCTTCGGGGAATATGATATGGGTCCAGTTATGGCAGGTGGCCATGGCGTCCGTGGGACATTTGGTGCATCGACCACGACGCAGCTGTCCTGGAAAGGATGTGCCCTGAGCTAAACCGGCGGGTCCAAGTGGATGAAGCGACTATTCTCCTGGAAAAAAAACACTGGTTCCTAGCTGAAGTGTTCAAGAAGGCGATGGACCATGGAGAAAAATAGAGAGAAACATATGTGAATGGGAAAATCATTTGATTCTCAAGTGTCATGTTTGATTGCCTCTCAGATTTAAGGAATAAAGAAGTGGGAGTCGGGATTAAACCCAGCAGCAAATAAGCTAGTGGGATTTGGCCAAGCAAGAGAAAGGTTGAAAGCTCGAATGAGATGAATGCCAACAAAGAAGTGAGATTTTTAACCAACAAAGAAACGGGATTTAAGCTGCTGCAACCGTTGTAACATTGTCTTTTGTCGAATTCAAAACTCGAAATGTGGGGATGGTCCAAGACCTATTTGACGGTCGAAATGGGAGGGATGAACATCGCTGTTTTAAGATGTTAAAGATTGTTGAAAAATGAAAATTGCCTAGTTTTCAGACCATTGCTTCTCCATTTCTGGCTATAGGCAAAAAAAACAAGATTTAAAAAAACGTTATCTGTTGCATTCCAGCCATTGGAGGGCCATTATTTTGCGGATTGTAGGAAGCACGACACCTAATCAAAGCAAGTCTAAGTGCAAGACTGCAATGAAAGCGACTTATGAAAAGGTTCATTTGTTATCAGTTATACAATTCACCTTTAATTCACAATTTATATTCATTTCAGAATTTCAACCACTTCCGAACGAAATCATCGTGATCCACACATATATTCTGAAGCTCTTCATTAATTATTGTTCATTCTTACGTAATGCGGCATGTATTCATTCAGGATCAAAGATGAGATATTACTCAACTTCACCAAAAATCTCTATGAGCAAAGATATGAATATCGTTGACTCAATGGAAAATCGCACATTTACAAATGACTCAGATGACCTTCTCACATTTTCCCAGCTATAAACCTGGAATTTCCCAGCCACGTATGACACCGGCCATCGGGTTCAGCGGCCATCGGATTGGGAACTTGTTACCCACCTTCCTGCAAGGTGGGGATGGCAAAATAGGTTTCCGTTGGGTTATAACTTCAATAACTCAGATCTAGAACAGATATGTATATATAATCTTATAGGTATATGATATGTGTGTATGATCATGATTTAAAATTATAGGATTCATATATTGTTGCAATATAATTACCCGAAGACGATGGAGGGAGAGAGAGAGAGAGAGAGAAAGAAAGAAAGAAAGAAAGAAAGAAAAAAAGAGTAAGATATATGAGCATAGTTATATATATATATAATAGTTATATATTATAATATAGCTACAAATACATATAGTTATATATGTAGTTTATTTATGTATATATTATATACAATATATGTATATATGTACATATGTATATACAATTTATATGATATATAATATGTATGTGACTGTGTATACACGGCCCGCCACCGTTGCACCACGTTGCACGCATTGCACGTACCCTCCTTCCTCAGGTGCCTTTGCTTCAGAAGCTGCTGGTGCGCTTGCGCAGCAGCGACGCAGAAGCGCACGAAGGGACCAGCCGGGCCTTGTTTCCCCGTGAAGTTGCTGGGATTTTGGGCCACTTTGGGCTGCTGAGGCAGTATGTTTTGGGTCCTTTCCCCCCTGGTAAAATCAACTCTTTATGGGAAAATCCATGGATAGTATGGGATAACATGGGATGATATGGAATGAATTTGGGAACTCACTATAGGTAGAACATGGTAGAACATTCACTATAGATTGTAGAATTTAATCACATTGACTGTGTGGGGAACCTATGGCGTCGCCCAAGCCTAGTCCTCCGCCTCCGGTATAGCCAGTTTCATCAGGTTGTGCCAGCCTTGGAGCTGGTACGCTTGGCCGAGGCCGCGGGGGGTGAGTACGGTGAGTTGGTCAGCCATGTTTTGTTTGAAAAATGGGTAAACTCGGGAGAGTTAGAGAAATTCTTGAAATATCAGGATTCTGGTAGTTAGTGGGGGGTAGTTCTTAAATATATCCCTGCTCTCAGTTTCTCTTCACTTTTGGAGGGACTGTTGTGAGCAGACTGATGCATAAACTTCCACTTGGGGATGCAATGCACAGTCTATTTATTCAATGGCCATTCCAGGAACCCAAACTGGAGGTACCTACCATATATAAGGCCTATGTAAGGCCGCCTCTGTGACTCTATGGTAATCCCAACACGTCAATCCATTTTGTTCCCATGATATCCCCACGAAAAAACACAACTAAACCAAAGCTATGGAACGCCATCAGAAATAGGTAAATCATCTACAAACAGAACATGTTCCATATATTTCCATAACATAGCTATGGATTTTAACAAAACTAGGGAAGTCATCCATATAGCTGTGTAACAACTTAGCCTCTCGGGTCATCCAAAAATCCATACCATCGTCGCTGTGGCCGAGGACTTGGCGCACTTGGAGCTCCAAGATGCCGAAGCGCTGAACTCCCTCGGCAGAGAAATCTTGCGACGCAGGCGGGGCAATGGCTGAAGTCTGATGGCATGAGGTGAAGGGTGCAATCGGTACATTTGAAGCATCCAAAATCGTGGGTTCATGAGATAGTAATGGGCATAATTTTGGGATATTGTGGGGAACATGTTATGAACATTTATGAACTATAATCAAAAGTTAAGGTGTATATCCGTATTGGGGGATGGTCATCAGTCCATGAATTGGAGTTTATTTACACATGATAAGAATTCCATTATGGGACGGATGACCATAAACCATTTAGCATGTTTTGACCCTCGCACATATGGCTTCGGAGATGACATATATGGGGTGAAATGGATGAAACTGTGGATGGAAGAAACCTTGCACCGGTTGGTAACTATTGGCAACTATGAAACGCTGTAAATAATGGGGTTCTAACGGGATAAACCATTTACCAACTGGTGCAGGATGTCTATATTTCTTCCATCCACAGTATGTGATGAAATTGAGCTTGGAGGTGCAGGATTATAGTTCTGGCTGTGATATGAAACTCCTGGGTCGGACGCTCTTTCTTGAAGGGCCAGGAGGAAAACAAAAAAAACATGTTTGTATTGGAATGTGAAGGACCATGCTTGAGCAAGTAAGGTTGTGAACCATGTTCAAGTTGAACAATGTTGGAAGCAATTTGTGATGCAAGAGAGTGATCGTTGCTGGGAATGGGCCCAGCAGGCACCACAAAGAAGCGCTGAGTACTTGCGCTTTGAGATGCTGTGCCACAAAACCATCACAAAACCGTAGGTGATATTTCCCTCTATCGTTCTCCACATCAAAACTGACTACCCTCCGGTGTCATCAAACATGGCTTGCTGGAACATGTTCCATTTCGTTCTATGGTTTTTCACTTTTCTCATCAGAAACATGCCATATTTACTTTGGGGATTTCCCAGCTACACCGCACATCGCAACGAGGCCGGAACTGACAGCCGAAGAAGTGCAGTTGGCCAAAGGAGCCTTTGCCATGCTGAAGCTCAGCCTGCCGGACGTGTGCGGCTTCCCAAGCCATCCCGACAATTTGATTAAAAGAATGGACAAGGAACATATTCCCTAATTGTTCCCAGGTGTTACCACTACACATATTCATATCCTAATATCTATATCCATCGATTGAATTATTATTTACTAGTATATAATATATAACAAAAACAACTGTATCCCCAAGGTCGCCAAAAAAAAAACAGGAGTGATGTTCAGATGACGAGGATGGTGAACCCAAATGCTGCATACTGAAACCCGAAGATATGGGATATACTGGTGATTTATTGGTGACAGAATGGGGGTAGAACGGGTGTTATTGGGTATCCCATCCCACTGTAACTAATATGCAAAAACACCCTTCTGTGGTCCCAAATACGTGTAAATCTACTGAACCATGGTTTATGCGGGGTGTTTTATATGAATGGTGGAAGTGATTAAATATACAATACATATCACGATCATCCTCCTCCTGAAGTAGATAGAATATGGAATCTTCATGTTTTCCCATTTTAGTAGATATGTTTTTGATTTTTTCTATTGGTTTATCTATTATTTCAGGATGATAGCGGTGCATATATATATATGCACAAATACATAAACATTATATATATATACATATATATATACACATACGTGTGTGTGCGTGTGTGTGAGCTATAAGTATCATTTCGGTATCTTATATTGGTTATTGCCAAGTTAACTTTTTTCTGGGATGCAAACCCAAGCATGTCGTGGTCCGTGTTGGCCAAATTGACAATAGCAGGCTTTTCTCTCCACTGAATCCACTGGTATAGCAACGTTCACCAAGGGATGATTCGTTGTGTGTCAGTTTTCAAGCCAGGGAGTGTAATGATGGGGCAGCAGATTGATGATTTTTCCAACATCAATCATTCTAAGTATCCTAATTCCGGATCCAGGCACTTGCCAAAGGGCAAGTGCCTGAGCAATCTTTATTTCATATCCTAAGTATCGTATAGTATTGTATAGCTACCACATCCTACCACCCCTTCTTAAACTACTTGAAACACATAGAAACACCGGTGCAGTGGATCTATTTATTTTGGGTATCAGTTCTGTGCCTGCAAGATGAGATGAGATTCGCCCTAGGCCCAGCCCCACTCATTAGGGGGCTGAGACTGCATGCCCCCATCAAAGCACCATCAAAGCACCATTGCCCTCTGGGAATCAAACATGGCCTGCCGGAAAATAAATCACAATAGTTTACCTTTGATTGTGCCATGAGAACACCTCTGCAAGGTGGTCTACCGGGGTGAAACTGAAGAAGCGCGGGGCGGACGTCGTGACGCACCAGGCCTTCGTTCCGACCAAAGCGACGCCAAAAAGCAAGCCGCTTGGCCTAGTGGTTGGCTTATCACCCAAGAAAAATGGATGATTGAACCATGAACATGTCGAACCATGAACATGTTGGATTTAACCATGAACATGTTGGATGTAGCATGATTCAATCGTTTAAACATGACAAATGTGGATTCTATATGATTCAAACAAATCGGGATGAACTGGTGAATTCCTATTCTTTGTTGATCACATGAAGTTGTCCAAAAATGACATGGGGCGAAGAAACAAAACTTATGGAGCGTGGCCGGCATATATTTTCCAAGTGGCTGGGTGATGGTTTGAGGTTGTTGTTCAAGGGGCTGCAATGGCTTGCATTTGTCTTCGTTTTTTCGCATCAAGGGCCGGAAACTAGACCTCTATTTGGATATTTTGGATCCACAACGTTCATTGTTCATCAGGAAGCATGGTGAAACAAACCTATGGGAAAGCATGGGATCATCCATGGTGTTGTCAGCATGTAAAAAAAAGGTGGTGTGGCCAATCAACTGTAGCCACATAGAAAGATTGCTTGCCAATTTGCATGTCAGTTTGTGTAATCACTTTCTATTTTTTCTTAACATTTCTTAAACATCAGCCATAATTCTGAAACCAATGCAGGGCCATGAAATAATGCCAGCAAACTGCATTTTGGAATTGTGAAATTCCAAGGTTGGTGGTATGTGATGTGTTTACAAACTTCAAAGATACATTCCGATACTTTGTGGATGATGTTTCATACATATCCGAACTCGATTTGATGTCTCTTCAGATTTCGAGATCGAACCCCACCGCGTTCTCGTTCCATGTCTCCGAGCATCCTGCCATGGGCTGCCGCTCGGCCACCTTCTTATCGTGGTCGTTGTTCCGATTGGTAACATTGGACGCATTCAAACTCTTGGACGTCGGAGCTCCTAGAACAGGGACCCAGTCCTTTTATGATGCCATGAAAATTCTGAATTTGAACCCAGTGCACTCCGGGTACCAGAGCGAGGTACGTCCCGCACTCTGTGAGTACTTGTTTCGCAATGGTTCGTTAGACGATGCCTTGGGTGTCCTTGATGGTTTTGATGCCGCGATGGACGAACCCTTCATGCTAATGTACGAAGAGATCATGGCAGCATTTCCTGAGGCAAAGTTTGCACTGACCATCTCTGATGCAGAGAGCTGGTTTGATAACTATGTGGAGATGGAGCGTTTTCTCGCTACATACCACAGCCAGGCCCTACATGAGAAATATGGTGCTTTACCTCCCGAGTGTAAAGCTTTGACTTTCTGGGGCTGCTGGTTCTTGAACTCCACTCAAGAAGACAAGGACTTGGATTGTTGAAGATTGTGTTTTCTCTTTCCATTGCGAAATCCACCTGTTTGAAAATCTGCTGGGATCGGGAATATGTTTTGTTTGCTGTGGTCCCCTTTTTCGCAAATCCAATAGGACATTTGCTTGCGAAACTATCGCCGCCACAACCAGCGAGTGCAAGAAATCATTCCGCCTGAGCGCTTGCTCGTGTACAACTGGTCGGATGGATGGGCCCCACTTGCGCATTTTTTGGATGTGGCCATTCCCGCTGAAACCTTCCCCCACGAAGACAAAGTAAACGGAAAAGAACAGCTTCTTGGAAATCAGAGTGCCTGGGAGACAAGCTGAAACGAGGAACAAGGTGGCTGTGAAAAGGTGTAATGAGTTTCACGAGTTTTTGTTTCACCTTGCCCACTTAGCAGGCCGCGGATTTGGGAAAGTGACCTAGCCCAGAATTGGTTTCAGGGTTGAAATTTTCTGGACAGATCCCATATTTCATGGGAGACAACGTGTGGTTTCCTCTAGATTCTAGATAGTCCTGAAATCATTTCATTTTGCAGGTTATATACTACGTATCCTAATTCTTGTCATATCCCCATTTGGTCACTTGAACCAACATACAATTACAGCCATGGTGCTTCGGGTTGATCTTAAAGCACACAGCCTCAACTGGATCATTTGTCTTCAAACTCAAGTTTACCCGGTATATAACACCAGTTGCAATGTCATTGGGCATCATTTACATATGTTTATATAGAGGTATAATGAGGTATATATCCTATGTTTGATGATGTGGTATGTAAATAACTATATATATATATACATTTATATAGTGATGTACATACAGCATTATATATATATCATACCCTATGGATCCAGCCGTGCCTCCTTAGGAAATACTTGGGGGGATGATTTAGGGGGTCAACTACCTTCTCAGAGTCTGTGTTTGGATCATTTTGGATCCATAGGGTACGTTGTACACCTCCAGAAGTTGGGAAATGGGACTAGTGATATTGGTTCCTTAAATAGTGACAAACTAATGTCAAACTATGGATGAATGAAACAAGATAGTGATGAACTGGTGATAAAACTATGGACAAACATATGGATAAACTATGGTTTCATTAACTAGTGATAACCTATGGTTATTCCCCAATTAACTATGGTTATTCATAAACTATGGTTTCATTAACTTGTGATAACTAATGAATATATGATTCCCCAACTTGTGATGATTCTTGATGTCGCCTCAGGAAGCCCCGCAGCCTGCGCAGCTCCCGCGAGTCGGAGCTGGAGGAGACGTCGCCGCCGCCGTCGCCACCGCGGAGATGACGGTCCAGGTCCGGAAACCGTGGAGGTTTCCACGGTTTTTTTGGGGCAAAAAACATGGGAAAACTGGGAAAACCCATGATAAATCAATGAAAACTATGGGAAAAACTATGGGAAAATCATGGAAGATAGATAAAAAACTTGGATATGGGAACTGATGAGAATATATGGAAGAATAATGGGAAAATCGTGATGAATCAACTATCAATCATCTATAAGTGGGAGATTTTCCAACATTTACAAAAAATGTCAAAAAATGGATGGAGATGGGTTGGTTTACCTGGTGGTAAACTAACAGTTTCTGTTGAAAACCGACAGCTTTAATAAAACATGTTCAAAAACTGATGATGCAAGGTGGTGGGAACATGAGTTATACTAGATGTATGCTGAACTTTAATCAGCAGAAATGATGGTTTAGGCCTTATGTATCTTTGAGTCACAACCATGGGAATTGAATCAACAAAACTGGTGGTACTGGGAATATTCAGAGACATTATGATGGCTAAACACATCACCACTAATCTGGTTGGTGGTTTGGAACATTTTTTATTGTTCCATATATTGGGAATAATAATCTCAACTGACTTTCATATTTTTCAGAGGGGTATGTATACCACCAACCACAAATTAAATGTCATTCCATTTCATACTGGTCGATTTTTCTGGGGGTTCCAGCTCATGGATGATGAGAATCCTAAAGAAAATCCAGTCGCCGCGCTTTAAGAGCCCCCTATAGGGAGGACTTTTCCATGGTATTTGGCCAACTTTTCCACTAACTCCGGACGAGAAATGACTGAGACCGTAGATTTTACACTGATACTTTTGGTGAAACCTGTTATAATTAATCGACAGTTGTTGTGCCAAGGGTTGTGTTGGTACCTTTCCCAGCACATCCCAACTATCAGTCTCTATTCAGATTTCGAGTTCGAACCCCCTCCATCTCGTTGCATATTTCCATGTCTCGCGCCATGAATCTTTGCTGCCTCCAGAGTTTCTGGATATGGCCATTGTGCGGATTGGTCACATTGGACGCATTCAAACTGTTGGACGTCAGAGCTCCTAGAACAGGGACCCAGTCCTTTCATGATGCCATGAAAATTCTGAATTTGAACCCAGTGCACTCCGGGTATCACATGGAGATACGTCCTGCGCTCTGTAAATACTTGTTTCGCAATGGTTCGTTAGATGATGCCTTGGGTGTACTTGATGGTTTTGATGCCGCGATGGACGAACCCTTCATGCTAATGTACGAAGAGATCATGGCAGCATTTCCTGAGGCGAAGTTTGTACTGACCATCTCTGATGCAGAGAGCTGGTTTGATAACTTTGTGGAGCTGATGCGTCCATACCAAAATGTGACTGACGAATGCACAGCAATGAGATCCTGGGGCTGCATTTTCGCGAACCCCACCCAAGAAGACAGGGACATTTGCTTGCGAAACTATCATCGGCACAACCAGCGAGTGCAAGAAATCATTCCGCCTGAGCGCTTGCTAGTGTACAACTGGTCGGATGGATGGGCCCCACTTGCACATTTTTTGGATGTGGCCATTCCAGCTGAAACCTTCCCCCACGAAGATTTTTGGAGGAGCTAAAACGAGGGACAATGGACAGGTGGCTATGACAATGTTCCAAGAGTTTCGTTTGGTTTGGTTTCACATTGCCCAGGCTGCGACAACGCCAAGCTTGGAAGAGAGACCAACAGCTCATTGGCCATTTCAGGATCCTAGATTGGAGGTACCTACCACTACCATATATAAGGCCTATTTGTCAGGCCTAAATTTCAGGGAATATCCCCCCAAAATATGGCCAGAAATATGGTACTAATGTACCTCCATTTTAGGATCCTGAAGATCTCCCATTGAACAGTTGGCGTGTGGAAAAAGTGGTTCGGGCTCCTGAGTCAGGAGGACACACCAACATAAGAGTCCAGAGATTGGCTCGAAACCACCCTGATTAAAACTAGGAAACACCATTCATCAATGTATCAACGGTAGATTCTATTAAAAATATTAAAATAGTTAAGTAACAATGATAACTTAGATACCAAATGTATTGTGCAAAATATATCAAAAAAAATATATATATATATACTAATATAGTATATGCAAAGGTTTGAGGTATTCCACACGGAGGTACAGATTCAACCACTCCATGGTAGGCTGTGGCTTCTCGCAAACAGCGAGAGACGAGCGGTGGAGCTCCTTCAGAACCAACCGCGTTCATGTTAAATCCCCGTTCGCCCATGAAATCCCAGAAAAAAACCATCAAATGCCTTTAAATTATATTAAATCCCTACTGTTGATATTTGTTCACTGAAATCCTATCAATGATTATTTACCAATATATATATATATAATATATATATATATAATATATATATATATAACCAGTATATTTCTACTATTTATACCAGTATATCAATGAATTTTTTATTTATACCAGTATATTTCTCAGCGTAAGGCACCCCAACTATTACCAAGCCGGCAGCCTTTCTGGAGGCCTAGCACACGCTGGCAGCGTCGCCAGCATTGGGGAAAACATGGGGCCTTTTTGTACAAGGGTCGACTGGTAGGTTCGTTATGTGACCGAAGCTTGGGTAGATATTCAGCAATACCCCGTAGTTTGATGGGAACGGAACTACATATATTTCAATTTATTATTTTTATAATTATATATAAATATGCATTTGCATTTAGAATTCTAGATTAAATGAATATAGAAGTGTGTATATATATATACACATATGTACAGACTAAAATATGTAATTAATTATTTAATGAACAAAGAAATCAATAATAATACATATAGCTGCGTTTATATTATATATATAATTATATATATATATGTATACGTCTGTATGTATTATATCGGAGTTTCAAGGTAAACATGTGAATGGTCACTCGAAAGATGGCGAGTGCATAATCCAAAATAATCTGCGCCATGTATGGAATATATTTACCATTTGGAGATGAATTTTCCATCCATATATGGTATTATGGTTATTAATGGTCATTATTGTTTGTTAATGGTTATGAATGATATGATTTTTAATGGTCATTCTTGGTTGTTAAAGGTTATGAATGGATATATATATATATATATGGATGTATATATATGGATGTGAATATGGTAAATATCCTACATATGCTGCACCCAATCATAGACCATCCCGCTGACCAGCCATTTGGGTGTTGTGCAAAACAGGCCCAGCTGGCTGTCAATTGGGGATATCGATTCCCACATGCTCCATGTATGGAATATTTACTTTCATAAACGCACCATTTTTGGGGCAATTGCTGGATCATTAAAATGATTCCCCCGGGGCTGTGTATGAAGTCGAGCAGAAATTGCAGAACATAATCCCAACGTCATCAAAAAATATAGCTATTCCTAAACTGGATAAACCCTTGGCGGGAGATTTGAATGCTTATTTGTTTGTCGATTTTGATAGGGTTTGAGGAATGGCTCATCGAAGATATGTTCTTTTTTGACCAGAGGAAACATTTACTTGAAGCCAGCTAAGAGTTTGAGACAGTTTGAGAATCGGACAAAGGGCAAATTGACAGGAAACCCCCTCCATGAGTGGAAGCAAATCGACGTGATGGACAAATCCTATATATGGTTTTCCATATATATTGCATATATGTTCCATTTTTCATCAATCCGTTGACACCAGGCACAAGATTCCCACAACCCCATTGTATATAATTTCCCATCCAGTTATCCCCACCCGTCAATCAACTCATAAACCAACATCACCAAAAATAACGGGACACCACATTGCCAGCGCTTTTTGTATAGCCCAAAACCGGAAAAAAATCATATATTGGTTTATTGGGATAAATATGGATAAATCGGTTTAAACTATGATTAAAGCTAGATACTCAAAGCCTATTTCTTCTTGAACATGGTGGATCTTTTGCAGCGTCGACAATCCCCAATTTCCTTCGATTTCGGAGGATTTCCCCACGCAGGTGCCCCGGCATGGCCACGCCGAACGGCGGGCCTTGGTGCTTTGCCAAGATGGGAAGAGATGAAGAGATGGAGAAAGGGGCAAAATCCAATGAGTATACCCTCTGGTAAACTAACATAACTATGGAAAATCACTGTCTTTAATGGGAAAACTCACTATAATTAAATGTTCATGTTCAATAGCTAGGTTAAATTACCAGAGGGTACCAATATATCCCATGAACCAGCACATGATAATCTAGTTGTGGATTTTTGCTGCGGGATTATCGTGGAATAAGAGTTAAACACCAGTTTTTAATATGTTGTGATGTGATGTGTTGCAATCACCAGAAGACCTAGTTTGAAAAGCGTTTGCAGAATGTTGAAACGATGATGTTTCCTCCGGAATTTCCTGTGTTTTTCAAGGGATTTTTAATCTATGATTGGTGGTTGCTATGAGACGAGAGCAAACCAAAAATCGAGAGAACAGTTGCAAACTTGGAAATGTGAGGTAGATATCATGTATGCGACTTGGAAATATGATATATAGGTAGGTGTGCCTATCTTATGGGACAAACATGGGAAATGTGCTAAACAACAGCATGGGAAACATATGGCAAAGGATGGGTCTAGACTAGTCCAAACAGATGACACATATGGGCAGATCATTACAACAATCCCCACCAAAAAGGAAAACACCTCTCTATCTTAGATTCCAATTTCACTTATTTGCTATCTTGGGAGTTACTAAAACTATTAGTTGGGCGTTTTTAGAAGAGCCTTTGGCTAACCTCACACGAGAGCTGACAACAAACAACTTTGAAAATCAACAATGTTCTTTTGAAACAAAAAAGTTCTTTTTGAAACTTCTTTGAAGATGTTTAAACACATGAAAAGAAGTTTCAAAAACAACTTTCGTAGAGAAAAACAAGTTGCAAGAAGTTTCAGAAACTTTCTAAAAACTTCTTTTCACCAAAAAAGAACTTTCAGAAAGTTTCTGTCAGAAAGTTTCTGAAACTTCTGTTTTACAACAAAAAAGTTTGAGAAGCTTTCTAGAAACTTTGTGTTTTCTGCAACCATGTGAGACAACATTTTCATGTAACAACGAAGCAGACCTTGTCCTTGTTGAAAACAGGTTGCCCTTGTTCGAGCATTCTCCTGATGCGCAGCATTTTTTTGGCCCAAAATGTCCATCCTCGGATTGGATCAGGTTTTGCAATTAGCCAATCAATATCAGGCACTTGCCGATGGCGGAGATGGAGGGAATGGAGGGAATGGAGGAGATGGAGGAGATGGAGGAGATGGAGAAGATGGAGGAGATGGAGGAGATGGAGGAGATGGAGGAGATGGAGGAGATGGAGACCGGCGTGGCCGTGGTCGTGGTCAAATCCGGCGCGGCCGTGGTCGAGGTCAACTCCGGCGCGGCCGTGGTCGAGGCCGGCTTGGCCGTGGCTTGAGGCAGGCGAACCACAACCGGCAAGGAGAAGCCCGCAAGGCAGGTGCACTCTCTTCAATGAAGCAGCGGCAACTTGTTCGGCAGAGCCTGCATTTTAATAAGACGGGCCACGCCCGCACTTTGGATCATCAGCTGCCAGGCCAAGACTTCAAGAGGCGCAAGCCCACAGGCAAAGGGAAATGGAAGACCTGGACGCCGGAGGCCGTCCTCAGGGTTGGTTTTGGACATGAGACGGCAACTTGCAGACAGTTGGCAAATGAGGTGGAGGGAGCATCAGCCAGCCAAGCACGAGCTGCACGCTTTGCCTGCGCCGCAGCGGTATGCAAGTCGCAAGCTGAAAGCTGTCAGCATGTCGTGACAGAGTCGCAGAATGAGCCTTTCAATTTTTCATCCGCAACTTGATGTTTGATGAATCGACCTTTGAATTGAAAGTGGGGAATGATGCGCCCAATAGTTGTTCTGTGCTGTGTTCGCATGCCCAATGGACTATGGGAGCGGCTCCCAGCTTGGGGGATGATCGTCCCAGTATCAGGGATGAGCACATTGTTCGATCTCCGCAGATCTTGGCGCCAATGAATTCCGCGACGATGTGGAAGACCTTGGCAGAGCATCCTGGAGGCCTCGGGCCTTGTGATGTGGCAGCGTGCCATGTTTGCACCCTGACTACCTGTGATGCTCATGCTGCCAACATCAAGCTTCTAAAGCACTTGGACACGACCCTTGGAGTTGACCACTTGTTTCTGCCCACGCTTTGCACGCAACATCGCGACGGAAATGTCGTGGAGCAGCTAACTCAATTGCTTGGCAATTTGTCTGGGTGCTTCTGCGTTTCCCGGGTGTTGAACTCACGGCACGCTGTGCAAGCTTTGCGCCGAAAGACGCGCGCCGCGCTGGATCAACACTTGGTGGTGTTGGCTTCTGAACCCCCTGGCATCCAGGCTGAGTGGGCTGAAGTGCGCTCTCGGACCACAGAATTCATGAAGATGGTTGCAATGTTTGATGCAGCCTCCAAAGATCATTGTGGCGATGATCCTCCGCACGCCGCCGGCGCTGATCCGATCGCCGCTGGCGTTGCCCAAGGTGAACTCCCAGACGGCTCGGCCCAGCTTTTGAACTTTTTCAACGGGCCGTGGACAGGACTGATGCTGGGGTTGGGTTAGTCTGGGTGATTTATAGTTGTGTAGTAGTAATAACTATATGACTATATAACAATAAATATTAAATATTCCAAACAATAGTACCCAAAACGATGATCCTTCAAGTCAAATAGTGCAGGCCACTGTATTTCCACTTGTTTGGGGCCGCCGCAGCCGTTTTCTTGGCTCAGATTCTAAGTGCGTGACACCTCCACCTCTTCTTTGCTAGATGGCCGACAGCTCCATGGAAGCAAAAGCAGCAAAAGTTGAGCAATCGTGTGAGAAAGGGGGCCCTTCAGGGCCGCCGGCCGTGTCCCCCTGCAGGTTCTGCAGGGCCGCTGGCCGGGTCCAAGGAGTCTGTGCAGGGGCCGCTGGCCGCATCAGCCCCCGCGACGCCCGACGAGCAAGCCAAGTTGCTGCTGCAGCAGCGACGGGCGAACACTTTGTTCGCCGACTGGATGCATTCCCTTGCGCCTGCAGATGCCCGCAGGGCGGTGTTGAAAAGGGCAGACTCCTTGGCCAGCACTTGCACGAGGGATCAGATTTCCCAGCTGAGCGCTATTCTGGTGAGTGACTCGTACGGCGGCGACGCCACTGCAGAGATGGTGTTCAAGGTCCGCGAGGCCTACAACACCCGGAGTCTTGGTTGCAAGTATATTTTTTTCTTGTTTGAACAGTGATTATGCAGATACCAACCATGAGATAGATAGATTTTAATATATATATATATATTATATAATTATATATATATAATATATATATATTATATAATTATATATATAATATATATATATATATATTGAATATTGTTTTTATATCATGTAATAAAAATAAAATAATGTAAATAATACAATATATATATATGCATATATATATATATATACACATATCTGAAAATCACATTTTCCGTGCTTGGCATTCTTCTGGTTGCCAGGCATCCCATGCACCTTCTCTTGACCACGCCTCGCCAGGGTGAAATTTGGATTGGCTCCATTCACGCCGCAGGCGATGTTGAGGTTTTGCGGAAGAATGGCATCACTGCCATGGTTTCTTGCGCCTCCAACGTCCCTGTTGCGCGGACCCAGAACGTGAAGTTCTTAGGCGTCTACGACGGGACAGCAATTGCCAAGGGCAACATGAAATGGTACCACGTCACGGCCATGATGGACGCTGTCCTGAAGGAGGTTGAGAACGGCGGCCGGGTGCTCTTCAGCTGCAAGAATGCTGCGCACAGATCGGCGGAGGTCTCCGGATTGGAGCTGTGTTTTCTGACTGGCGAGGAGCCTGACACAGTGATGAATCACATTCGCACCATTCGGGAGATGTGCGATTTTGATTCGGTTCATCCTGGCGACAAACGCACATGCTTCAACTTGCCGATCCTGACGCCGCGCCAGTTCTTGCGCTCAAAGGCTGCTGACCTGGCGGCTGCCCACGACCTTCTGGAGCCTTCGGAGAAGATGCGGCTCAATGTGGTCATGTCCCCGTCTGAGTACGAAGCCTTTGCAGCCATCAACGGCGTGAGCTTTCCGGACCAGGGTTTCAAGTTCATTGCGCTTTTTCTTTTCTCTTTAAGCAGAGTTGCAAGGCCTTGATGCGGCTCAATAGCCCATTTGTTTAATTTTTTCAGCATTTCATCCACCAGGACATAGCCACTAGGCCCAAGGCCAGGCCGCGGGTCCCACGTGCTATCGCAGCGGCAGACTGCCAGGTAGTGGGCAATATGTTTTTCTGTTCTTAGGTGGGTATAGGGGGATCCCCATTCATACGATTGTCATTGTTGTATTATACTGTATAATTTATACAGGATCGCTTTGCATAGTTTTTTTTTACATTTTTCTGGCCGCTGGCCTTGCTTCCATGGCTGCCAATGAGGCTGCATCCGAGTCTGAGACTGCTTGGGAGAAGGTGCCGAAGAGCGAGACTGAAGCTTCAAAGCGGGAGGCCAGCGAAGCCGAGGCTCGGGTAAAGACACTTTTCACAGCATGGCATGTTCAGTAGTGCAGCGATGTTGCACTGACTGACAGACAACTTGGCTTGTTTCTGCCCTGACAGACTTCGCAGAGCTGGGACATGCTCACCGACACAGATGCGAAGAAGTTGAAACTGAGTGAGTCAGAGTCTGACGCCGCTGGCGGTGCGAAGCGTGCAGCCTCAGGGTTACCCTTCAAATCTCCGCCGCTCCAAAAAAAAATCAGTCGATCTGACTTGTTCTTGACTTCCAAGGCCGCCGGCCTACCGCTGGAAATGCCCAAGGTTTGTCCTAGTGAGCCACCGCTGAGCAGGGAGGAGTACGCCGCCGGCCGTATGCCAAAGGTTGGTCCCAGTGAGCCGCCACCGAGCAGGGAGGAGTATGAGGCAGCAAAACGCCTGGCAGTTCCAAAAACGCTTCCCAAGGCGTCGCCCAAGGCCGCTGGCCCTGCTCCGGCTCCGTTCCTTTTGCCGGAGTCTGAGAAGGAATTTTCCTTGGGTGATTTGAAGGATGTGGTGACTTCTTTGGCCGCGCTCGATGCTTGCCTCGTGCATTTTTCTTCTGCAGCCAGCTCAAAAAATTCCACGCCAGAAGGCACTCTGGACCCGGCCCCGGTTGGTGAGAACGCCGGCAATGGTGATGAGGCAATGGCAACGGATGCAGTTTCAGAGGCTGATTATGGAGGTGAGGGCGACGAGGAGAACGAGGCGAAGAGTTGGGAAGAGTTGGGTGCCAAGCACCTCAATGCGTCCCCAGAAGCTCTCAAGCGCCTCACTGAACTTTTGGGCCAGCACAAGACAAACCTCGAGAAGCTCTTGGAACAGCAGGAAAGTAAGGAGAAGGCAGAGACCGCCGCTGGCGAGGTTTTTAATGCCTTGATGCGCCAGGAGTGGGACAGCGCGGCCGCTTTAATTGACTACTCCGGGCTGACTCTTCTCCACCATGCTGTGAGGAGCTTCCACCTCCCACTCATTCTTCAAATTGTAGAAAAGTGTCCAGGTTTGGCGAATCGCCCCACTGCGCCCAACAGGCAACCAGGGCACTGGACCCCGCTCATGATTTTCTGCAATCTCAATTCCCAGGCGCCTAACTCGCAGCTGGCGGAGAATGAGAAGGACATCGGGTACCTCCTGTGTCAACATATGTCTCTCGACGGCCTCAACGTCAGGGGGACTACGTACTGCACGGCGACGCACATTGCTGTCCCTCGCTCTAAGTGGAGCCTGGTGAAGAACATTTTGTACCGCATCAGCGACCTCGGTGGAAAGGCAGCGGTCATGTTCCACACAAAGATGGTAAACAACAATGTTTCATGGCAGCATTCTTTTCAGTCCATATGTAAGTAATATGTTTTTTCAGTCCATATGTAAGTAATATGCTCTTCCCACAATAGCATTCATATATCATATATCGTATGACATCAAACGACCCCCCTAATTTTTTTTGATGGATTCATACTAATGTATACCGCGCGCTGTGTGCCCAGGGCCGGTCCGTGGTCGACATCGCGTTGTCATGCAACTTGGCTATGGCCCGCTATTTGCAGGAGCACTGGCAAGCCGAGCCGGCGCATCCTCCGCCTGCCCGCTGGGATTTGACTGCATACAGGCTGGATATTTTTTCAATAGGAGGATGTCGTGAATAGTTTCTTCAACAATCTGGTTTGAGACGTGACTGACATGATCTGATTTGATGAATGTGGTTGGCTGTTTGACTGGTATGATTTGCGAGGCAGTGCCAGTGTTTATAGAACCTCTCCGTAGACAGTTACACATGTACCATCATTATAACCATGTAAGCAAGTATAGAATAAAAAAATCTATGTGCAAATATATATATATGTATATATATATATATATATTGACGCATATTTTCCCCATACGGATTCAGGTTTTTGTTTACGATGAGGCCTCGAAATCAGTACTACGACCGTGACCTAGATCGAAATGAAGACCGCGACAGTCGCAGTTGTGGAAGCGGCTGGCGCTGGGGCTGAGTCCTTCATGAGCGCTGCTCAGGTTTCCAGCTAATGTTTTTCGCAATGTCTGGTCGCTGACCCTGTCACAATTTTTAAAGGCGATGCCACCAATGCATTTTTCTGTTGATGTGAAGTTTTTTGTGTTTGAAGATAGTGGTTGTTTTTGTTTTGCAAGAGCGTCCACAGCATTGCCAAAAAGCACGATGGGCTGGAAACCGGCCTTTGGCCATATATAGTATAGTCTTCCTGTCGCCGACAGCCTGGCGGCTAAAGCTTGGAGCTGTCACTGGCTTCTTTGGCAGCCCGCAGGGCCAGATGGTTAAAACTCTTTAGGTGTGTGAAACGTATATACACCATGTCACGGCTTGAGTTTTCTTCGGTTTGGGCATGCCACGCTCCAGTGACATGTTGCGCGAGTTGCTGCCTGCACGTCCCGCCAGCTGGAAAAAACAGCGCCTGCAGCTTTCCCTAAAGGTCTGTATGGGCGCAGCCCTTGTCTTTAGAGCCATGTTTTTTTTGACCAGTTGTTCATGGACACATGGCTATGTCAGCAGTGTGTATGCTTCTTTTAAGGTTTTAATTTTGTCTGGGATTCATTCCGACTTCCCTTGCCAGGACCTCCTTTGCACATATGTGCTGGTTGCTGCAGTGGTCGAGATGAAGCGGTAGACAGAGCCCAGAAGCTGATCGAGTCTGAGGTCTTGAAACCAATGCCGCTGCCTGCCATGAATAAATGGACAAAAGTAGCACCCACTGTAGCTCACATTGCTCTTCTTGGTCTGTTTCACAACGGCTTTGTGGTGGATGCCTTCAAGGCTGAGTTTGGCGAGTTGCAGGATGAGGAGTCCGACCTCAGCAACAATGAAGATGACAAGCTGGGGGTTCCAGCCAACGAAACCAGAAAGTGGCGACTCCTTGCGAGAAGGCGGAACATGCGTGCCACTAATTTTCTGGCGGAGGCCCAGTCGCTGTGGATTAACTTACTATGGTGCCGCCTGGCCAGCAGCACCATGATTTTGCACGCAGTGCTGTTCAAAAATGCGACGTGGTTCACAGACAGGTCTCCGCAGGAGTTGTCCAGGTCTCGCCATTTGTTCGCCACATTTTGCGACCCGGATGCAAACCCTGCTTGGGCCAATTTGCAAGAGTTATTGGGAATTTTGAAAGATCCGGAACCTTCTTTGGCCCTTTTGGTTTGGAAGTTTGGTCCAGTTGCGCAGTGGCCACAGCCACGCCGGCGTATTGTCCGGAAAGCAGTTATGGTGATGACTGGGCAGCTGGCTCGGAAATTGGTTTTGCCTTGGCAGCAATACCCTTGGCGTTTATGGCCGCTGGCCTTGAAAGATGTGGACGAAGCGAAGCGCAAAGAGTGTGCCCGAGATCTGCTGAGGAGCCCGACTTGCTGTTTGGACAGTGGCTTTTCCAGGCGGCTGAGGCATTTGCATCCCCGTGAATCCGAGTTGCTGAGCTCAGATGTTCAGACATTCTTGGCTACAGTGTTCACACGGATTGCACCAACATCTACATTTATTGAGCGCCGATTTGCTCAATTCACCAACTGGTGTGAGAAGAAGCCAAAATTTGCCACCTTGGCCGCCAAGCACGTCACTAGCTTCTGCAAGGGCGCTGCCCAAGCCTGGAGAAGCAAGCATCCCAACCACAAGAAACCCAACCACAGACAGAGGCCAACCTGGGCGCAAGACAAAGCGAAGCGCACCACTGGATACAACATGTTTCTCTCAGAGTTTCGTAAAAACACGCAAGGGCGGTGTTTCAGAGGAGATGATGGCCGGTCGGAATTTGTGCAAGAAGCATCGGCTGCTTGGCGGAGGCTTTCGCAAGGAGAGAAGGCTTCATACGGCATGAGAGCCCGGGGTATGAATAGCTTGAGAAGTAGGAGCGCAGGCAGCTTGGAGGAAGAGGAGCTTGTCGCAGATGACAGCGGAGGTTTGTGGGGCATGTGCCGTTTGAATGAGGCATGGCCAATTTCTGTTTGCGTTCTTCAAGCTGCTCTGGGAGAAGGGCGTCCAGCACTTAGCAAAAGCAGTGCTGAGTGGGAGCAGGCTTGCTTTTCCGCGAAAATTTCCAAGACAACAGCTTGGTTGTTTGAAAAGGATCCTGAGCATACAAAATAATAATGAGTGGGATGATGTGTGCCATGTCATGTCATATCGCATACAAATGTCAAAGCTATGTAAAAACCTATCATTATATATATATCCCCGTTCGAATTTCAACTACAGAATGGGAGGCCTTGTGCCCCGTTTCAAGGCCTTTCCAGGCTTAAATTAAGATGAAAAAATGGGGATGGGCCAGGCATTTTGTACCCGCAGCTTGGGAATTGCATTTTAAAAGTTGTCAACGTTTCGGTAGTTGAAAGACCTTTAAAAATCGAAAGTCATTTTGTAGCAAGAGAATTTGCCCATCGGAAGACAACATGTAAAAACCCAATCTCATTTTGTAGCAAGGGAAGTTGCCCTTCGGAAGTGTTCCCTTCAAGTAACCTGATGATAAAAACAATAAAATCCAATCTTCATTTATAGTGGTTGAGTGTCCCCTTCAAGTAACTTGACGATAAAAACCAATCTTCATTTTGTAGTATTGAAGTGTTCCCTTCAAGTAACCTGATGATAAGAGCATATAAAAACCAATCTTCATTTTGTAGTGGCGGAGTGTCCCCTTCAAGTAACTTGATGATAAAAACCAATCGTCATTTTGTAGTGGTGGATTTTCCCCTTCAAGTAACCTCATGATAAAAACCAATCTTCATTTTGTAGCAGTATCATGTTGTCATTTTCCGTAATCCTCTGGGGGTTGAGAACCATCATTTTATAATGGCTGAGGTTAGGAATTTTGATGCTTTGGTACAAAATGGGTTCTCGACCCCATAGTAGAAATTCAAACCGGGATATATATATCTATATTTGTATATTTTGTGCTTTCTCATTTTATCTTCATTTTTTGTTGAGGCATAGATGCATCTATGACGTAACGTGTATATTTAGCCCTATTAGGTAGACGTTGTTTTTTGTTATTCTGTACATGTTATTTTTATTTTATGCATTTGCTAGGATCACGAAGCCTTGATTGAAGTTGGCGAAGACGAAGATCTGCCAGATGTCACCGACAGCCTCTTTTCTGTTTGCCCTTGGGGCGGGTGCGAGGCCAGTTTGAGGGAAGATGAACGGACAGTTTTTCGCGAGGTTCACGAGGATTTGGTGACTGCCGTAAGGGTGCACGAACCCTTGAAACGCGATCTTTCTGCTCACCCACTAGTGCTGCAATGGTGCTCTCCTGCATCTGGCAAGCAGAAATACATTGTTGTGGCCTTCAATGTCCGCAAGCCTCCCTGGGACATGGTCATGTTTCAATTGGAGCCGCTGAATGGCCACAACGGCCTCGACTGCCCCTTTGTCTTGGAGCTCGAAGGTCAAGACAGAGGATTCTCGCTTCAATGCTTGCGCTCCGATATGGAATTCTGCATGGATCTTGCAAGAGAAGCCTCGGACTGGCTTTTGTTTCTTCTTAAGGTTGGGGAAATCACTGGTGCCTTTGCTTCCTTTCGGATTGTTGAGCGCGCTGCGCTGGACAGACGTACTTTGAGACGGGCTGCTGAGGAGATGAAGCAGATTCAAAGGGCTGCTAAAGCTGCAAAGCTAGCGCAAGGTCTGACAGCTATCAGAAAACGAAAACGAAGGACCCAAGGCAAGCGGAAGACACGTCAGAGGCCGCTGGCCGCATCAGCTGCGCAAGACATCTCAGATGCAGAGTGGGCATCGGATTCTGATTCTCTCACAGAAGACGCAGAAGGGGCGGATGGAAGCCCGAGTATGCCTGCAGGGCTTGGGGAAGGCAGCGCATCTGCGCCTCCAGTTCCAGCCGTCAGGCGGCAGAAACAATCCCGAGCCATCCCATGGGGACCCTTCCAAATAGCTCCCATCATCCCTGCTTCCGGTCAGACAGGCAACATTGCGATCGGGGCAACACTTTGTCTTGCAAGAAGGCAGTGAGCCGTGGTAGCACTCTGACCGATGCTGTGTGCATCTTGCGCCTCAAGCGATGGCTCATTGCCGGATGCTCTGATGCTGACTGGCCGATCCACAGGCAGAGATCACACCACGTTGAGCTTGGCGGCAAAGGGCTGCAGGACTTTGCCGAGGGTATGTCGGAAGCGGAGATGGATGCACTGGTGGAGTCATGGCGTTGACTTGCATGTCTGGCCGCTGCGCCTGGAACCGAGGTTTGCCACTTGCTCGCACTTACTTAGACACAGTATTCATTGCATACACGCATTTATTTCCATGGTGCACATGTGCGCATACAGTCGCGCACAGAATACTTTCGAAATGTTGAAATAATTGTTGACATGTCTAAACAATGTTTCTAAAAGTAGTTTCCAATAAACTGAGAAAGTTTCACTAAAGATGTTTCGTAGAGAAAAAAGTTGTTTCGTAGAGAATTTTTTTCCCGCAATATTACTTTTAATTAGGAAGTAAAATGTATCCGTAGAGAAAAAAGTTGTTTCGTAGAGATTTTTTCTTGCAACTTTGAAACAACTTTCTTGATATATTTCAGTAACTTTGTTCATATTGTTTCCGACAAGTTTTTTCGTATTCCCCAAGCCCTGCCCCAGGAAAGCCGCTCTCACATCGACAGTTGTATGCATTTGACTCCTGCCTGAATAAAAGAACCTGCGCTGCAGCCTTTGCCTTTGACAGCCATGACTTGTTCTGTAACCAACCCAAGCTATATATTGAAAGTTTAACATCCTTTTGTTAGCACGCTTCCCATTGGTGACATTTGTTCTATTGACATGACCTTTTGCTAGGGCGCTGCCCTTTGCTGACAGTTTCTGTTGCTCAAGCGACCCAGCATACAGTGCCATGGCAGACGAGGATACTGTTTCAATTGCAGCTTCCAGCACAGCGCCAGCTTGCCGCCTGGCTTTGCTTCCTGTGTCCTTCACGCTGAGTAAACCGTGCTGCTGCTGCCTGTGCAATTCCACAAGCACAGACCCCTCTCCGCTGAACACACCAGAGGAACTGGATTCATATGGGGGGGCGCGGCCCTGCATGGGGGAAGTACCGCAAAGTACGAAACGCTGAGACAGATTCGTTCTTCAAAGTTCCGGAAGGCAAGGTTTGCTTGATTTGCATCGGCACCTTCAGATCTTTGGCTTTGGACTACAAGTACGCCTCCTACGCCGCCTACTACAAGTTCGTCAGGGAAAGCGCTCAAGAACACACTCAATTTCTTCAAGGCGTCAAAGAGTACATTAGGCAGAAGAATGAGACCCCCGGAGGCCGCGTGGACAAGGAAGCCATCAAAAAGGCAACAACAACCCTCCACTCTGAACACAAGACAGGAATCAAATTGAAAGGTCCTGCAAAAGAATTTGTGATGGTGGACCATTGGGACTCCAAGTTGGATGGTGAGTTTGACGAGTCAAAGGTCGTTGAAGAAACATGGCAAGGGAAAAAAGTGAAGGGGATTTGGAAGACCACAGGTCGGGCTGGCGTGTTGAAGGCAGCGCAGTACGAGGATAACAACATGACGGAACGCACTGAAGAGCATAGTGGCCAAGGCCCCTTTGCTGACCAAGCTCTTGAAACTAAGAAGAGTGCCTTACAGAAGGTGTTCACAGAAGCCGAGGATGAACGGCAGAAGAATGCTGTGGCCGCCGGCCCTGCGGGTGCAGGCGCTGATGCCATCATGCAGACTTTGCGAGGTCTTTTACCTCAATTGAAGGATCCTGCAGCAGAATCTGAGCCTGGGGCGCCGTCCTTAGCACCAGGAGCAGCTGTGGAAGAGGATGCGTCTGACATAGAAGAGGAGGAAGTAGGTCCGGCCGCGCGCCTGGCTGGAGCCTTTGGGGGACCCAAGGTGAAAGCAGCAGCAACAGCAAAAGCAAAGGCAAAGGGTTTGGCTGCCAAGCCCAGCGCCAAGGCAAAAGCACTGCCAGCGCCAGTCCAGCAGACATCAGTTAAGCCTCAGTCCAGCATCCCAGCCACAGTCGCATCCCCGCAGCCCGCGGTGGCAGCCAGTCCTCCAGCAAGTGCAAGTGGAGGAGAGACGTTGCAACTGGATGGCCGTGGAAAGCGGCTGAAAGAAAATTTGCGTGAGATTTTGCAAAAGTGCAGCAATCAGTTGGAAGAGCATTTGGCAGTCACGTTTTCTTTGTCTCAAGCAGATTGCAAGCAGGTATACGGCAAGAAAACGAAAGCCATGAGTTCCTTGTCCAACACTGTCACCAAGCAGATTAAAAAAATTGAAGACAGCGTGAACAAGGGCGGGTTGCTTCAGGAGCTTGAGGAGTTCCAACAAGTGCAAGACACGCTGCTGTCTCTCTTGGAATTGTACAACAGACTTAACACAGCCAATCCGGCATCCCAGGATTTGTCAGATGCTGTTGCAGCGTGTCAGGCTGCCCCTTTGAGTATTGAGCTTGGCCCCCAAGTGTGGCAGAAGTTACTGGACACAAAGTGTGCGCACTTGTGTTTGTACCAAGATTTCGTCGGCTATTCTCAACTCTTCCGATCCACCAATGAGGAGGCGCGGCAGGGTTGAGTGCGTATTCGATGTGTCTGTATGTAATGTATGTATATGTATGTATATATTTATTATATATTCTTATATTTTTTGAGTATATATGTATTCAAGTAGGTAGCTATATGAAAATGTTGCTTTTTAAATATGTAGATATAGATAGATAGATAGATAGATAGGTAGGTAGGTAGGTAGATAGATAGATAGATAGATAGGTAGATAGATAGATAGATAGGTAGGTAGGTAGATGTATATATAATACGCACATATATATATATATCAAAATGTACACCATTTCTCTGTAACTCTGGTCCGACATATAAATATAAATATATATATATATAGATATAGTCTAGTGTGTGTGTGTAGTATATCTTTATTTCCTGATTTGTGCATGACCTATATTGGCTTTGTATCTATGCGAAAATAACACACACATATAATATGTATATATATGTATATGATGCTTTGCAGTATCCGACTTGAAAATTTTAGCTGGGCAGTGCTTGAGTTTGCTATCCATGCTTGTGCAATTTCATTGGCATGGAGTTGGTTCGAATGCTCAGGTGCGGCTCCTGCAAGGCATGCTCGCCCCTGAGGAATTGGCCACGTATATTGACCTGGAGTTTGAGCAGAGACTCAACAATTTCCTCCGTAGCTTCCCTATCCAGGACGTGGCGAAGGCAGAAAGCGATTTCAGAAAGCAAGTTGCGTGCTTCTGCGAAGCTGTGCTTGAGGAGCAAAAGCACCCAGATTCTGAGCTTTCAGAAATCTCCGCTGGAGTTGCAGGGATGACGCTTGATTTGCTTTCTCTGGGCAATGTAGTTGCCCTTCAGCGTGGCGCCGCCGCCTTGGATCAATTCAACAAGGAAGCGTCCTCCAGCTCCGTTGTTGCTTTTTTCACGAAGCACAAGGTAGGGCAACTCCTTACCCAGGCTTCGGCTGAAGTAATGGTGGAGGGCGCCGCCCGAGTTTCTGTGGAGAAAGCTCTCCAGGAAGCCTCAGCAGCTTTGGCAGGCGTGAAAGAAAAATCAAAAGCAGGAGAAGAAGAGTTGTCTGGGATTGTCGCCGTGTTTTTGCAAAAAAAACAAAGCTGCTAGCAAAGAAATAGCAGATATGAGGAAGCAAGGCACGCACATGGCAAAAGCATCAACAAAGTGCGGAAATGATTTGGATCAGATGAGCAGAGAGTTCTGGGCTTGGTTGAGCAAAGCCTTGAGGAGTGAGTTGTCGAACACCGTGTCCGGAGTCTTGGAGCAAGCTGCGGCGCTCTTGGGGTGTGAGCAAGCTTCTGTGGAAGAGTTTTCCATCAAAGATATGGAGAATGTATTGAAATGTAGCGAGGTGGTCAATCATTCTATTTGGGATGGTCTGTCCGCTGAACTTGCGAAGGAGAAGAAGATCCTCAAACTCTTTGAGTTCTACAACAAGCTGGCTGAGCATGCCACAGACCTGATCAAGTTCGCCCTGTCGGTATCTCCCAGGACGCAGTCCCTGTTTCAAGGCGCTGCCTTGCCTCCAAAGCCTCCCCCAGAAGCACTGCGCAGGTTCAAAGACCTCCCAGACCAGTTGCAGGAATTCTGTGACGAGACAGAGACATCCAACGCCCGCGGTTGGCAAGAGCTGTTGCAGGCTGTGGACGCGGAGATGGAGGACCAAGAGTCGGCCGGCTTTAAAGCATTGAGCGTGCTCATTGATGATTTTCTAGCGGGCCGTCCCGAAGCTTCAAAGGCAAAGCTTGAAGAGGTCAAGCGCATGATCCCTCAGAAGTGCCCAGCACGGGAAACGCTAGATGCAGCTTTCCAGGCTCTGTTTCTTTAAAAAGGTGTTAGTTGATCGTTGTACGTAGGCAGAGGCCAAAGCTGTATCACTTGCGCATGTAGTATATTTTGCTTTGGGGATGCTTCAGCATTTCATAATTTCTTTTATTTCTATTATATCTTAACCACCACCGCGCACCCCGGCCGTATATATACTATATAATATATAATACTGTATATATATATATATATATTATATATATATAATATATCTTCTAACTATTATATACACATTCATGACATTTTTGGGCGTGTCATGGTGCCTTTCTTGTTTCCCTTGAGGTGCTAGCGCTGTGGCTCACTGATTTTGATGGGACAGAGCCAGTTGTCAAGCGTTTAGATGCTCTTTTATCTTTCTCTGACAAACTTCAGAAAGCGCCAGACTCTTTACAAGCTTCACTCGCAACCTGCTCCTTGACGCAGCATCAGCCTTGGGAAGGATGGCTGAAGAAGGAGTACTCGCGGTTGGTGCACGCTGTGGTGGCCCAGAGCACTTCTCGGAGCAAAGCCTTAGGTCAGAAACTCAACGAGATCATGCGTGGCTTCTCTATTTTGCCGGACTCCTCGAAAGAAGGCGCATTTCGGGCAGCCGTTGCAGAGCAGATGAATTCTTTGAGCTCGTCGTCGACGTTGTTGAAGAAACGCCATGAGGAGCTGACAAGTTTCCTTGAAGTTCTGCGCCAAGATGACGGCGAAGATCTTGCTGAAACAGTGCAGCAACTGGAATCCCGAATCGCAGAGGCGAAAGCGCTGGCCCAGTCTATTGTCACCACACTTTGTTTCTTTGCTGCCCTCACCCTGTTCCGCAGCTCCAACATTGGAGGAAAATCTGAGCAATCGAAGAAGGGAGCCACTGACTTGAACTGCTTGCTGTCAACCTTCTTTGCAGAGCTGGAGCGCACGAATCCTTGCAAGTGGTTGGACGTGATCTCCATGGAGAAAATTTTGCTTCAAATGGGCGAGCTGGCCTCTTCTCAGCAGCCATTCTTTTTTACTTTCTACTTTTTATGGGGTGTCTTGATCTAACGAGGCCCTGTTTAAATGCTTTTGGTTTGCTTTTGACACTAGCTCATTCACATCTGAGGTCAAGAACGTCTTCAACCAGATGAAATCCAATCCTGCTGCAGTAGATGTAGCGGCCCGCTGGGCTGAGGCTTCGGAAAAGCGAAGCAAGATGCCTTTACTGACAGACGTGTTGCAATTCAAAGAGGACAAATCCTCCGAAGAGTGCCCACCTCCCAAGACTGTGCCCAACAAACGTGGCTCAGAAGCACAAAGCTCTGCAGGCCCAGCTGCAGAGAAACGTGCCAAGGACCCACGCAGCCACACGCCTAGTCCTGCGGAGAAAGAGGCGAAGGTGCCAGAGAAAGAGCTCAGCGCCGAGAACGAAGGCGTTCAGGCGGAGCGTCCTCAGACAGGCGAATCTGCAGTATCTCAAAATGCCCCCGGTGCTGGCACGAAGAAGAGGAAGCCTGATGACTTTCCGCAAGCGACATTGAAAGAAATGCCAGCAGCAACCTGGACATCCCGGCCAAAACACACAGCTCCTTCAAAAGAAGCGCCCCCCCAGCCTGCTTCAAAAAAAGGGAGCGAAGCCCCCACTGCCGCTGCAGAGGCGGCTTTGTTGGAAACAGCGCTTCCGGAGCAGGCCGCGGGCCGGGTCAATCCATCAAAGAACGGCAAATTTACCGCGGAAGAAGAGAAAAGCTGGAATGAATTCAAAGCTCGAATGGGGGCGGATTGGCAAAAACGTTTTGCTTCCCAAGCTCTCAAGAGATTGCAAAGGGCTGGCAAGAAGGAGAAAAAGGAGAAAAAGGACAAGAAGGAGAAAAAAAACACAAGCACAAGGATAAGAAGGACAACAAAGAACAGAAAGATAAGAAGCTTGACAAAAAAGAAAAGAAATCCAAGCAAGATGAGCAAGGTAACAACGCAACCACTTCCAATGCCGCTGCAAAGAGAAAGGGGCGGGCCCTAGAAGACGACGATTCGAACAAGGGAGGCAGGAGGAAGAAGAGCAAGATTGAAGAAGGTCCGCAGGCTGCGCTTGGGAAAAAGGAGGAGCCCAAGCCTAAGTCCGCAGCTGCCAAGGTGAAAGCAGCTGCAGCGAAGAAAGCTGCTGCAAAGCCTCAGGGCAAAGGCAAGGGTAAGGCCAAGGCTGCGCCAGTTCCAAAGGCATCTGCCATTGGACTTGCTGAAAGCTTGAAATAGGCCGCCGGCCCGATCCAGCAGGGATATCTGTCAGCTTGGCTTGTGAATAGTATGTGTATGGCTTGAGCTGTGTAGACTGTTCAGCCGTTCGGAGCGACAGATTTTGCATCCACATTGCCGCGAGGATTCCAAGAAGTCTGACTCATTGCAGCGTGCTGTTTTCTTGTTCCAGAATGAAATGAGGTTTTGGTTACCGGACAGATGTGCCTGCATTGTTTTCAACCCAGTTTTCTTTGTGACTGCTGTTGCTATCCGTTTCTTCGCTGTCGCAGCCAAATGTGCCAGCACTAGCCTTGAATTTGCTTTGGCCACCGCATGTCTTTGATCCGCTGCTGCCAGTTCCAGTGTCTCAAGCAAACGGTGTCCGGTCATGGCGCGCCCTTGTGACGGCCGCATCTTGAGGGCGAGGCCAAGCCTTGATGGTGACGCCGTGAAAGAATGTGAAACAGAGTCTGCTGCCCGCAAGGTCGCTGGCCAGGAGTTGTTGACCGGCTCCTGGCTTTACAACATGTCCAGGGAGAATTTGAGATTGTGCCAGAAGATGGCACCAAAGAGACCTGCTTGGGGAGCTGCAACATTGACATGGGGATCCATGTGTTCAGGATCAGAGGGCCCAGCTTGGGTAGTGGCTGCGCTGAACCAGCTGTTCGAGGAGGAGGGGTCAAGCTTCAAACTTGATCACGTTTTCTCCTGCGAGTTCTCGCCTGAAAAAAGAAAATGGATCCACGCTTCTTCTGTGCTCGCAGAGCCGGCTTGTGCAAAATTAGCTGCGATCGTGGAGAGCCGACGCGTGCCCGACTTGGATCTAGAATCTCTTTGCAAAGCCCCCGACGCTCCTTGTGTTTTCTTCGACATTTTGGAGATGGGCGCTGCCCAGGCTGATTGCTGGGAGCACGGGCCTAGCAAGTGCAGCGTGCCAGGCGTAGATCTTCTCATAGTTGGCACAAGCTGCAAAGATATGTCCCGCCAGAATGCAACCAGCGCGAGACAAGAGCTGGTGCTGCAGGCTGAAAAATCCAAAGGCGGCAGCGCGCAAACCTTTCAAGGCCTCATGAGGTATGTGGAGCGTCACAGGCCGCTTATGATCTTGTTTGAGAATGTGGATGCAATGGACGACGTGAGCCTTGGCATTGCCCACGTTTATTTTTTTAACCACCAAGAATATTCCTCGTAGTCTCAAACCTACACAGACATTTACAACTTAGGCGTCATTGATCCCAAACATTTTTTTGCCTCAGCTACTCATTGAGCAATGAAATATTATAGTCTATCCCGATGTCAGATCCTGCGCAGCAGTGGTTTGAGGCTTGAGGCTATATAAATATAGTCATATAGTCTAAAATAAGTTTCCTGTTTTACATTTGGATCGGCTGATGCCGTGCGAAAAGTTATTGTTTTCCGTCGCATGTAGAGGAAAAGCGGCGGTCAGTCCAACATGGATGTGTTCCTCAGCCAAATGGCAGCCCATGGGTACGAAGGCCAGCCTGTCCTCACAGACAGCTGCGAGTTTGGCTTGCCTGCACGCCGCCGGCGCTTGTACGTCTTTTTGGTGCGGGTGGAAGCAAATCCCTTGCTGTCCTTCCAGGATAGAAGCGTGGATTCCATCTTCTCCACATTTGGCGGCCTTTTGTCTGGATGTGTGAGGCAAGGGCCTTGTGCTTCCGAAGTTCTTTTGGCTGACGATGACCCTGCGGTGCTCGCTGACTTGGCCCATCGGGTGCAGCGACGCGAAGAGCTCAGTCAACATGAAAAGCCTTCGAGCACAGAGTGGGCTGTTCACCACATGAAGATGGCAGAATCTTTGCGGGTGAAGTGGGGCCACGGGGCGCAACGTCTCCAACAACGCATGGTACAAGACTTTGACTGACAGAGAGCAGGACGCGCTTCCGCTCCTACAAGTCCAATCCCCTGGTAGCCTCATGCGGGACTTGTCCCAAAGCATTAACCGCGCCAATGCTTTTACTTGGAGGGCAGAAGGAGGAAAGCACATCGCGCCCACCATGCTTCCAAAGATGAATTTGTGGCTTGAACCTGTTCCACCTCGGAACACAGCTCGGCTGATGTTAGGCCGCGAAGCCTTGCTATTCCAAGGATTTCCTGCGCTGCTGTTTTTGGAACGCTTGGATACTTTTCAAGCTGAAGCGAAGGCCGCGGGCCTGGTTGCCCAAGCTGCGCAGCAGTCAAATACCAAGCCGCTTGTGAAAAGGGCCAAGCATCCTCACCAAGTCAATGAGAGGAATGACTTCAGGAAGCAAGACCTCTTGCTCACTTGGCGACCCACAGAGACATTGATGCAGGACTTAGCTGGCAACGCTATGTCATTGCCGGTGGTCATGACAATGTTGCAATACGCATTTGTCGCCGTGAACTGGCAATCCGCTGGCGAAGTGAGGCGAGCTGCTGATGCACCTGTGACGACGCAGCAGGACTGACATGCAATGTCAACAACAATTTAGGGGCAACATATATAGTTCTGTTTTGCCACAAGTCAAGCCCTTCCCACACCTGAGCTTCCTTGTCATCCGTGCCCTGGAGCTGCTTCCCCTGGCCCCCTGACAGGATGTTGCTTCTGCAATGGCAGCCCTCCGGGCAGTTGGGCTGTGTGAGGCCGCTGGCCTAGAGCCAAGCACTCCAAGCACTCTTGAGGTTTCGGAGCAACAGGAGCCCCTTACGAGAGGAGTCGCCAACTTGAAGCGTAAGCTTCAAGAGAGGAAGTCGCAGTGAGTTTTGTGTGGCTGGCTGAAAAAATGCGTCGCTGGCAGCCCGGGGCGGGGGGAAAGGGCAGAACAGGGTTGAGTGATATGATATGATATGATGTGATTATATGATATATGATAGGTATACATATGATACGTATGTATATATATATATATATATATATATATATATGATAGGTATATATGATAGGTATCTGATAGGTTTTGTTCCTCCACATGGTTTCGGGATTCCTGAGGTTTATGGGTAGGAGCCTGACATGTTTAGGGGCCTGAGATGTTTCTTGACCTCAGTTGGGTAGGAGCCTGTCATGGAGCTTAGTAGAAATATCATAGCAAACATTTTCGCACATATAAAGTTGACACCCTTTAAAGAATCAGCATTGTTCTGACTTATTAAAAAAACAGAAGGAAAAAACATATCCTGAACTAAAAACAACCAAAAACACAACTTTTTTGAAACCTAAAAAACTTCAAAAAGAAGTTTCAAAAAGTAGTTGTTTACAAAAAAAGAAACTTTTATTGATCAAAAACTTGTTTTTACAACTTCTTTTTGAAAGTTTCTACGAATTATAGAAAGAAGTTGCATTTTTCAAAAAGAAGTTAGAAAGTTACAAAAGAAGTTGCAAAAAGAAGTTTCTAATTTTAGGTACCGTCAAAGCTCCATTTCAGGCTCCTACCCACAGGCCTTCTAAAAACACCCAAACTATTAGGATGCCATACGCAGCTAGATCTTTATGTCGTTGTTTTTGGGGTTGGATTTACCACTTTGGCTATCCATGAGGCTGAATAGATTATAACAATCTCACTGCGCTGTCCAGGGAAACAAATCTTGGTTTGTGATTTGAGACTGTCGAAGAATAAGTATCATCTAAGCATATCACCGAGGTACCAATGGGTACTATATATCGCACACATCATCTTTTTTGGAATCTATACTAACAAACAATTTTGGATGGATTTTGGAGTTATCCAACGCAGGGCTATGTAGGGCCAATCATTATATCACCGCTCCGGGGATGTTTTTCGGGATTATTCCAATCAAATCCACACTGGGAACAGTGACCTCGAGCGATGGCATTGCTCAACTGGTGAAGCTCGTTTGGAGGTTTCCGAAGTCATGGGGGTACCCTCAAATCATGCATTTTCACAGGATTTTCCATTGGGGTACCCCCATGACTTAGGAAAGCCCTCTTTATTGACCTCTTGGCAGATGAATCGTGCAGCCTGGGAAGTCTCTATATTCAAGAGTTGCCTATGTTTTGGTGCCTGAGCTAGAAGAATTGAACCATTAAACATGCCGATGTTCCATAGTGATGTTATGTGATGTTAGTTTACTGAGTGGTATATCATCATGCTTGGAATATATGTAAGTTTGCACATGAAAGACTTCAGCTCGAACCCATCCAGAGCTATGTCCTTTTAGCATCAGTGAATATTAGTGAGAGACATGTTGGGAACCAGAATATACTCAGCTGTAGCATATATATATATAATATATATTATATTATATTATATTATATAACATATACATACCCATTTTATGACATTTTTTTAATAGCAATCCAAATTCCAATGGGTCGTTTCATCATGATTTCCCAGATTAATAGAAATAATCCTTTCCGCCTAGTATTGAAGACCCACCATCAAGCATGATCTAATAGGGGATTAAGCCACGTTTGCGACCATACAAAGGGGATAAGCCAATTAGGCGAACTAAATCCATCTAAATCTCATTATATAAACTCAAATAAATACAGATAACCTCATTAAATCCCATTAAATGAACCCATGTCATCTTGGTGATTTCTTTCTTTTCTGCCGTCATTTGCTGTTTCTCAGGTGGCCCTTCTGCGATCGGTGCTGCAGAGTGCTGCCTGGGGGCACTGATCATGGGATGAAGTTATGGATTATACTGTAATGGTATCATAATGAGCTTATTGCTTAATAAAGGTAATTATATGGAATCCATGGTAATATGATTATTACATTATATTTTAATTGGTATTATTTTATTGGATCACAATGACCACTCATGATTAATATAATTAATATATAGGTACCCTCTGGTAAACTAACATAGCTATGGAAAATCACCATTTTGAATAGGGAAATCAACTACAAATAGCAATTTTCAATAGCTATGTTAAATTACCAGAGGGTATATGGAATCCATCGTTAATATCCTCTCCAACGATGCCATCTTTGAGAGGAGAACATAACAATGGATAATATACCACTATTATATAACTATTTCTGTAATGATTAATCATTAGGTCATTATTAACCATGGGGGATTCTTCAGACGAACCAGTCAAACGATGGAGATTTACCAACAGATTTATCAATCAATGGGGTCCCACAGAGAAAGCCAGCCTGATTTTTTAAAGGTGCAAGTGACCGGCCGAGTTTCTCCCAACAAAAGGGCGCGTTTTTTTTCTCAAACTGTAGTCACTTTTCAGATTTTTTTGTTTTCCAGTCGAATGGAAAGGATGCTCCAACCCTTTATATAATCCTTTGTTTAACAATGTTATCCTTGGATATCCTTGGTAAATTTATATCCTTGGTAGTGATCATTCATTTTCCAGTTCTTCAATCATTTTTTTAAACATATATACCATGAGCTAATGAAGAAACAATTAAAATTGTATACCATTGCTAAGTATAATTACCATTAATTATCAGCATATATATATATATATATGTATATATACACCATATATCATGGTGGTATACCATAACTAATATATATACCATTGATGATCATCAGCATACCCTTTGCTAAGCTCGCTCCATGTCCGTCTCTAGGCCGGTGACTCCACGATTCTCCAGGCGGGAGGTCGAGTCGCTTGGAGTTGTAACAATTATCCGAGGACGCAAGGGTATGAAATAGAAGAGGTATGAAACTGGTTGAGCTATGGTGATATATATATATATATACGTACGCGCGTGTATATGATGTATATGAATATGTATGCATACTCCAACAGACACCCCTTTTGTGATGCTCCATCCTGACGAACGTCCCATTGAAGTTGCAATGTTTTGCAACAAATCCCGTAGGGAGGACAACAATCCTGCCTGATTGGCACCAATGTCAGGTGCAAGATGCTTGTTTTGATCCAATGTGAGGTTTAAGGAATCAGGGCGCAACACTTTATCGGGGTATCCCATTGCCATGTTTGACGGGTAGATGGGTCAGAATCCCCATACTTGATGGTCAAATTCTTAAATCCCATTACCCGGCCTGGTAAACGTTTACATCTAACATAACTATGGAAAGATCCACCATTTTGAATAGGGAAATCAACTATAAATAACAATTTTCAATAGCTATGTTAAATTACCAGAGGGTAGATAAAATTCCATTAAATCCTTAAATCTCCATGGTTTCTCATGGTTTCCCCAGACCGCTTCTTGAGGACACCACAGGCTTCGTTCGGCTTTACGTCAGGGCTTCTCAGATTGGGTGCTGAGCCAGTGACAATGCCAGGGCGAGCCAGTTGCCATGGGGAGTTTAAACAACGGATTGATTTAATTAATGGACTCCTACATTCTACATCATTCTACATGAAACATCATGAAACATGTGTTTTTCCTCTGTGAATCTGAGTTGTTTCCCTTCAATGGAACACTGATTCTTGATTTTGTGCCCACTTTTTCTGGCCAACTTGTTGTGGGTGGCAGTCTAGACAGATCAGTTGTGTATTAGCAGAATCCCATGTCGTAATTCTCATAATTCTACTAGATATAGATGGATAGATGGATAGACAGACAGATCAAATAGCCAACAACAACTATAGATCAACTTCAGCAAATCCATTTTCCAAAAATATATCCCCTTCCTTTGGCACCTGAGTCACCTAGTGCCCGTGGACGAACAAGGCATCGCACTACCTTTGCATCTCGTGTTTGGCCGCGCTGGCGCAACTCAAGAGGCAGCTGCCCAAGATCCTGCTGGAGGCACCGTGTCGACACACACACACACAAAAAGGGGACGTTGGGGGGAAAAAGTTGAGAACGTAAATGCCAATACTATATAAATATATTGGGTGTATTCAATGAGATCAATAATGGGTGTATTCAATGAGATGTATAACATTGTATAACTTGATATAATCAGGAATGAAAAGACTAAAAAAAAAAGAAAAAAAAGACTTAGTGACAATCCCAAAAAAAGATATTTTTAATGGCCCATAGGCATTTTGAGGGTACTTGCAGGGGGTAGTGGTTCTAGTTGCTGAAGCAGTGTAGTTGCGGCTTTCAGCAAGTGGAGCCACCACTATCCCAAGAAATGGGATTCATGGAATGCTATTGGTATATGATGCCATTTATCATGGGATTTAGATGTGATTTGTTTGGGATTTTGATATATTGCTCCCTTCTTGTGGGCATTTTTTCTGGCACCTTGAGGCCAGGGCTGTTCCTGGTCTCCTGAAGTTGATTTGAACAACTGGGTGCCACACAATGTAGCCATAGGAATTGTGGAATATCTCCGTTCAAAAGTCATTTAACTATGTCAAATTTAGTTTCTCATAGTGACATGGGAGTACTTAAGACCTGAAACTGGATGGTTAAGTCTCAAAACGAAGACAAACTGAAGTCCCCTGCGGTTCTTCGTGGTTGGGCCTTCAATTTCTCACCAGGTGGGTTGCGATGACGCCCGGAACCTCTGGACATCGACGGGATATGCCATTTTTTAATGCCAATATCCTCCAAAATCCTCCGATCTCTGGCAAGTTTCACAGGGAAACTGTCAGAAAATGTTTAGAAATTTATGATTCACTCAAAGCATAGATGGAAACTGCCTAGATGGAAACCTAAGTCCTCTATGGAAAGTATGTAAGAAAATGTTGGGAACTTAGGTTTTTGCCCTTTCTATGGGTCCAAGGGTGGGGGAGCCTCAGGCTTGGAGTAGCTGGCACCTCAGAACCACTTCGAGCCGGTGCACCGGCGGCCACCAAACATGTTCAAAAAATCACCGTGAATTGACGAATAGTGTAGATCCATGTCGAATAAATTTAACATATGCATACATATGCATGTTTTTCATCATATATACATATATATATGTATATATATATATGTATATATATATGTATATATATATAGTTTTATTTATATAGTATATACTCATATAAGTGTATATATATATATATATGTATAAATACTTATCCAAACATGTCATTTATTCATGTTCAGATTTGTGAATCAAACATGATATGCCCTCAGAGTGACCTTGAATTAAAATCCGAGTGTCCAAAACCATCCTTGGGAACCCGAATATTTTTAGATTTTGTGGATTCAACCCGAAGATTGGAAGAATCCTTGTTGGGACCCATTTTCTCCGCCGTCCAGGTTGGAGGCACCGAGAAGCAGAAGCGAAGCACGTCCCGGCCTGTGGAAGGGTGCAGCAGAGAGAGATTGGAAGAATGGGAAGACTTGTAAAATCATCTCCCAGGATATAATGATATATTGCAAAGAAATGGAATAAATGGAAGTTTAGGAAGAAAGTGGGAGGTAAGTTTTACATGTTTCGTTGAAGAAGTTGGGGAATTCTTTGAGCAATCTATGTGGATTTTGAGGCCATTTACCATCATTTCACATATTTTCCATGTTTTGAGGTGTCATTATTGAGGGGTTCGTTTCCCTTGAATATGTTTTCCCCGTTTTATACTATAACATATCATGCCATACTTTACCATACTATACCATATTTTACACGTTTTTTTCGAACTCGCTGATCTGTTGACCAGTGTTCCTAGAGGTAGCTCGGCGTTCCGGCCCTTCAGTGCCATGTGCATAAGTCCTGCCAAGCTTCCCCTAAGGGTTGGGCCAAGGGCCAACTTGTCATCATCCCATTGTCGTGTTCAACGTCACAGAAGGAATTTGTATGCCACCGTGCATGCAGCAGCAAAGGACCAACGACTTGGGCTGCAGTTGGGCTCCAGAGGGGTCCATACACACATGAGAGCCAATGGAAAAAGGTGTTGCTCAGAAGTGGCAAGGGTTGCAAATGGATAACACACCCGGGTGCAGCATTCCAAAACCAGCTCTGGCCATCAAACTTTGTTCCAATACGGTGATGGTGTGAAAAAACAAGGCGAGACCTGCAGGATATATTGACCAACTCTTGGGCCAACATGACCAACTTAGATTCATGCCATTCATACATTGAAACTCTGAAGCCGCTGAGCACACATCACCGAAAAGCAAAGAACACATATTCCCAAGCAATGGCGCCATTCAGCAAGAATTGGTCGAATCGGACATCCTGAAATTTCCTTTCGGCAACCAACCTCTGTATTTGGTCATGGCTGCCAGCAGATGGCAGGGGAGCCGAGGGGCGGCTTTGAGATCTCATGGCACAGATGGGTGTCACAGAATGGCTGATAGCCCCAAACAGACAGAAACGTGAAATCCTACAAAATAGAGATTTAATCTACTAATTTCTATCTTTTGATGAAAGCCTACAACTTCCCCTTTGAGAAGCTTCCAGCTCATGAAGCAGGGCAGGAGAGGATGGATGACTATTGTAGACTGTGATGTATACTAAGGTTGGTAAACCCAATGTAAACCTTTCCAAAAATCACCATCCTGTAACCTGTAAATGATTGGCGTAAACAAACCATTAACATATGGGTTGTTTTATTATTTGATTGACTCACATACCATTCAGGTTGGGGTTGTTTGAAACTCGGGTACCCCTTCATCCAATGGCATCCATGATTGGTTCAATGATATTCCCAATTTCTACATAGCCATGGGCGATGATTTTTGAACGTCTCTGGATGGTTCGGATCAGGGTTTTTTCATCTTCGAATGGCCCTCCATGGTTTTCAGCTAGTTTTAGGTTAGTGAACTACTATGGTTCAATGAGAAATAATCAAAGGTATATCAAAGGTGTCATGAACAAGGTAGCCTTCTTCCCAGTGATTCATGAGAGTTTTCCGAGCTTTGGGACATCCAGATTCCCCATAGAAAATGGGGTGTCAGTTTGTTTTTTTTTCCAACCGCATGATAGATATGGTCCCAGCCATATCTGGTTTCATCCTTCCAATCCCCTACACCCGCCATGGTGACTCTTGGGGGTGAGAGAAGGCATTGGTTGGTTAGTTATAAATCATTATTTCCTCATCGGTATACCCTCAAAACACAGTCGTTCACGGTTATATAAGCCCCATTAAATCATCATGTTTGATAGTTAAACCTCATTAAATCATCATGTTTGATAGTTAAATCCCAATATATATATATATATCACTATTATGTTTGAGTTAAACCCCCAATAACTCACCATGTTCCTATCACCATGGCCATACACTCCGCATCCGTTGAAGGGCCAAAAACTCAGGTTGGCCGCATGGACTTTGGTGACGCTTGGGGTCACCAGCAAGGCATCATATGGAGGTTTCCCAATAGCTGGATGGGAATTTCAGGATCCTAAAATGGAGGTACTGTACCATATAAGGCCATATTTTGTTGGGCTATTCCCTTACATAGGCCTTATATAGGCCTTGTATATGGTAGGTACCTCCAATTTAGGATCCTGAAATTCCCATTGACAATAGCTGGATGGTTTATAAATGTTTATAATGAACAGTCCTATTAAAATGGATGAGAACTGGGGGTAGCCCGATTTTAGGGAACCACCATATAGAAGACACCATCAATGGATGATAGATGTAATATGATGTAATGGATTGCACACGCGATCCTTATGGGATGTTAATAGGAAATATATAATATATATTTATATATACACACACGTGCACACACACATATATATATATATGTATATATATATATATATGAGATGGAGGTGTCCTTATCCGATACCTAATGGTTAAAAATGATGGTTCATGATGATTAATGGTCAATGATGATTGATCAGGAGGTTTCCTATGATTTCGGGGTGTCCCAAATCATCCAAGTCATGGATGAGCATGATTTAGTATTGAAAGCCATGGTGACTTGGGGATCCATCATTTTAAGACAGCCCCAAATACGTGTTATTAATGGGATTTAATGGGAACATATTGTAGGAAATTAGCTGGTAACAATGGATTCCACATCTTGTATTGTTTGAGATTATAATGTTAGAAACCCAATGTCATAAACCTACCATAGATGGGATGATAGTTTACAACATGTGTGATGTATATGTTTTGGGATTTATTGGCTTTACCACATTAGCTGAGATGAGTAGGAAGTAAAGATTTGAATCCTGTTTTTTTCAGTTTATGATTTAATGGTTTATGCATTAAGTTGATACCCAAATGGTTCCCCCCAACTAACCAGTCTATAGCGCCGGGGTTGACATCAGCTGCAAATGGGGAAACATGATGCTTGGCTGAGAAATCAGGATTTTTGAGGCTCAGTATTTAGAAGACTGGCCAGGTCCAAGCTTCTGGGAAAATAACAATCCCAAAAACATCATATTGATGGGAATTTCAGGATCCTAAAATGGAGGTACTGTACCATACATAAGGCTATATTTTGTGGGGTATTCCCTTACACAGGCCTTACATAGGCCTTATATGGTAGGTACCTCCAATTTAGGATCCTGGAATGGCCATTGATCATATCATCGTTTCTGAGAGTTTTGTAGTGACTTAGAACCGGTCATGTTGATCGTCAACAAATGAGAGTTTTGTAGTGACTTAGAACCGGTCATGTTGATCGTCAACAAATCGTTTTTTCTGGTTGTCATGGTGGTTGGAGGGGCAAACAGTGATAGCTTTTAGGTGATACAGGGGGAATACGATTGTCCACCACACGTGATACTCACCTGACACTCATAGGTGAACCCTTCCAGCTCAAGTCCATGGTTTCTGTCCAATCATTTCTCCTTCAAGAGGTTTATCATTCTCCCCCTAGATGGTTTATAGTGGTTTATAGTGGTTTATGGCATTGGGTTTATCACAGTAGAATTTTCTCATCATCTTCAGTGACATGTCCTGTTTTCGGCAGGTTCCGGATGGACGGCCCAAGGCCATCGATGTCCGGGTGCCCTTTGTGCCCCCACGGCATGACGGCTTGGTGAATTCCCCGTTGCCCCGTGGCGGAGCCATGCCATTGAGGTGACCAAGCCGGTCTTGCGAGAGCCAAGGGTCAGGGGCGTCAGATTGGTGAAAGATCTGAAAGGGTGGGAAGTTACATGGGGTTCTTCAGGGCTCCTGGATGCAGGGGGTACAAATATCTATATTACATAATATGATTATAAATACTTTATAACAACGTATCAATGGGGGCCTTGCTGACGTGGCTTTGCGACCACATCCTGTCTTGAGCTTGGCTTCACAATAATCCTGACGTAGTATGGTGCAGCATGTGCTTTCAATGAGTACTGGTATATACCCAATGCTTTCCTACCCAGCCTCACACAATTTCCCAATCTACAAGGCCCTGTTTGACGATTTTTCATATGTTTTCCCACTTGGACTGCTACTGACAGACTTGGGTTTCAGTGGCCTATCAGCCATTGAAGCCTTGAAGGTCCAAGACTATTGGCATTTCCTTCGCAACTACCAGGAGGTGCCACGGTCCAATAGCAGGGGTGTCAGGCGTCAGATGTTCAGCGATGTTCAGTGCATTTTCTGCATGTTCAGTGGAGGGAGGGGGAATGCAAAATTCAGAACCCAACTGATACAAAACACACTTTATTATATATGTATATGCAATATATGTCTTTAAAACAAAAAACAAACTATAAATTAAAAAGTGTTTTTCTATCTATATATATATGTGTGTGTGTGTGTCTATATCTAAATATGCCAAAGGTTGGTTTCCATACAACCAATTAGTGGATCCGCACTTGAACAACTGAACAACTGAACAACTGCAGAGATGTCTCATAGACACTGCAGCTGCAGTGCCAGATTTTGGACTTCTGGATGTCCCCATGGAATGCCAGTCAGTACCTTCGATATGCTCTCCGATTCGGGAACCTTAGATATACTATCACAGCAAGTTTCTATGTTTTGTGTGACTTATCATTGTCATACATGATGGAGTTTCACAATTCCAAGCAAAGTTGGCGGATTTCATGATGCCACTGGACATTCTCCCCAAAAATTCACATGAATCCAGAGGAATTTTCTATCGTTTGCCCTAACAAAATCCCATAATATCATTACTTATATGGGTATACGGTATAGGTGAATATCGGGTACAGCGGAACGTTAGTTAGATAAGAAGCGATTAAGAATTTTCCAGCCTACCCTGGAATTCTTAAGTGCTATAGGTGGAAAATATGGGAATTATGAACGAGGGTACCCTCAAGTTCTTAATGGGTTAGTTCTTAATGGGCTCACATCGTGAGGGTTTTGCCACTTCATTTTGGCGTGGTATTAGGTTGCAAAGGAGGTGGGGGGGAGAAAAAAACTTTTTAGGTCTCGAACAGTTTTTTCAGGTGCAGGCATTCCAAACAGAGCTATAGGCCAGATGTTCCACCATGCCTGGGCTTGGGCAGCATCTGAAGCCAGATGACCTCTAGTGAGTCCGGCTGGTGGTGAGCTCAAGCTGTTGCGTTCGAACTATATAGGTAGCCGTATTGGGGTTTGAGTCCGCTTGCTTCTTGCTTTCATATATCAATAATCAGCGTTTGGTATATTGATACCCGTTCAAGGGGAATAAGTATTCGGAATAAGAACCAGTGGCTAGAATTCTAGGGTACCCTAGGTCTCTTATTTCAATGAGCTGACAGTGTCAGGGTTGAATCCAGCAATCCAGGCCCTGAAGTTCTTGTTGCAGTAGGTTCTTAAACAGTGGTTTCAATAACCCCTAATTCGATTATATTTAATGGTTCATTTGGTTGATGGTTTGGGACATTTTTTTTCCATAATCTATGGGATAAGCCTTCCCATTGACGAACTCATATTTTTCAAGATGGTTAAAACATGTTAAAACCACCAAGCACTTCCCAACTGACGAACTCATAGGTATACCACCAACCAGATATTGATTAATAGTGGTTAATAGATCTATATCAATTAATTGATTGATAGATCCATTAATATATCCATTAATATCCATTAGTGGTGGCTAATATATCCAAAAAAACAGTGGCTAAACATAAATCCTAAATTCTCTGGTCCTTTGTCGGGCTTGCCTTGACCCATCCGCGGCAGGTGCCGCTCAAAGACTTCGATCAGCAAACCGCGCCCCAGGCAAGGGAGAAGCCCTGCCATTGGGAGTCCTGTTAGTAGTCCAAAGTGATTTAGATAGATAGATAGATAGATAGATAGATACATACACACATACATACATACATACATACATACATACATACATACATACATACATGCATACAGACATATATATATATAAAGAAGGAAATCGACTGGAAATTGATGATCTCAACCATTGGAATTGATGATGTGCCATCGTATTCGGGGCAAACCCAAAACAAGTCCAAGCGTGGTAGTTCAGCGCAATAGTAGTTATCATGCCGCATCTAACCAGTTTTATCATTTGGGCGGTGTCCAAAGCCGATCACCATCCAAATTTGATGTCTCCACCCTACTGAGCGGCAGGTCTTGAGAGTTTCCAAGTTGGACGTCAGCCGGCTCAGGGTTTCATTTAATGCAGATACTGTGACCGGCAAAACCCAGGCTTTCATTTCAAAAGACAGGCGGTGGACCCTATGACATCATTGGATTAATTAATTGTATGTATATATATATATATATATAACCAGCATATTATTAGCTAGTTGGATAGCTATACTTGGAGGTTTGTTTTATCAGGTGCTCATCAGTTGGCAAGGAACGTGTCTTCTTCCTTGTAACTACTGCTGTTGGTTTGGATCGCATCTTCATCAGGTGTGGAGCTGCCAGAAGTCTTCCGTTGGCATATCGTCTAATTTAGCCATCCTGAAGGAAGATGGAACAGAAACATCCACTGCTAAATGTTATGATAAGTTCAAACTAATTGCATGTTCATTCGATCTACTGTAATTTTGGGCGCTTTAGCATGCAATTCTTTATCCGGACATATCCGCTGAAAATAGTTCCATACAGAATTCTATAACACGTGGCATTGGTTAATCCCCGATTTGTTGTTTTTTTTCCATTAACCCCCATCGAAACTAATATGTTCAATTGCCACGTTTGATGACCAGAGGGTATGTGCATAAAATAATTGTTAAGATTTATCTTCATTGTCAAACCATCATTAAGCCATTATTAACCATCATAATCCAACTATACTAGTGGTTATCATTGGGCTTATTATCATTGATTAGCTATTATTATCATTCATTAACCATTATTGTCATTGTTTAACCACAATAATCAATCACTATCATCAACCATTATTAACAACTACTACTCGTACCACCATTTTTGGAATTTTCCATGATGACCACTGTGACGTTTTTGGGAACCCCGCTCGGACGACGGATGACCGACTGCCGAGGACGAGACCTTTCAACAACTCGTCAGGGACGGTCGCTCATCGCAACAGCCAGGTCGATAAGATATGAATGGGTTCTTTCACTATGGTTGGTATTGCAAGATTGTGCAAGATTATGGTGTCATAAGCGATAAACACGATCTATATTGATAATGCCATGCAATGTTATGCTCAATACTATTTTCGATTGTTGATACTAGTATGGTTTGTCGTTTGCATTTTTGAAAATGGAGTAGAATTACAATATATAATATAAATCTATACATAATATAGGGCAGTTGTTGAGTGATTAAGTATACCCCAAGAAACGGGGTGAATGGGATGGTTCATGGCATTTTTTGTTTACATACCACATTCTACAACAATCATAACCGTTACAGTAATATAGTAATAACCACGAACAATCATTCACAGTAACAACCATGTTACCAGAAATCAGTGCTAAGTACTGTGGATGGTTGCGAAATCCTGCACCAGTTGGTCGATGGTACATCTCACCACATCCCATGAATCATAGTTAACTCGTAGCTTCCAACTGGTGCAGGATGTCGCAACCATCCACAGTATCATCCCCAAATGGTAGTTGTTTATGGCATTGAGTTTACCACAAGCCAGGTCCCTGCGGCTGAGGCGTGCCCTTTGTGGTGGATGATTGCACTGAAGGCTTTCGCGATGGCGCCATCAGTGACTTCGAATGCTGGGGGCCCAGGGAATAGATACGCCAGGATGTGCCCTACGCATTGGATCCGTGGTTTATAATCCATTTATATGCCATATAATCCCATAAGTGGGGATATTCCGTGTATGTATATATATATATATATATGTATCTGGTGGTGTAGCCCATTTACTAATTGGGATGCACGCCCAAGTACTGTATACCAGTTGACATGTGATGGTAGTTATATGGCATTAAAGGATTAAATGGGGGGCTATAGCTATGTTGTTACATAGGTTGCAAAATTGCCCTTTGCATTGAATTGGTTTCGACACTTTACGTTAATTTATTTACAGGTTTCAGTGCATGAAACTTGTGTGCCCTACATGAAGAAGACCAATAGAAAGACATCCGCAACTCCAGTTTTTTTTTATGTTTTTTTCCAGGTCAGTTCGGTCACGCAGCTGAGGCAAAGACTTTGCAGATCGATGGCCGTCAGGGAACATGCGGGCAGAGTACACCCCAGGGCAGTACCACATCTACCTGAAGGACGGTGGGAGGACCTTAGGATGGAGAAAAAAGGGAGAAGGTATACAAAATGCGCGTGCTACACCAGGAAAGGCTAGATCTGCCGGTTTAGAATAGATACTTCATCATGAACAAGGTAGCGATTCAATTTGTGGATTTTATGTTGGTTTATTTGTGGTTTCTCAGTGGCAAGTCTTAGCTCAGAAGGTTCACGGAAGCCGAAGTCGAACATCATTAGGACTTCACAGGGCCATTGCGGTGACCTTTGGGGTGTGCACCTATGAGGCGCCGTGGCATGTGGCTCAAGGCTTCCGGCCAACCGCGGCCATGATGCCAACGTGATCGCAGCTGCCGTGGTTTTCCAAATTCCTTCATGGCTTGGTTCGTAGTGTCCTGGAGCACAGGAGGCTTCGTTTTGTTGAAGGTTGGGGATGTTGGGGAAGGGCCCCAAGCCAATATGAACGTGCAAAGTTCAAGGTGAGGTGGAATTTCACCGTTTTGCTTGGGTTACAACACGTGATACACGTGTGTTTTCTTGCGTGAGTTGCTCTAGCAAAAGATGTGCCTCATGGCCGCATGGTCAGGGAGTGTTTGTCATGACCCCTTTCAAAAGGGTTCCAGGTCCATCTAGTGAATCATAGTGAATATCACGGAACAGAAGCAAGATAAACTTGACTTGCGCAAGTCAATGTTCGTAAACCAATAGGATCCACCATCCCCATTGTTTTGCCATTTTTATGGGTGGTACAAACCATCAAAACATGGGTGGATTATATATTGCTTTAATCCAATATGAAACACCCCCTAAATGGTCCCAAGTATGTGGAGATTCCTTAGTAAAGCATGGTTTCTAGGGGGGGTGTTTAATATTAGTGGGATAGGATTACTATAACAGTTATTGTACTAACATCACTTTGGCTGGATTCTGATGATTTTTGGATAACTCCCAGGTCTTCCTTGCGCTGAACGCGGGATGCCAAGCTGCTTGGTGACCATGGGCCTCAAGTTTCCCAAGACTTTATTGTGGTACACCAAACAATTTGAGAATTCTATAGGGTTATATGGGGTTCTTGATAACACCCATTTATATCAATTCATGATCATATTGGGGATGGTTTATAGTGGGTTTACAACATTAAACTGAATAAACCATTGAACATTCACAGCTATAGGGCAGGGTGACCTGACAGCGATAGAGAGAGAGAGAGAGAACATCCATACATCTACCGGAGTTCTTTGAGCACGTGAACATCCTTACAAACTGCTGGTTTATGCTGATTCTATATTGCCTGACTTGAACCACATGTTGAATCTTACTCCTGACCATGCCTTAAAAAAAACAATGTATGGTACTCTGAACATTGTTTATTATATCATATAATTACCAGTCACTTGTTCCAATTACCAGTCACTGTTTTATGTTATTACATTCAATCTGTTTCATTAACCCCATCCAAGCCAACTTCCTTCAAGTCCGATTTTGAATTCATTGGATTAGCCTGCATCAAACACCAATTTCGAATCCATGTCGTGAGGCTTTTCGCACGGAGGACTCACAGCAGCGGCTTCGCAACGCTTCGGGCGAGGCGAGATCAACGAGCGGATGATGGGGTTCATTTCTTTAACCATTGTTTGAGAAGAATTACTATCAACATCTATTAACTATATTGTATATACGTATATATTATATTACTCTATTACTTTAATATATATATATGCCACTCTTTTTTAATGGATATATTAGCTGGTATATAGGGTATATATATATATAGCTGATTACTATAGTGAGATTGAGCTATAAACCAACAAACATAACTAGGGGACCGCCATTTCAAAACTGGGATGATGATCCTCCCAAATGAACCACCAACCAGATAATATGATGAACAACCATGAGTGATAATGACAATTGAGAATAACCTGTGGTTTTTTTCACAAAACATTAGGGATTGAACATGATGTAGCCCTAAGATTCTGAACTGCAGAAGTGGGAACATCGGATTCATCGGATCACCATGGCGAATTGCCAGGTGCCCAAGATGGTCCTGGATCATGAGCACCCCTGGCGAAACCACGAGGACTCGATGCACGCACAGAGTTCCGGTCAGCGTCACGTGGCTGACCCGGGAGTCTTCACTCAGCAATCCAACATTGCCAGGAAAATCCCTCATGTTTCCAGCAAAATGGTTTGCAAAGTCCATACATAAATGGACAAAACGTAAGTAAATGATAGTAAATGTATATCATATATGATAAATAATGATAGACAGTGACAGATACTGATGGTCAATAGATTAGATATAATATTGATATACAAAGGGAGACACAAATTGATAGATATATCTACAGACCGTTTTCACCGCGGATATCTTCCCTGGATCCGCTGAACTCTCCATGGGACGGTGATTTCCAGTTCAAGAAACCCAGGTGCAAGCCATCAACGCATCGAACTCTTTCAGGCGCGTCATCTTAGAGGGGTCAAGGATCGGTTATTCCCATAGTTATCCCATTCTTTTTGGGGTTTATTATGGTTGATTGATGGGTATTTTAACATCGCTATGGAAGATATGTTTTTTAGGTAAATTGAACTAATGGTCCATCTATACCATACATATTTTAAATCACCAGCGGGCAGGCGCTTCAGGGACATGCATAAAGAAGTTGGGATCAAATATGGATAGATATGGGGGTTAGACATGATTCAATCATCAACAACGTAGACTTACGACCCCGTTAATTGAGCATAGAACTAGAACCAACAATGCATATTGAACGTGAAATCATGTTCCAGATCCCATTTGTTTGGAGTTCCATGTTAAATTTAGGGGGTGTAGGCCAGGCAAAAAAGGGGAATATATCGAACTAGTATGAACTAGTTGGATGACAGATGGGGAAACATAAACCAACAAACATAAGTTGAGCAGGCCCTTCCTGCAGGTATTGTGAAAGATGGTAAGCGTATTAGTTTGAACTTAGACCTAGCAGCTAGCAGCTATGATTGGTGGAGAACCACTGTGATACAGTTGACATCAGCGATAACGCAAACCTTTGAGATTAAGGAAATTAGTTTTACACAAATGTGATGTTACAGTTTTTTTTTTTAATATAATGTACTTCAGATAATGTGGTTCCTGCTTCTGCCCGGCTCACTTTTTCTCATCCGCTGCAGGATGAGAAAGAGAACCCTAGCGCCAAGGCGTTGGCCACGTGGTCCTGGGATCATGTGACAACGTCAATCCCAGTTGGTTGATCATGGTTTGGTGGATTTGTTGCCCATGGCGTTCTGGAATAAGCCCTTCGTCCCAACAAGTGCTTTGAGTAAGCAAAGGCTTTAAAGGTGTCGAGCGAAAAATTGTTCAGCGACTTACACCAACCGGACCAGATCAAACCAGCTACCGGTACTACGTATATATTTCATTTCTGGTTTTGACTTTGTTTCCTTTTGAGTCGCCACAAACATCTAAAATTATCTAAGCATATCAAGACCATTTAGAGCCTCTGGATGTTATGTATATATATATATGTATAGCTTGTACATCTTGGGGGTGCAACTCCACCTGTTTTGCATGAGCATATGGGACCCCCGACTTACCCGGTCTTACCCTCTGGTACTCGTTTACATAGCTGATCAAGCCGATGTAATCCCATAACAACCCCCATTCGTTTTGCCCATCATTTCCCCATGCTTCAATAGTCCTATATGATCTCATATATAATCCCAGAATTTCCCATTAATCCCATCTAGTCCCATGTAAATCCCATATGAATCCCAGGTACACCCAACAATAAAAACACCCCCATGGCAGGAGATTCTATTGGCCGTGGGTGGGGGCACGGGCGCGGGCACGGGCGGCAGCATCGAGATGGATCGCGAGATCATTCGACGTCGCCGGATGTCAGTTGGGGTCAACGAATGCGGGGCTTCAAACATGGATGGTGAATGGAATTGAATGTAATTTTAATGGAATTTAATGGAGTTTAATGGATATCATGTGGGTAAAACCATGCCATAAACATCATAAACCACCCATTTGGGAATGGTTTATAGATGTTTATAGCACCTATGTATGGTGATGACTGGGGGATGGTTTCTTATCAATGGTTTTTATTTTATTTTTGGTGATTGTCTCCCGGAATTGGTAGGGTTTTCGACTTATTTGACTGGCTGTGATGATGGCGAATGTGGGTTGGTAATTGGTAATGGTAAAAATGTTCACAAGTGGCGTATAATCATTAGTCCAATTCCCATCATACATTACCCTTTGGTAATCAAACATGGTTTCGATGGTTTGCTGGAAAATCACTCATGTAGTTATATAGATGATTTTCCTACTAGAATATCCAGTTAGTTTGGGGATTTCCCAGCTAGTTTGATTGCCTGAGGGCCTTTTTGTGCGATGTGTCTTGGCAATCGTTCGTCTAGGTGTGTATATGTAATGAATGATCAAGAGTGGTTAAGAGCTAATGATGGACCACCACGGGCCAATATATGGTCTATAGCGCACAAAGAATGGGTCAAGAACAACATGTAGGGGTTGCCTTGGAAGTGATGGGTATCCCAGGGCACCCCCAGGGCACTCCTTTGCTCAGGGATGAGATACCAGGACAAGCTGGTGCTAGCCCTGAAGCTCGGAAGTTCGTGTCCCAAAATGGACCATGGAACATATGGAACCTCAAGTCTGGGTTGAAAGAGTTGTTATTGGAACATTATTTCTGTCCGTTTTTTGCGTTTTGTTTTGTGGATTTCTGGAGTGTAAGTTTTCCAGTGGGCTCTTTTTTTCAGCCTTGGCGGACCGACGCTGAAAAACGGCCTGCCCTGAGGATGGTAGCAGTGTACTTCGTCGCAATCATCTTCACAGCCAGTTTAGCTTACCGCCCCTCGACTGTGCAAAGCTGGATCTGAAAAATATGAGAGCCAGCATGAGCCACCATGGTTTATGTTGGTCCTAAGCTGATTGGGTCGGGTTATGGAAGTAGTAGAGCAAGGACCCAGGATTGCTACAGTAAGTATATAGATGATAGAATCAGAAGCATCATAGCATTTCCCACGGGGGTGGGTGGGTCTGAACATAAGATATAAGGTACCCCATTCAACCATTGGTTAATCCTCATTATCAGCATTGAAAATCATTGAAATTGGTATAAAATCATATTATACTGCCATATAATCACATAAGACTGCCATAAAATCATATAAAACTGCAATAAAATCATATAACATGGCCATAAATTGGGGTATACCGCCATTTTCAGACACACCCAAGTGTTGGGGTTTCGAGAGATCAACCAGGTGCAGCCTGCAACAACTCCTCCGTGAAGTTCTATGCCGATCCACGTGTGGAACCTTTGGCGCCTCGGCAGCTCAGGGGGCATCCCTTGCACACATTTGTTTGTGGTGAAAATACGCTCACTCTCCTAGGCTTACCCTATCTTCAAACAAACACAAGTAGTTCGGAAAGACGACCAGTCTATGAAGCCATCATAGTTCGCAACTGCCACAAAAAGATAGAACGGTGAAACAAAGCAGGAGTTACTAAGGTATAAGTTAAGTACTACGTATTAGATAACACAGTGATTTAACAACTAAAGATAGAACAACAACAAGTTATTTATGATTTATTAGAGTTTTTTCCCACATTTTTTGGGTGGATTTCACGTGTCTATCAATTTGTGGATGGCTCAGATGATCGACAGCGACGACATGGACGACTTTTTGGTCACCTTCATGCAGCCGCCGAAGACAGCGCGGCGATGCGGGGATGGGCCGAGAAGGGATAGTATGGGCCATTTATGGGGTGATTACTATAGTACAATAGTGGGATGAAATTATGGAACAGCTATGGGATTATATAATTATGATTTATATTGTTTTCATGCGATAAATTGGGCCATTACGTATCTATATATTTATATGTACATATATATATATATGTTTATACATGCAGCTATAACAGCCACATGAATCGTCTCGTAACGAGGATGCAGAAACTGTTTGAACAAATTGTGTTTCCTATTTTGTTTATGGCAATTGACTAGTATATAACACACATAGATTTACCCATATAACATATATGACATAGGAATTACATATATTGCATGTATTACATATTTTACATATATTACATATTACATATAGTACATATTTTGCACATATTACATACATTACATATATATATATATATATGCATAGCACACACATATATAATATTACATATATATATATACTTTACAACATATATAACATGTAACACACATAACATATATATATAATATAATATATACAACATATGTATAACACACATAATAATATAACATATGTATAACACGTATAAGATATATAACATATATAAGATATATAACATATGTAACATATACATATATATATATATCATCTATAGCACATACAACACATATATCATATAGATCCAATACGAATTCGGCCGGTTCGCAGGAACATTCAACTCAGTGTCCAGGGGCTGATGCCTATCCCCGTCTGCGGACCTGCTGGGATGATCGATGATGATCGATGGAACGTCCGATGGAACAATGGAATCACTACAGTGAAAACATGGGGATTTCATGGGATTTTATGGGGTTTAATGGTGTTTCAATGGGACATTTACCCTAAACAATAGGGATATTTCATGGGATTTCATGGGACATTTACCATGAACTATAGGGATTGAATACGATAAAAACATGGATTTTATATGGGTTTAATATAGCGTTTTAATGGGATTTCAATTGGAACAATCAGTAATGAGGATTCTAAAACCATCTACCCTCTGGTATCAAACGTGACTTGGTGGAAAATCCACCATTTAGTTCTATGATTTTTCCAGCTATAAGCCTCCATTCAGTTCGGGGATGCTGGCCGCCATGTTTGATTGCTGAGGGGTCTATTAAACTCATTTGGGTTAGTTAGCATCACTAGGTTGTGCTCAGAATGACTACTAAGGCACTAACTAGCCCCACAAGTTTGGGTTCTGGCACCAACGGTTGTTCGTGAAAAGAAAACGCCTTGTGTTTGTAGGTTAAACAGCCATGGTCATTATTCAATCTCTGTCCATTATGTTGACTACACACAATAAGACAAATAGCTGAATCTCTATATATATATATACATGCATAATATGCACATATATATATATATATGAACGGACTATATATACGTATATACAAATAACTAACTCTATATGATATAAATTGGTTTTAGGTCTTTTAATTATATATATAATTAAGTAAATCTACAATATATATAACTAGATGAGTTATTAACCTATCTTTCGTCGGCGCTGCGTCAGGCCTTGTTGGCCAACCTGGTGGAAGGGGCCATCGAGTGGCAGGGAGGCGGCCAGGAACAAATTTCCATGGCTTTCCCTATGGCATGATTAATAACTTGGACTTTTTTTTTGATGAATGTCATCCCATTAAAAAATAAAAAAAAACGAAACCCCATATGAAAGTCCCATGGAAAAAGACAGAACACGTCTTGAGTTTTTTTTTTTCGTACAACGTTCTTGAGGGGGAAGAAGTGGAACACTCATTGGGGGTGGGTCAAACTCTGCATAAGTTTTGATGAAAATCATGAACTCACGCGTTTTAGAGTCATTTTGGTGGGTAGACATTATTTGTGCAGGGTACCGAAGTTTGATTGATACCCTGCGTATCTAAATGTGCGCAACATGATGTTTGCTGTTTATTGGATGATCACCCCCTCAAAAACCCATTGTTGGGTGCTTCATGCTGGTTTCCCCCATTTTCGGTGGATCTCCAGAGTCTTACAAAAATTGATTATATCTCAAATGCCCGCGTTGTGGCACTTTAAGACACCCAACCCCTCCTCCATTTTGTTGTCCGTGCCTATGAATCCAAACATTCTCGAGGGAACCGCCCAAATCATAGCCCAGTCGTACAGAAGGTACACCTGGATTCATAGAGCACTATATATCAACCATCACATTGACCATGATAAAATAACCATCCTTTTAATAACCATTACATTACTAGGTGATTTACCCATGATATATTTTTCTGTATACATCCCGCTCAATATTCCGCTACTATCCCACGGGCTGGTTCCCCGTAGTTAGACAAGTTGGTTTATAACTCCAACAACTAGAGTTTATCGTAGATATATCCATATTCGATATATATATATATATATACATGCACATACACATATGTATATATATATATATATGTGTGTATATATATATAAACTCAATGGAGGTTCTAAACCAATAAAAATCACTGTGGGGCCACCACCTCCGGAAACCGGAGCAGCATCTTCAACAGTGCCACAGTGGTGGACTTCGGAGGTTACTATCGCCACATTTTCAGCTTCAGCTTGGACCTTAGCCACTTCCTGGTGCCCAGCGGACTTCCAGAGGCTGGGTGTGATGGGAATCTTAGGGGATTTACCCATGGAAGCCATGGCCCTAATCGAAATAGATGGTTTACCTGTTAATAGCATGGTGATTTTCCATGGCAAACTGTTAGTCATAACCAGATGGTAATATATTTAATGGTAATCTAATGGGGATATAATAGAGATTTAGTGTGTTTAATGGGAATATCGTAGGGATTTCATGTTGCCAATCATCCAATGTATGGGAATATAGGTATTTCAACGGATTTCATGGGAGTTTCATGGGAGTTATAATAGGAATTTCATGTAGGCCCAGGGCGTTTTTGCCAAAGCCCTCAGTTTCAGTAATAGGCAGGGCGGGTACCATTTTTTGAGGGTATGTTATTACTATTTTGGGTCTAGCCCCCAAGTAATAGTCAGGGTTTGTTGTTCTGGGTTGATATTTCTTAGTGACGTGTGATAAGCCTAATGAGAAACCATAGTAATGCAATGATAATCATACTGCACAGGAATAGTTTGGCGATGATTGCTGCCATTTTACAAGACAAAAACTTGTCTATATTGTGTACATATGCATTAGTGTGTTTTTATTGCTTTCAGGGGTCAAACGCATGGCATGCTAATTTGAGAGGGAGAGAGAGAGAGAGAGAGAGTTATCGCCAAGGGCGAGGCATGTATGGCTGCAAGTACATTTCAGCAGCCAAGCCATGAATTTTAGGGTTTGTGTTCTCCCTCAAACATGGATTTGATTATAACCTTTGATAGGTGAATGGTGTCGTTTTGCTGCCAGTGGTGGGGATATAATATATGATTCATTATGATAGTGATGTATTTTATGCATCTAAGATTGTATAGCCTATCGTTGATATCAAATATCTTGCATTTTTCTTAAATATCTAAGGTGATATATCATACAAAGCAACGACTAAAATGATAGAAACCTAAATCCTACAAAAAAAAAACTGTGTGCTAATAACTGTTAGTTTGACGTTTCCATTTTTTGGGGGGTCGCAATTTTTGCCATGCCGGCATGTCGGATGAATGTTAGGATGGAAGCGACACAGCTATGGCCGGCCTAGCTGCGCCTGGGCGGTGGTTTCCGGACCCTGTGGGATAACCGAATATATCGTGGAGGCATCAACACATGGGGATTCCAATGGGGTTCTGGTTATTTCTGGTTGGTGGTGACTGGAACCATGGATTTTTATGACTTTTATGACTTTCCATACGTTGGGAATATATAATCATCCCAAGTGACGAACCCCATCATTTTTCAGAGGGTAGGTATACAGGAAAAACCACCAACCAGCGGTTCTGGTTAAGTTTAATGCGATTTGAGGTTGCTAAGTCTAAGTTGGTCAGAATTCCATCCTGATGTATAAACATCCCCTTTCTGGGGGAGAACATGCACTGGAAATCACTGGGATCTATACCTACTGTGCGCACAGCTAAGTTGGTGAACAGAGGTAGATTCGCTCAGGTTGATGGTGATCGAAACATTTTAGTTAGTTGGGACTTTTATGTAAACCACTCAAAACTAGAAGGCACCACCTTGTCTAGCAATGGTGACAAAAACTTGAAAATTATCTAATTTTATATAATTATATATATATATTATCTCGGTGTTTCATTCCAGTGTCACTCCTATATTCTGTATATCGGAATGGGAAATTTCAGCAATCAAACCGTAGATTCAGTAGATCCCAGTGACCATGGAACTCCATGATCCACCTTGGTGAACTCACCTTAAGCTGAACTCTTGGAGAAGGCGATAGAGAGATGAACATCTATATTCTATCTCTTTTTTATTTTTTATTTATATTATATTGTGTATATATACATATGCATATGGCATATGGATACGTATATATGTATATATGATATACATACGCAGCATATAGACAGCTTTGCTGATGGCTGAACATATGTGTAGACACTAGACATGAAGAGATAGGGACCTCCACTATGCACTTTCCATAGTGCAAGAGTTTGCGTTTTTGGCTGAATACTAAATACCTCAAAATACCTCACTGGCTCTCAGGATCAGGATTTGGAAGAACTCAGGCTGGATTAGTGGTGGGATGTGGAGATTTGGGAGGATATTGATATAATCGAAGTGATTCATCAAAAATGCTTTGCAAAAAGGATGGTGCTGTTTACAACGACAGTAATTACATAGAATTTGTGTCTAGTTTCCCGGGTGTTTTTGGTCTCCAGGAAGCAATCCAAGAATGAACTGTGGCGTGTGGATGACCGATGAGTCATGGCCTTGTGTCAAAGAGTGACTTCTCAACTCCAGCCTTGGGTGGTTGCTGACAGGCGCTTCCTGGCCGAAAACACCAATGACCTTGCCACAGTGACATGGCAGAGAGCTTTGAGTAGGCCATGCAAGTGACACCCGTCACATGTGCGGACGAAAAAAGGTTCAAGAAGAACCCTTGCACATGGTATTGGATGAAGATGTAGCATGATTTTGAGAAATCCGTTTGTCAGCAAAGATCCACTTCCATCCCTTTTCCAACTCAGGCTGCAAGAGGGCAGTTTCCCTATCAATTCTTGGGTAGTTGTGCTGTAGGGTCAGCTTTGGGCCCTGTTTGGGCCCTGTTTGGGCCCTGTTTGGCACGTGGCAAAGTGATGAATACATCGTGTGGGACGGAAAAACCATCAGTTTATGGAGAGATTCCATACTTGTGACATCAATGACTATACTTGTGACATCAATGACTCTATGGTTTTTTACGGACCTGGTTTCCCCGCATTCGAAACGGTCCTCGTTTCGGCACGGCGCAAGGTGAGCATGATGAAAGAAGTCTCCTGGGACGACTGGGAGGAATTGGCCACCAACATCAAGCGCCATGGCAATGCTATGGCCACCGGGTGATTCACCATGAACCACTGACCACTAAGCATATGTTAACTAAGATTTAAGTTGACAAAGATTTAAGTCATGAACCAATTAATCATAATTAATCATAATTAACCATGTATATTTAAGGAAAATTAACCATCATTAACCATCATTAACCAATTGACCAGTTAGCTATATATTGTTGGAGAGATCTGGGGAAGTCACCGAACTGCGGGGCTTGGATCACTTGGATCTCCGAATCTGAAACTCTGGACATCACAGAGACATGGCTGCGGCAGGTCCTGGACAACCAGAACTCATGTCCTTAGCTTCTCCTAATTTGGTTGTCCATCCCAGACAAGTATATGATAACTATATACATATGTATAATACATTTATATATACACATTATAGTATATTATATAATATTATATATATGTAAATATATGTAAATATAACAGCTCAATAAGTAGGGACAATTATCTATCATTGGTCATAACTGCCGGGATAATGATCACAACGGTTTATTATACCGGTGGTTTATGATCAATCGGTCTATGGCCATTGTTGCAATATACCAGTGTATTATCATAATGGTTGATTTCTTACCAGTATAATGGCATACTGATGGACATAATCATGGATATGGTGGTTTATTATAATACATATATGTATATGTGTAATAAATACATATATGTAATTGATACATATACCATACCAGTGTAATTAATACATATATGTATATGTGGTCCATATGGAATATACCATTAGTACATTGGAAATATATTACTCAATGGTACACTGGTATGATATATATATATATATACCATGGGGTTTATTTCTTGGTCCATTGGTGGCTGAGTTCCTCGAGGCAAAAGATTCGGCAGGGAGGTTTCGAAGGTCTGATCCATGCAGCTTGGCCTAGGCGACGACTAGGACTCTTGGGAAAAACATGTTTGTTTTTTTTAATGGTCACATGATGTCACATGTACAGTTTAAATCTGTTTAATTGTGAGTAAAGCGATAGTAGTTTGATAAACCATTTGCACATGATAAATGGTTGGTATAAACCATCAACCTATGGTGCATTACTTTTGTACTAACATTAAATTAAGTGTGTTCCAGAGGCAACTGGAAGCTTTAAAACTCATGACCTTTCCAAGGTTTCATGGAAGAATTCTGAGATGCTCACTGTCACCCGGCCGCAGCCAATGCCTCCATGATACGCATTCTGAACTACTGGAACTGATGTACACAAACAATCATACAAACATATAGTATAATATAATAATATAAATTGTATATTATTCCATACTCATATATGATTATATAGCATTTGTATATGTATACGTATTTGTATGTATATATATATATATTTATTTATAATTAATGTCCGTATCACTTTCACGTTTGAAGATAAAACCATAGGAATCACATTTCAACAGACATGCCATGCATTAGTGGTCTCCTCATCTTTCAACCACTGCAGCGATCGCAGGGATAGTCTTGAGATCTCAGATATGAGTGCTGTTGGTTGGCGATGAAAGGATCTGATTGGTGTTATTATATATGTTATTGTCATTTTTACTGTTCTTCTTGTTTTGTTTGGTTCGGTGATTACTTATTCTTAGGTTGTTGCTGTTTTTTTTTGCAGCCATGGAGGTGGTTAGCCCTGAGGTCTACAAAAACCGCACGTGGGCGAACTTCTTGCACATGAGTGTCACGAGGGTCCTGCTTCTGGTTTGCACATAATGTGATTGAACTCCGGGAAGACACTTTTTAGGAGCCTCCAAGGATGGAGGACTTGCAACTTCACTCGGTGAGTTGCCGAGACGCTTGTTCTAAGTTAGAATTGGGATGGTTTTTCCGGCACCTTGGGGACCACCCTGAAGTTTTTGTTTGAGGAATGTGTCAAGCTTTAAGGATCCCCATCATGGCCGGCTGGATCATGAGAACCTCTTGCCGCAAGCCAGGGCTGCGAAGCACTCATGCAGAAGTCAAGATCATGTCAAGTCGTTGCTGATATCATAGAATAAATTAGAAGGAGGAGGAAAGCATCAACATCCCCCATCCAGTTCAACAAAACAATAATACAACACCTCCCAGAACCAATTAGAATCCAATATAAATACAAGAATCATGTTTGAGCATAATCCTCTCCAGAACAGGGCCAGCAACAAGTGCCAAACAGAAAGAAGCAACGCCCAAGCTGAAGGTAAATCCCATCGTTATCCCAATATGAATTCCATAAAGCCCGTAAATGTGATAGGTAAATACCAGTAAAACCCACTACTGTATGTGATAGTGTGGCAAACCCACTAGAAAGTTAGTTTGATAACAAGTAAATGGACTTTTATCATAGTTGAATCATAGTACTTATGGGATACTTATGGGATACGCTGTAATAGTTTAACATCCCATTGAAACACGTCATGTGATGGTTAAGATCATATAAACTCAACGTCCAACGTCCATGGAACCCTGGACGGAGCTCTGCTGGTACGGCCTGCGCCTTTCGCTGCTGCTGGGCCTATCCACGGCGCTGCGGCGAAGCAAATCCACGGTCGCGCGGCGGGGCGTTAAGGGCACCCGAATATTTGGGTGAAATCCTAGGGATGATCATTGAAAGAGATTAGGAATGGATATGGATATGAATAGTTAGTTGAGTTTGAAATGAGGTTGCTCATAGTTGGTAATGGATACTTACCTATCCTAACCATTCCTAACCAATATAGTGCTTTGCGACAAAATGCATGTTAGTTCACCTTATATTTACATATATATGGGATGATCACGATCCGTGAGCAGGGAACCCCGTTCTCATCAGCCAGTATGAAGGGCTCGGTAGTAGAGTTGAGATTTGACACGTCCAACCGAGTACTATGAGTAGTGGCCTCTAGTGATGGATACTCATCCTCAAACATGGATAAATACGGTACAGCAAACCATCCCCATTTAGAACCCCTACACCGCACAACTAAGTTCGACATGTCCATAAAGCCTCAGGTTTGCCCAGTAGTGTTTACCAACTTAGCTATTCCGTTCACTGGGGCATCATATATCTACTACCCTCCACAACTGTTCATCCTGGCAGAGTTGCTTGGGGGTGCATCCCTTTTAGTAAATAGCTTATACCCCCACTTACATGGAATATCCCGACTTACATATGGCGTATATGTATAAATATGTATATATAATTATATATATATTTATGGATTATAACCACAGATCCGATTTGTGGGACCTGCAAATCCTGGCGTTGTGTTGTAAAGGTCTCCGCATATCTCTCTGGAGCCGGCCTGTTGTGCTGGTGTTTCTATGACCTGCGGCAACAGCTTCAACGGCAGCGTGCAGAGCTCTGGAAGCAGGTGGAACGCAGATGGGGCATGCTTTGGCTGTATGATGTTATAGACGTATACATATGTACAGTATTTCACACATAAAGCATGTGCATGTTTAGTAATCATTATATATATACTATGTACACACACACACATATATATATATGATACATATTTTTGTGTAGATATGTATGCATTGCTCGAGGTATATATATATATGTGTGTGTGTGTGCGTGTGTATGTATGCGGCGAAGATTCATTTTTTTCACATTCCATCCTTCTCTTTAAAGGGACCTTCTTTCCATTCCCATCAGATGGCGGTGCCTCTGAGAGTTTGTGCCTACGCGGAGCAGCTGGGAGAAGACATTCCGGCAGGTTCCGCCAAGGACGCGGCCACCCTTGGCCGCTTCCAGTTGGGACTTCCCGGGTGTACATATCCTCCGGTAATCAGCCCCATGGCTGGAGGTTAAGATAAAGCCTGGGAAAATCACCTATATCTGGTGGATTTTCATGGATTTTCATGGATTTTCCTGCTAGCCATGGAGCTGATTACCGCAGGGTAGATGTTTTTTAAGAAGGAATTGATATCTAATTCTCAGAATTTTGGTTTCTGCCATGGTGAGATTTACCAAATGACAATCTACCTTGATTTAAGGTTGAATTCGGTATCTTTCCTACAGTCTTCATGATGGACATTAGTCCTGATCATTCTTTGACCCATAGATCGATCGATAGACATGAAATTCAATATGAGTTACAGTAGGAATATAGTTTTGATGATGTACTTGGTTAGGTATGTATTTCTCCCACTAATATAGAATTGTGTTTTGTTTGTTTTCCAGTTATGTTAATTACCATGAATTGCCCATTATATCATATCATGGTATATCCCATTTTATTCCATCTTATTCCCATTGTCCCATTGACATTCCATTATCATCCCATTAACGGTATAGATCCAGCATACAATGAACAAGTATCGGTTTAGTTAATGGAAAATCCCATGATATGTTAGTTATATCCCATTCTAACCCCTAAATATCCATCAAACACCGTAGAACTGCCAAAATTGATGGTAATGACATTCTCATTATTATCGCATTGTTTGTTTTCATTGCCCGTATTCCCATGGTCTTGCGGTAAAACATTGTATATCCAATTCTATTCCCATTAGATTCCCATGAAATCCTTCAATTATATTCCCATTCTATATTCATCATCCAATATTCTTGGTACATGGGATGCTATCCCATGTCCCGTGGTCTATTTATTTTCAAGGATATTCCCATCCTTACCCAATACAAACTTTGGTAAACTAACATAGCTAATTATTAAAATTTCCCATTTAGTTCGTTGATTTACTCATTGAAAATTGTTATCTTCCATAGTTTTTTGGTATTTTACCGGAGGGTATTGGTTAAGAGATACCCATCAAACATCCCAAATACCAACCATTTTCACCAATATATTTGGTGAACAATTCCATGTTTACCCTCTGGTTATTTAACATAGCCATGGAAAATCACCATTTTTCATAGGTCCATCTATAAATGGGCTATTTTCCATGGCTAGATTTGCTCCCAGGACTGGGGCCCCTGGAAGCTCTGGACCCTCGACAGTGCGGGCGTCGCCGCCGTGCTTTCGAGCGACTTCGCGGGCAGCACCGCGGCGCGGCGCTTCCGGGACGTGGCGCAGCGGGTGCAGCGCCGCGGAAACGAAAGGGCGGCCAGGGCTGGGGGGGAGACAGGAATCGATTTGGATAGGAAGCATATAAGTGTATATATATATATATATATTTCATCTATATTATATATATATTTCAGCTATATCATGCTATAATATTAGAATGATATGAATTATGTTTGGACATGAGGAAAAAGGAGTATATTGGATCACTGGTCATGGAGTTGTAAGGGATCATAAGGGATTTAACCAGCAAACATTGGGATTAGGATTACAACTAAGGTTCATGGTTATAATAGCAATACATAGCAATATCTAATGCAAGAAATTGGGATATGAAGCCTGTGACTTACAACTATATATCCCACTATGGTGATAGTACTTAGTTTTCTCATATTTTTCTTGATCATTCAATATAACATCATAATAACAATCCTTAATGGGACTATATTGATATATTTATAGGAATGGTACGGGAATAGCATTAGGGGTATGAACCGAATATCATGGACAAGGCGGTACCCCCGCGGTCAAGTTTATTGAAGCAATGGGGCACCACCTGGTATCGGTGGTGGCTCAACCCTGTTGCAGCCAGAAGTGTTATACTATTATATTGTCTGATATGATGTGATGTGATTTTTTTGTTGGAGATAGATAGACCTTTACAACTCAATGATGCAAATGTTGGTTAGGTGATGCACGAACCATCATGCAAGCACCATGAAACCATAGATGCCTGGGATGTTCCGTCGCTCCTGGTCGCCTAGGTGCCTTTTTGCAGCCAAAGCCTTGCTGTGGGGCAACGACTGGTCCGAGGCGACATGTCAGCTGTGGGGAGCTGCTTTGGTTCGGCTGTTGGTAAACCCATTCAACTGAGTAGTTTATATAAACCTACTAGTATTTATATGAACAGTTATTTCTAAATGTGAATATGCATCCATACAACTGCATATATATATATATGTGTGTGTGTGGACATATGCACATGCACAAGTTGTTATTGCTCATGATATTTCCCCAGTCACGTTCACCAACTTCCGTTTAGCGCCCGGCAGGACCTGCTTGGACCTCTGCCAGCAGATCGCAGCGCCGACGCGCTGCTGGCGGCCAATGTGCAGCGATGCCTACCGAGGTACAGCACGCGGGGGCATGGATGGTGGTCATCCTGCGGTGGGATGGCTATTGGTAATTAGAAAAGGTTGGGATTCTGATGGGACAATGGCATTTTACTATATTTTAATGAGATTTAGAAATGAAACATTGGGATTATTGATTGATAATCCAGATGATATATGAAACATTGGGATTACATTGGGATATGTAAATTAATGGGACAAATCATCAACCAACTGGTGAAAGATTTTTCCATCCACAGTATGACATAGCGAGATTTTGGGGGATTAAACCAGGTCCAACGATCAACAATGGTGGTCTACTGGGAGTTTAATGGATGTTTCTTTGTTGTTATTTTTGAGGGGGGATGGTTGAACATTTATTTCTTTAATGCACAATTCACAAACAAAAATAGTGGTACTTTAGGAATATTCAGGGGGTGGGCTCTATCAACAATATGCCATATTGGAATGCTGCCCTTGCAAGCAGCGTTGCATTACACCCTAGTCATCTATGATTCAAACATATGGGGTGGATCAAGAATGGGCCCGTAGACGCAGAGAAAAATGGATACATCCACTGCTTGTATCCCTGTCCTCGCTGGTTGGAACCTGAATATGTTTGATGATTTAGAACCAAAACAAAGGGCTGCTGAGTTCGTTGAACATTTACAGGAAACCTTTAGATGATTTTAGATGCAAAAATGCACAAAATATATGTATACAAAATATATGGGTATGATAATGGTTTCCAACAACTTTGTCTTGAAATCAGTCCTACTGATGGGAAATGATGGCCCCCATGCCGGAACCTGCCAGCAGGTTCCTTCGCTTTTGCCTCATGGTGAGCCGCAACGCTCCGCTGGACGGCTTCGTATTCGAAGTGAGAGGCGTCCTCTGTAACCTTTGATGGAAACCGCAGGAAAACTATTTGACACATTTGAACGTGTCCTCGGGTAATCAAACGTGGCTGGCTGGAAAATCGCCTATAAATGGAAGTTTTTATGGGACAAATCCATGACTGAGGGATTTTCCAGCAAGCAACGTTTGATTACCGTGGAGTACACCCAGTACATTTAATGTGGACCTCCAATCATTGTTGGAATTAGTAAACAGCATCTTCAAAGATGCACTAGGCAGTCAGGAGGTACTACTTTAAATGGACAGTTTTTGCTGTTCCACTACCAGACCCGCCAAATTGATACTCTGCTAAACTGCTGGCAGCTATATAATTATGGACCCCACATGTAATTACATGTTACTGGTATATTATATATATATGAGACATGAATTGAATCAATATCAACCCCAGTTTGGTTTGGTTAAGTCCATGATGTTTGCACGTCTCCGCCCCGCATTTTGTTGCTTCCATCCCTACCTTTCTCCGTTGCTAACAATTTCAGGCACCATATTATATATTCCAGTACGCAGCCATTATACAATATTATAATTACCATCCCGTTACAGTCGCAATCTATCCTTCAACTGTAGTTATACTCACCTGGCATTGCCTGGATACATCTCCTGATCGATATACCAAAGAATTGATGTGTCTATATACAATATATACTTCTGTTTGCAGACTTAGCGATTCCAAACTGCTGCCCCCACATTTATCCCATGATATTGTGATTTTGGTGTTGCTTCTGAGCATTGATCCATCCTGTCCATGATTTCCGTTGGCTCCTCAAGGATCCAGAGCCATTTGCATCAACCGTTTTGCCGCGCAAAACATGCCGACTTGCTGATTGCATTGCAAGTGCATTTCGTTTGACCACATTTGGCACGTGGTTCATTCATCTGGCACCGGAGCTTGCGTTGGTGCATCGAGATGTTTGGCCAACGTACCCACATCGACTCCTGTGACTCGCCATTGCTCGATGCGCCAGTTCCAGGACCACCCGTTGATTTATTGAGCCCAGTTCATTCCGCTAGTGCAGCTTCTAGTTCACTTTGGCGATGCATGGCCTGTAATCATCACAAATTCGAGTGGCGACATGACTGTTGGAGATGTGTCCAATGTGATGGTGATAGATACTATGATGCTTCTAGAACTGTGAAAGCAGAGATTCCTGAGGGTACATGGATGTTCATGCCACGGCATTCACCTGGCCATTCCCCTGTTCACTCAGTTGAGTCCGTGGAACTGCAGCCGGATTCTAGGGCACCCTGTTTTTGGCCTCCACCTGACCCTTCAGAAGGCTCATTGGATGATGATGGCCATGAAAGGCATGCTGAGTCTGAGCATCCTACGGAAGATCCTGTGGTTGATCCAGATTTGCAGCGGCCTCGCAGGAGAAGACGCCGGAAAAGACCTGATGTAGAACAATCACCTCAGTCAGATCGCAGTTCTCAGTGTTCGGAACTAAGTCAGCGTTCCGGTGAACTCCTTGGTGACCTCAACCGCAGTTTGAATGACTTGGTAACGACCCTGAAGAATGCGAATGTACCGAACCTAAAGACTAACACTAACAATGCAGATGGATCCTCGTCTCAGGACAGCTGGAACAGTCGAAAAGGGCCTGAGCGTGGACTTCGTTTTCGATCAGGAGCACCACCAGCTCCACCTGCATGGCGCTATTCCAGAGATGATATCAGGAGCTTTGCAAAGTGGCAGAACAAACTGCAGGTTTGGAAGCGACAGATCCAAGCCTACATGCCTCTGCGTGATGCGGCGCTGATGTTATATACGAGTCTTTCTGGTGAGCCGGAGGAGGAGCTGGAGCACATTGACTTGGATCGTTTGCATTCATCTACAGGCATTGACTATGTGGAGAGTTTGTTGAAGAAAGGCCTGGAGACCAAGATGGTGTACCAGAAAAGGAAGTTGATGTCAGAGTTTGAGACCATTGTGAGACAGAGCAATGAGTCTATGAGAGCTTTTGTGAACCGATACAGAAGAGCTGAACGAGCCCTTGAGAGTGTCGGTGTCACTGCAAGTGGCATGTACGACAGTGAGTCAATGGGCAATAGGCTGTTAGAGAGATCTCGGCTGTCGCCTGAAAACGGCAGATTGGTTTTGATTGGATCGGCCTTCAACTTGTCCTTCGAAGCCATTGCTGAAAGTCTTTGCATGTCGTTTCCAGAGCACAAGCCGCCGCCACCTTTATTTGGAAAAGATGGACAGCCTATCAAAGCCTTTCAGTCAAGGCGTGACTGGTCATCTTCATCTTGTTCGACCTCTGCCAGCACCAGCTCAGCTGCCTCACAGTCTTCCAAAGGAAACAAGGGCAAAAGCAAGGGCTCTGGCAAGAGTGGTTTTGCTCCTCGCCATGCTTTTGCGACTGAGCACCAGGATCTTGATCCGGTCGAAGAAGAACAAGAAGAGCCAGACGCTGAATCGTACTATGATGTTCAAGATGCAGTTGAACCAGATGGTCAGCCTCAGCAGGATGAGCCAGCTGAGGAACATGATGTTGATGGAGAAGCAGAATCTGAAGGTGTTGATTTGCAGTCAGTTGCTGAAGTGCTGACTGTCACAGCCAAGAAACTTCAGTCGATCACTTTGGGGAGAAAGTACTCTGGCAATCGGTCAATTCAGGACCGGAAACGCACCAGCCACTGCAGCGCTTGTGGAAGTGTAGGGCACTGGGCCGGAGATGCAGAATGTACTGTTTCATCAAAAGGTGCTGGGAAAGGACATTCAAAGGATGGAAAATCCCAGCCTGACAAGGGCGGCAAGCCTGCGAAAAAGGTTTTCTTCACCATGTCTCAAGATCAAGATTCTGAGCCTCGACATCTCCCAACTGATCACCCTGAAGTTCCTAACTATTTCTCCTTCATGGTTGTGAATATCAACACTCCGGTATATGACATCATGATGACCGATATGACCCCACTGGTTGGTTTTATGATTTTAGACACTGCATGTCAGCGTATGTGTTGTGGCACCCAATGGCTATCCCAACAAGTCCATCTCCTCGGCCAACATCGAATGATGGTCAAGCATGTTGACACCTGTGAGGCTTTCCAATTTGGTCGTGGGCAGCCTATCTATGCCAAGGACCGAGTTTACATGCCGGTGTCATTGGGTGGATGTTTGTTTTTGATAGGTTCCAGCGTGGTTGACACTAGCATTCCTTTGTTGGCTTCAAACACGTTTTTGGAACAGCTGGACACAGTGGTTGATCTGGGAAAGCAGAGAGTTTTTTTTAGAGCGTTGGATGTTTCAGTGCCGATTCAGAAGATCAATGGACATCTTGCAGTTTCAATTTCAGAGTTTCATGAACATGTTCATCAAGATCCTGTTTGGCATGCGCTTTCACATGAGAGTTTTTGGAAAGATCCACATCCAGAGATCATTGCCACCAGTGACGTTTTGCATCTGAAGCAGCAACTTCCTCGAGATCAGCCAGCCCCTGTGTTTGCAGTTTCTGATGATTCGACAGCCCGTTCCTCAATGGCTGCTCCGATGGAAGGCACTCCTTTTGGCAGTGCTCAACTTGGAGCTCATGACCCTTCGATGGATGTCTCGAATGGTCAAAGTGGGATTGGCGAGCCGCGTATGGTTGACACTGAGGGAGCGATGGGAGATGCGACAAGAACAAGAGGTACTGGCTTCACAGATGAGGAGCGCTCAGTACCACCCATCGGAATGCACCCATCCAGAATGGAAGAGGTACGGCAATCCCAAGGGCAGTTTCGCCAGGTGCACCCTGTGTCACACCAGACGCAAATGGGATCCTCGAAATCAATGCTGGGAGGACATTGGGCTCGCACAATCGGCAAGCTCTTCTTTGCCGCAGCCCTCACCTTCAAACACTTTGCCGGCATCCTCGACGTCGAGGTCCCTGAGAGCAACAACCTCCAAAGCCAAAGCCAAACCCAAAGCCAAGAGCCGTGGCCATCCATCTTCTCAGAGTCCTTTGAACGAGCCTACAGTGCAGGAGATTCCTCAACATGTTCTGGACAACCTCAACCTGCTCACGGCCGAGAACATCCATCAGATCCACCAGGTTCATTATCAACGACTTTTGAACATGGCCGCAGAGGGCCCAGAGTTGGAGATGGAGTGGCAGGAGACAGGCAGTCAGGAAGATCTGTACGACTGGGGCGAGGACCAGGGTTGAATGATGGCCACCGAAAGTACCTTATTGGCAAGATTCGCAAGGCTCGACATGCCTTGCAGGTGGAAGCAGATACTTATGAAGCTCTGGCGAACAAACATCGCTATTCCAGGAACAAGGTCGACATTCTGGAGACCTTTGCCGGCAATGCTTTGGTAAGCAAGAATGCCTCCAAGTATGGTTTGACAGCAGCCATGCCATTGGACTATAACACTGGCACTGATCTTTCTACGGTGGAAGGTCAACACTGGTGCTTCAAAATTCGAAAGGCCTTGCACCCACTTGTTCTTCTTCAAGGCCTTCATTGCACTCCATGGTTGGTCATGCAGGAAAACATGAACTATAACGACCGTCCTGAGGTACTTGAAAGGATCAGAGATGAGGAACGACCTACGGTGGTCAAATCCATGGAATGGTGCCGACAACAACATGATGACGGCAACTATTACCTCATCGAAAATCCTGAAAGAAGCCGGATTTGGTCGGAGGAATCAGTCTTGGAGATGCTTGAATATACCAATGGCCAGATCGTCAAATGCCATTCTGGAGCATATGGAGGCAAGAATTCAAAAGGTGAACCCATCAAGAAGACCTTCCAGTTTGCATCCAACAATCCCATGCTCTTGGAGTTTTTGACCAAGAAGTTGAGCGCCGAGCAGCTTGCTTTGTGCGTTCCCCTGGAAGGCAAAGAGGTTACCTTGTCACAACATTATCCCATGGGTCTAGTCCAGGCAATTCTCAAGGGCATCAAGAAGGTGGCTCAGTTGAGAAACCCATGCCGTTTTCAGCCCAAGCAAGTCCTGGCTAGTTTTTCCACGCCCGTG